GAGGCCGGTAAAGCCGGGTTCTGATTTCATCCGACGTGCAAGGCCGCCGAGGGATGATGAAATTGGGGGAGGGGGGGCCGGGCTTGGGGTAAAGGTAGGCTTATTAGGAGTGGGACTCCGGTCAGACTAGCAGCCTTTTACTCTTTTCGACACCTTAAAGCTCTTTTGCGATTGAATTAGTGGATACTATACAACTGTCTCTCAGCCCAGATGAATCACATATCTTTAGACTTCGACTTTGTTTCCAATATATCTTCATTTTTATCGAATAATTTAGAGTGACATTATGATTCGAAAGGATGGCTTGAAAGGAATGTTGAAGTACAATTCTAGCGAAGAAGATAGAAGCGGAGAACTTGCAAGAGTCAGGGAGGGCTTTTCTCATGTATTTGGGTAGACGCTGGGGATTTGCAAGAGTGAAGAAGGCCTCGTTACATGGGCGTTCTTTTCATGTAAGATATCCGAGCGCGTACACAGCTCACCCGGGCACCACCTGAACTCACACTAGCTCACACAACTGAAACCACCCGGATTTTCGTTATGATCACTTCTAATAGGTGAAGCTGCGTGTATAAAGCTAAGCACCTTATGTTACGCACTGTGAACTGTTACGGTATGAGTGTCTCTCCCCAGAATTGGACATGCTGGTGTTTGAGCCGTCGCCATGCTAATTTCTTGTAGCCTCTTCGGCTCTCAGAGGCGACACAGAATCTCTCAGAGTGGTGCGCCAGATACTTGGGGAAGAATAGTGGGTGAGCCGATGATTCATGATCGCCGTGGGGGAAGAGTGGCTTGTGTCTTGTCTCAAGGTCATATAAGCGCAACGAAACAATCTCCAGATGTCGAGTCTGCACCACAAACACACCTTTTGGTAAGCGGAAGGTGAGCCACGTATTCCTATCCACTGCGGACCGGCGGTGAAGCTATTTTCAATTCCACATACATCATGTGGCTATTCTGTCTCACTTGCCGACAGCTGCGGCTGGGCTGATTTCACTTACTTCTTTGTATCCGTTCAAGTATCCAAGTCCCTCGCTGGTCATTAATGCTCTGCTCGCTCTCTCACATTTTCGGCCTTGACATGCATAATTGGAGTCGACGTCCTTACAGTCCTCCATGTTAAAAGATCTTGGCGTATCTCTGTACTACACACCTAGCCATGCGCATCTCTCAGACTTCAAATTACATCTTCGCAGCTTTAGCGCTTTATGGAATTGTCATAGCTGAGCCAGTCCCCATTGATCTGGGCGTTGAAAGTGGGAATCTTATTGAGCGACAGTCTGGCGACGACGCTGGTGATTCTGTTGGCAACGCAGCTGGTATAGGGGGTCAGGCGTCGCAGACACAAAATACCACTGCGACCGATGGCAGTACTGGAGGCACAGGTAATGGAACCACAGCAAATTCGCCAGGATTTATTAGCCAACCCGGCGACCTGGATGACGACCAAGTTGTTTGCACGAACCTTACAACTGGCCGAGCAAATAAGTGTTGGAATGAATTGAAACTTACTCAATGGGTCATAAATTGGGCGAACGACAACAAATGCTACGAGTCTGAAGGCTTTTCAACTTGTTTCTTGCGGCTCAACGGCCTTTGGGGTATTGACTGCTCCCAAATCGCGCCCAACGCTTGCGTTCCTCCCCAGAATCCAAACCTTGCTACTCAGCCAGAAGTCTTCTACGTTGCTTACAACATATACGGTACGCATTAAATCAAGAGGCTTATAACAATATTGCTAACATGATTTTCTTTAGCAATCAATCAATTCTTCTATTCTTGGTGGACGGCAGTAGGGAATTCTGGAGGCATCGCTGCTGACAACATTGGAACGATCGCACAAATCATTGATATTCCCAACAACCAAGGAGTGATCCTTCAGGACATACTGCTTGCGGTTCAGAGCGTTTTTGCGCTCATTCCAGGTCCATTGGGAATTTACGCAGCACACAGCGCTTTCAGCTACACTTGGCAGGCCGCTGCTCAAGTGATATCCAACGCGCTGAACACCCTACCCAACATCGGACGATTTCTCTTTCCGATCGACACTTCGGACTCGAAAATCATTCAACTCGCTGACCTCAGCGCCAACTTTGCACAGACTGTCCTCGTGCCGGTACAAAGCAACCTGAATCAGACTTTAGTCTCGGTCATGTCCAACGAAGCTGAATTCCTTGCTTTCGCGTCTCAAGGCAACTTCACCGCTTTGCCACCTTCCTTACCAGATCAATCGAATTATCTCTATTTCGCATTCAACACCTACCTCATTTCCCAGGCGCTCAACGGTAACAATATTTATGGGGTGATCGCGCGGGGAACAAACCCGCAGGCGATGGACACAAACGGTACGAAGTTGAATTACGATATTGACTGCCAAGAATACAATGAGCAGAACGTTTGCGATGCTTGGTGGTATAGCGGCAACTACGATTCAGCATTTACTCTGAACGACTTCAGCCACATGAATCGAAACTACGGTCAGCAGATCACTAACCTTTTTGCCAATCTCACTACAGGTGAGCTGCTTTTCGAGGGGGCCCAGGCCTGCAATTCCGAGGGCAACTTCGGCCAGCCCATCAATATTACTGTCAATGCAGCCGGTGTCAACACGGCGTGCATTTCTCAACTGCGCATACTGACCTGGGACATGAGTTGCACTCTGCCAAAGAGAGGGCAAATAAACAAAAAGTGCGAATTCCTCGAGACAACATCACAGGACATGTTCCTATTTCAAAATGCGCACGCAGTCACAGACGAAAGCATTCTCAGCGTACCGGCTGGGTATCTGGGCCCTCTGATCACTCAAACGAAGCAGAAGCTTTGGCGTGGCTGATCGATTGTGGAGTGTGGTTTGACTCGTGGCATTGCAACAAAAGTCTTCGCTCCATGCACTGCGCGGGCGTTATCGTATAAATCTTTCAAATGCATAGCGACACAGTTGGTAATAGGAAGCGCGGGTAGGGAGAGCGCTCCATATTATTCTCTAGCATAGCGTCCGGCAAATCCTGGTCTGGCTGGCTGTTGGACAGGCGGTCTTCCCGGGTACTCGTTTCGAATAGATCAATATGTATTCATACTTTAAATACATTAGAATGTAGCATATCTCTATACAGAACTACTCCTTGAGAGTTCATTCAGCAAAGTGTGCTCCGTATGGCCACGAAAGGAGATGATAACAGCACTATGTTTCTCTGCACCGAGCCAAGTGGGGGGAACGCGCCCTTGGCAATCTGCGGGCTGACGGGGCCCAAGCCGCCCAAGAAGGCTCGAATTACCTGACGAGTAAATGAACCACCTGTCATATATGCCACTTCCACGACCTCAAGGCATGGAGCGTATCGCTTCCTTGTATCCTCCCTGTCGGGCGGTCACCTGATTCTTTCGCCGCCATGTTTATGCCACGCAGAAGGATCACCTCACTTGTCCTAGCCTCGATCCTCGTCCTCGGAGTATGGTACGTCTACTCTCTACAAGACGTCACTTCAAACGCAACAAAGGCGAAGGCTAGGCAAGGGTACAGAACAAAGGGAAAATCCTCAACGTCAAGCTCGACCAGCTATGGCTACAATGATGTTCCTTCCAATAATTCAATAGATGAGAGACCTTTTCCCCAAGGGGCCGCAAACCCGGACTCTCCAGAAGCGGTGGGACCCCCTCCAAGATTCACAAAAGGCCAGCACACTTTCGGCACACGCAAGTTCCTCGAGCAGAATCCGGTCAATGACTACAAATACTTTTCGAAAGGGTTGCCCTACAAGCTTGCACAGGTCCAGCATGATTTTGACGCTGAAACAGACGAGGCGAAGGCTACACGGTTGCGGAGACTGAGTGCTGTCAAGTCGAGCTTCGAGCACTCATGGGCGGGATACAAGGCACATGCGTGGATGAAAGACGAGCTGACCCCCTTGGACGGCGGGAGCGTGCAGGCTTTTGGAGGGTGGGCTGCTACATTAGTGGATACATTGGATACGCTCTGGATTATGGGCATGAAAGAGGAGTTTGATGAGGCTGTCGATGCTGCTAAGGACATTGATTTCAATTCAACGACTGACAGCATGCTCAATATTTTCGAGACAACGATCAGGTACCTTGGGGGCTTTCTTGGCGCTTATGACCTGACTGGTGGCACATATCCTATTCTCCTACAAAAAGCGACGGAGGTGGGAGATCTACTGTATTGCGCCTTCGATACGCCGAATCGTATGCCAGTCACACGATGGAAATGGAAAGAGGCGCTTGAGGGAGCTCAACAAACGGCGGGCACCGCGACGCTCATTGCTGAGATCGGCTCCCTCACCCTGGAGTTTACACGGCTTTCCCAATTGACGGGTAACTTGAAGTATTACGATGCAGTAAAGAGGATCTTGAACGAATTCGAGAAATGGCAAAGCTACACCTCTTTACCAGGCTTATGGCCAACTCTTATGAACGCGAAGGCTCTAACTTTTCAGGACAACAGTTACACGCTTGGTAGCATGGCGGACTCGTGGTACGAATACCTACCAAAGCAGCACATGCTGATCGGTGGCCGAGACGATGAGGACCAGCTCAAAAAAATGTATGATCTCGCCATGACCACAGCTATCAACAACATATTCTTTCAACCTATGGTACCGGACAATAAGGACATTCTAATGTCGGGAGCTGTAGTAGTGGACAGCATCACTGGAACCAGACTCAGCGCACAAGGCCAGCATTTGGGATGCTACATCGGTGGTATGGTAGGCATTGGTGCGAAGATCTTCGACAAGCCGGAGCAGATGAACACGGCAAGGAAACTCGTCGATGGCTGCATATGGACATATGACAACATGCCTTCGGGGATCATGCCCGAACAATTCTTCATGGTGCCATGCGAGATGAACTCTGATTGCCAGTGGGATGAAAAGAAATGGGAGGCAACGGTTCTAGAAAGAGCCAAGGGCAAGCAAGAGGCGGGCGAAGAAATCAGAACCGATGCACAACTTCTGAATTACACCATTCACGAAGAAAAGACCCCCAGGGGCTTCACGGAAATCTGGGACGCACGATACCTGCTCCGGCCCGAAGCCATCGAGTCTGTCTTCGTCCTCTATCGCCTTACTGGCGATGCCGACCTTCTAGACTCGGCATGGCGCATGTTCTCGAACATCGAGAGGAATACGCGGACGGAGTTTGGGAATGCAATGATATCGGATGTAAGGATTGATAAGTCGGCGAAGCAGAATAAGATGGAGAGCTTTTGGATGGCGGAGACGCTGAAGTATTTCTATTTGATTTTTAGCGAGCCGAGTGTTGTTAGTCTGGATGAGTATGTGCTGTAAGTGACCTAAACCTGCTGCGTGACATTTGCAATGTGGCAGGGCTGCCGCTGATTCGATGCTTAGGAATACTGAAGCTCACCCCTTCAGACGACCCAAGCCCGGCGTAGATGACGGTCCGCGCTATGGCTGACGGCCCTTCTTCACGACTTTACGATAAGACTGCTTAGCTTCATATGGTATACACTGGCAGGAACCCACATGTGACTTCGAACCTCGGGCGATCGAATCTGCCGGATGAAGCCCTGCCTGGTCTGCGAAATCCCAACAGCCTTGCATACTCTGATTATGCTTGCTCGGTCGAGGCACAAATTGAGCAGGAACTGCGCCTCGTCTGTGCCGACTGCAGAGGTCAAAGAACGTGCAACTTCTTGGGCTGACGGTGGATGGAATGCACGTTTGGAAGGAATGCCAAACTCAGTGGTAAGATTTGGTTCTATTGTCAACCGCAGCATAGCCGCTGTTTCTGCTCGTGTTGATCGCTGGCTGTTATTTTGGCTCGGGGTTGATCCCACTCTTCAGGCGTCCATGGGTGTCATGATAGCTCTGGGTCGAGCTTTGGAGGCGTTATATACCCCTTTTGGATAATGACAGTATGCCTTCCTGGATTTTCTAAAGACTCAATCTGCACTTTATCCATCAAGCAATTTGCGACGTTTCATGAGCAAATTTCCTTTGTCTCGGTCTTGTTCGGAGGATTTTACTGTCTTGAAGCATTCATTGCCTTTATGGAGACATGCAAGACGAACCCGACACCTCCCTTATCTTGCTTTGTCCCATGAGACAAAAAGGTTCTAGAAACAGCGTCTACCCCCATCTCTCTAAACCTCGTGCTTCAATGCCCTTTCCTTTTCTAATCTCTGCGTATTCACCATCAAAACCTCACCACTCCCTCCAACCGCCCATCGATTCACATTTACTACCCCTTTATATTTTCCTCAACAAACCAACTCCAACCATGCCCCTCTCCCTCTCGGACCTCAACGCCGACACCCCACCCTTCCTCACGACCGCCTTCCACAAATCCTCCCTCTCCCACTTCCTCGCCAGCGGCCGCATCCTCGCCCTCTTCCTCCGCGACCTTGCCCTCGGCCCCTCAACCCCCGAAGACACCATCAACGCCCTCTTCGCCGAAGGCAACTACGCGGCCGACTTCAAAGTCCGGATCTGCGGCTCCACCTTCCCAGCCGTCAACAATTGGTTGACGTTTCTTCCTTCGGCGGAGGCGTGTGTGGAGGTTCCATGGGTTTTCACCGTGCTTGGGGTGCTGGTGTGGGTCGTAGGAATGCTGTGTTTGTTCGGCTTGGTGTTGCGTTCGGTGTGGTTGTTGGTGAGGATGATTTGGCTCGTGGTTGGTTTCTTGCTTGATTGTTTGGTTGAGCTGGCGGGTTGGGCTGTGGGTGTTCTTGGGCGATGGCTGGGAATGGGGGAAGAGGGGCCGAGGGAGGTGCCGGTTGTGGTCGTTGTGGATACGGAGAGGAGGCAGTGATGGGTTGAAGGTATGGCGTCGGTGCGGCTGGGACGGCCGTTGCTATATTGTTGGGTAGTATGTCGGGCTGTGTGGCAGTATCAGATCAATGTATGGCTTCTTCAGTTACTCCGTCTCTGCTTCATCGATTTGGCGAAGAGCTTTACGATTCACCGAATAGATAACATGTTAGAGGAGAGGGCAATATGTTTCTCGAGCAAAGCACGCATTGCAGCCCCTAAACCTGTCTTAGGAGTGATAGCGTGTATCTATGTACCCTAGACCAGGAACCATGTGTACGGCATCGCAACGAAGGGTCGCGACTCTCATTTCGTGACACCAAGACGAGGGTACAAACAAAGTTCAAGCATTACCAGTTTTTGGAGTACATTTCTTCCCTCTTCAACTTCCAATGTGAGGTTATGGGACATTTCGACATCGGACTGCGCTGTGCTAAGTCATTGCGCCCTGCGGACATCTTGGATATGTGGTATTGGCCAAAGGCTACTCATAATCTGCTTGTATGTTCTTGGCAAACAATGCGACAATGCTAGAGAACACATACACGCGCTCATTGATCGATGCCCAACCGCTTATGCAATCACTGATCATCAAACTATGACAATCCCTTCGCAACCTCATATTCCTCAACTAGCCATCGTCTCACCTTCACTGTCACTCAGACTATCCCTCCTACCCCTTCCCCTCCTAAAACCCCCCGCCTGCAGCTCTCCCCGAATCACTTCCCAGACCAGGAATAGGATGGAAGTACGCCTTCGTACCCCTACTGTCCTCTGTCATCCCAGCATCGCTATTGGTCGCACTGTATCTGCTCTCAAAATCCAATGGCTCCATGTAGAAACTGCCCGGCATACTTCCTTTAGATCGATGATGTTTGGTTGGAGAGCTCTGTCTCGAGCGCGTCGGCGTGCTATCCGTGCTCGGCGCATGAGCATTCGGCCTTAGTGGACGGTGAGAGTCGGTACTATTGTTGGAGCCTGGCGTCTGGTTATAGAAGTTTGGTTTTTTCTTCGGCGACGGGGTAGTGGGAGTAGGCTCCGCATTCTTCGTAGGCTTGGTCCATTTCGAATCCTTCTTCTTGGGCGTATTGATTGGGATGTGCTGTGCTTGCGAGATATCATCCGAATACGTGGTGTCAGAGTACGCAAAGTCTTGGTTGAAGATACCGTCGGATTCACGATTGAGTCCTCCGACACGAGCAGGCTTCTCTTGCCGGTATGCCCGCATGTCGGTGTCTTCATTATTCTTGTTTCCCCTTGGCAACTTGTTTTTCCTTCCCCCCTGAGCTCCTGTCTTGAAGAACTTTTCATCCATGTCTTGACCTCCACCCGCTACCACGCTCCCTCCGCCCAACCTCGTGGTTCTTGTCGCTCCACTCAGTGTTGTGCCGTTCGGGCCCTTACGCCGCAGTACCGTAGACTTGTAGTCATCCCAATCACCTTTGCGAAATTTGATGCCACCATTCTTTGCCCAGAAGAAGAACCATATTCCGCCGAGGACGAGAAAGACGCCGATGAGAGCGAAGAGGGCAAAGAAGCCGCGATTGTCGATATGGTGAGGATCAACGGAGCCGGAACCGGGTTGGTATGCTGTGCTTGCTCGCTTTGCGATGTCTCGTGTAGCAAAGTATGAACCTGCTTGGAGGGGGGAGAGCGTGTCGGAGCGTGTAATGAGAGGTGAGGATTTCGAGGTCGAGGCGTGAGGAGAGGAGAAGAGGATGGAAAAATAGGAAGCGATTGGAGCCATGGTTGGTAGGGAGTAATGAAATCAACTTTTGAAGTGCTTTCGATCGCTGGAGATGAATCCGCTAGAGGCTGTCTGCCATTAGACGATTGTAAATATTGAATCAGTCCAATGCACGGTGTTGGTGAAGAGACAATCGGTCTGCGAATGGCAATATGGTAGGACTTTTGGTTATGCAGGCCTTCTCAAGTTTCATGAGCCAGCCCGTAAAGACTGAAAGATCAAGTGGTACAAGCTTGGAGGTTGTCGCAATGTGGCTAGGAGGATGATCTATTTACTTTTCGGTCGCCCCACGCAACAGCTTTAATGCCAAGGCTGCAGTCTTTTAGAAAAAAGCACGCAACACCATTGTAACTCGTACCAGCGCCATTATTAGGAATCGAACCTAATACGAACTAAATACCCCCACAACACTTTTGCCCTACAAGCTGTATTAATAACAACCGGATTCTTTCTTCCCACACGCCGACCCTTTTTTTCTCCGAAGAACGCATGTCACTGAGCCGATATCCCTTCCAAAGCTCGAATATGGGACGGTATCCAACGAGCTTATGAACTAAATCCGAAAGAAAGGCGAAATATACCACCGGGAAGTAGAATAAACACCGCTGCCATTTGTCCCTCACCTACCTACGAGCACATGAGACACAAGAATTTCAAGTGGATACTCAACTCAATCAGTCTGTCATGTGTCATTTATCTCGCGCCACAATCTCAACGCAAATTCCGCAAGCAAATGGTCAATAGCTTCAGAAATGGCGTCACTCCTTCGCTGCGAACTCAACGTCTTGCCTACACTTTCAGCAACTCGCCCACAGGGCATTCTCATCAAAATCTTTTCCCTACACTGGCAACATGATTTATTCCTTGCTAACTTTGCACTTATCCCTCCACGACTTCACATGTCCATACTTACGATAGCTCGTCAAATGGTCTATTATTAAGCACACAGGGCCATACAGCTATGTGTCTACTCGTCAATACGTTGGATACATTATTCATGAGAGCATGAGCTCTCCTTGTTGAGTAGCAACTGTCAATTTAAACAAGGTGATCGTAGCTTGACAACATGTGTATAATCACCAAGATAGCTTATAATTAGACAGCCTTTTGATACCCAATGAACTTCTCGCCAATCACGGTAGCAACTGGTATGAATCTACAGAACTTCTACACAGTCTATCTCAGCCAACATCTTCCATACAAAGCCTCCCTTGCAGTTTCTCCCATACAAAATCTGCTACCAAATTTTTTCCGCACAATTTCTCATACCAAACATCTTTCCTACAATTTTCCACGCAATCTCTCCCACCAGGAATCTCGCGTACAAATCTCCCACCAAGTTCTCCCATTCATTAGATCAGTGCGGAGACCGCGGACAACGAAAACGGTGTTGATAGAGTAGGTGGGCATATCTAAATGAGCTTGTATGTTGCTCCGGTCATACCTTGCCGCCGCCATCATCGCTTCATTCAGGCTTGCAAGTTCAGCGTTCAGAGACAACAAATACGAGGAGACTTCGAGCAAGAGCTCTATACACCATTTGCACTCGCCCACTCTACACTCTACAATCCACATCTTCCGAATATGACCCTCCGCGATGGTCCTCCCCTCCCACTCACCGCCACATCGATCCGGGCGCTCCAAAACCCAGCGATCTAAAGCCGGATTCCCCTCAACATCTCTCTCAGAATCCCGTAATTGGCGTAACCATTCCCACGGCGCCAACACGTCAAATCCGAGGTCCGCAGCCCGCGAGGCAGGCAGAGAGTGGCGCGTTAGGAGAAAGTGTGCGGATTGGAAAGGCCGAGCATGGAGGTCGAGGAGGTATCATCCGTCACCTTTGTGGCTCGTTTTGGCAGCGAGACCCGCAATATCCATCACGCTCACCGCGACTGTATCAATGCGCAGCTATGCACATTGCTCGTCCAGCGGGGGCAGCGCATGGATCGTGAGCGCCGACCGCACCATCAACGGAATAGCGTCGTTAACGCTCCAGGCCGCATGTGCGCTATCGCGTTTGATCTGGCCGATTTGGAGTCCATCACGCACTGGATGATTTCTCAGCGATGAGTTCAGAGCGGTCATAGTCGGTGTTTGCGGCATAGGTTAGGAACGGGTTGTGCGCTTCGGGCACGGGGGAGGTGGCGAGGCTGACGGCGGAGATAGAGGAGCTGAAGATGAAGTGCGCGGGAGTGGGATAGGAGGTGGAGCTGAAAGAGGTGTTGGAAAGTGCTGAGTGAGGGGATAAAGGTGGCCATAATAATGCCAGCCTTTAATGACAAGATGCGAAGACATAGTTTAGCTATGACAGTACCGTCCATTGACCTACTCCTCACTATTGATATCTTCCTATACACAATAAGAATGAGTTACGGTCATCTCCAGCTCCAAAGGAGAATACACAAGAAATATACCAATGATATATCTTACATCCGGATGTGTGAAGCGCCGATGTCGGCCCCAATCAGGAAAGAAGGAGTCAGAAGAAGATGCAACCCATGTAAGCTACAGTCTCAAAGTCGGTGTTTCGAACAATGATTGACTCTATCTATCCACCAAGCAATTGTGTCGATAACAGCAACGAGCTGAAGGTATTGAACATCACAAAAGCCTTTTTTGGGGTCCATAGATCCCGGCACCGCGGCCCAAACTTGGTCAGAGGTCTCGCGACTAATTCTGTCGATCCAGGTAGGCAGAAGCCTCTTGCCGTAGAATATCGGGTCTGGGCTGCATTCGTAGCATATTTGGCTACGGATCCAATGGGCATAAAAGTAAAAGACGCAAGTCCAGAATAGTCACTTCGAGAGCTTGGGAGACAGGAACAGGCTTCCATTGATGCTACAGAATATGTGACAAGAGTCCAAGTGAGCGACATCACGACTCCTAAAACTGGGACCACCGGACAGCTTAGGAATGTGACCCTGTGTGCGGCTGATTGTTTGGTACGGAGTACTGTAAGACGGAGTTTATGTAGAGATCCGACCGGTTCTGTCGTCAGCAGCGGCACCAGCGGGGTTGGGTAATCGTCCGTGTTGTATGTGGCACGCCGAGCGGACGTAGAGAGGACCGCATGTAACAATTAGCGGTGGAGTCGTGCCAGTGGACCACATGGATATGTTGTACCATCAATTGCCCTTTCACTTTGCTATACTATTCAAAGGCTGAGAAGATGAAATGCCGCACAAGAAAAGCATTGACGTTCTCACGTAATTGTGCCAGCTTTTGGCAATGATGTACGTCGTGCGTTCGAGAAGTGAGCTACTTGGAATAGAGCGAGGACACCAACAGATCTTTTTACTTAGTGCGATGTCGCTTGATCTATTGGTGTCCTCGCTCTAATCAGACAACGTAGAGATAGTCTGCCAATTCAATCGCTCCTTATCGCTCTTAGCTTGTCCAGTGAAAGACATGACCAATGAGAGAACCAATTCTCCATAATCCAATATTCAACGGGTTCTCCGCCGGGTATATCGTACATCAATCGAGACTCTCGACAAACCCATATGATTTTCCTTGAAATCGAGGCGATTTGAATAGTAAGATCTTACTTTCCGGGCTGCTGAAACCCGATAGACTCGTGATTCCTACCTCGGCCGCACGTTTACAGATTCGCTCGGATGGGGAGGCCAAAATTGAGCAAGAGGAAGGAGGAAGGAGGAAGGAGGAAGGAGGATGGAGGATGGAGGAAGGAGGAAGGAGGAAGGAGGATGATGAATGACATTGCTCTAGATCTTCAGTCTGTTCTGTCATGATGAGAATGAAGCTAATGAAGCCAACAATTTGGGAGTCTAGTACAAAGGATGTCAAAGATGAAAGGGTAAGGTACTTTAGAAGGTGCCCGCCTCCGCCGGAGCTAGGCCTGTCACTCCGCGGTCCGTCCCAAGATACAGTAACATACCTAGGTATGTTACTGTAGTGTACTGTACTATCCAATGCTATTAACGATAAACTTACCTTATATAAAGAGCTTTAATAGGGTAAGCCTAAGGTAATGGCTCTACCTCAAAACTCACCGCCTGCAATACCCAACATTCAACGGCCTTCTTCCCTCTTCCCTCTTCTCACTCTTCCCCTTCTTCCCCTACGCTTCTACACCCTACAATTCCTATTGGCTTATCCCCATATCTCCTGCTAAAAAACAAATCCGTATTCCTCACATCTGACATGGATACTTGCCACACGGCTACCCTCCGCGATCAGAAGAGTGCGCCTTCATATTCTTCTGGCTCTAGGAGCATTTCCTGCCCCTCCCCGTTCATAGCACTGGTAGCACCGATAGTCTCACTTTGAGCACGACCTTGACCCCAGCCCATTTGGAAAGAACTCTATTCCTAAAACTCATACGAGAACACCATTATGGGAGATAGTCAAATCGTGGAAGCCGAAGCTGGGCTTGGGCCGAACCAGGACCCCGTCGATGGTACGCTTCGTGATGATTTGGAGAGGCCGGTACTGCCTGAGAAATCAGAGTCGAGTTCAACCCCACCAATATCCAATCTGGCAAGTGTTGACGTCCGGGCACTCAAGAAACCAAAGAACATACATAGGCTAATGCACACGCAAAGGTCACCTGGGACGGTCCGGATGACCCTGCCAATCCCAAAATAAAATTGGACATACCGGCGCAAATGGACAGTCACCGTCGTCGTATCCGCCTACACTCTCATCTCGTCAATCTCGACTTCTATTGTAGCGCCTGCATTGAGCAGTATCGGTCCCGCATTACATATTCAGAGCGCATTCATCTCTTCGCTTTGTCTTTCGGTCTTCATTCTTGCATACGCCTTCGGTCCGTTCCTCATTGGTCCACTATCTGAGGTCTACGGTCGAGTTTTGGTGCTACAGCTGGCTAATTTGTTCTATTTGGTCTTCAACACTGGCTGTGGGTTTGCACACAACACTACTCAGATGGTGGTCTTCCGCTTCCTCGCAGGACTCGGTGGAAGGTAAAGTTTTTCGAATCAGGTGCCTAACAAGCAAGCTATCAAATTCTTTGGCTGACGACCAAGCAGCGCACCCTTTACAATAGGAAGCGGTATACTTGCAGACTGCTGGGTAGCTGAAGAGCGTGGAAAATCAACCGCTATCTATACTCTGGCCCCTCTCCTCGGTCCAGTGTTGGGACCTGTAATGGGAGGTTTCATTACGGAGAGAACCTCCTGGCGGTGGCTGTTTTGGGTTATCTCGATCGCTGATGGGGCTGTACAAGTTCTCGGCTTTCTGTTCTTGAGGGAAACCTTCGCGCCCACAATACTCGCCAGAAAAGCACAGAAACTGCGAGAAGCTAGCGGCAGTCAAGCCCGGCATACCAAATGGGAATTATCGGGTCGTACATTTTCCAAGATATTGAAGCTAGCACTTGTACGACCATTCGTTCTCCTCGGGACACAGCCTATCATCCAAGTCATTGCCCTCTACCTGGGTTATCTTTATGGTGTCGTTTATCTTGTCTTGACAACGCTTCCCATTTTGTGGACCGAGCGCTACCACGAATCTATCGGGATTGCTGGTCTCAATTACATCTCCCTAGGAATCGGTTACCTGATAGGGACCCAATCCACCGCCCGCATAAACGACACCATCTACAAAATCCTCAAGAAAAGAAGTGGCAAAGAAGTCGGCCGGCCGGAATCCCGCCTTCCTCTTCTTGTACCCGGTGCAATACTTGTCCCAGTTGGTCTCCTTTGGTATTTTTTTTTTTTTTTTTTTTTTTTTTTTTCTTTTTTTTTTTTTTCTTTCCCCTTTTCCCTTTTTTTTGAAACTAATCCTAACGGGTTACCCGCGCCGTTTTTGCTCTGGAAATACGGACCGTGGTTGAGGGTCAAGAGTCGATACGCAGCTGGTGGTGAAGAGCCATAGAGAAGCAGTCTGTGCCCGTCTTGTGAACTGAGTTGGAATTTGGTGAGTACTGCGATATGGGCCGCAGCGAACCGATACATAATCCGCCTCGCATTGCTCACTCATTTCTACGATCCATCCGGCCTAACTGTCACAACCATAGAAGTCATTAGCCACACGCATTGATACAACTATTTTTCGACCCAAATGTACCATACATCGTTTACTTTGGAAGCACACCGCCCAACTTAGCTCAACTGCAATCCGTGGCGTCTGCCACGTCGCCGGAAGTGTTTACAATGTCTCACCAAGGTAAGCCAATGAGCTGAAAGCAATGGTAATTTCCGACGGAATACTTTCAGGTAAATTGCTACGCACTCCCACTATGCAGTCAGCTTATCCTTAACTTGGAATGCTTACTAGTGATCTGTGTGGGAAGATGTATTGCTTCGTTTCATTCATGGCGTCTCATACCCTAGCGTACTAGACGGGTATGGGTTTCGAAATATTATTACTACTTCTTTCAAGCCGTCTCATCGGATAGCCTTCTAAACGGCTATGGGTTGCAAAAAATGAGCTATACTTCCTTCAAGCCGTCTCATCGAACAGCGTTCTAGACAGGTATGGGCCGCTGTCTACAATGATGGATAGTTCGCAATCCACCACTCGTTAATGACTCAGTCGAGCTTCGTACGCAGTGCACGCAGCCCAAACGCTCCATGGGCGTCCGCCTGACCGCTTCACTCATGACGCACGGACTTGTTCCATCTCTCCGAGCTCCTTGATAAAGGGTTTGCATAGCCCCCACTCGTGTATACAGCGCTGTAAGTTGAGTCTGTCCGCACCGTTCAGGGTACGGATTGGCCGAGAAGTACTACTGACTCGGATCAAACAGAGAATTCGACGCCTCCTTTGTCCCGGTAATGATCGCTTTGATGAGATCAGGAGGTATGATGGCGCACTGGCGCGAAGCCATGAGTAAGATATGCCTTCCGTGTTGACATTTCTCTGCGCATCTTGCTAAGTTCTCCAAGGTCAACCATCAAACCTATGGCGTCCGCAACAATTCTATACCGGGAAAATCGGCGCGTTGCCTGAAGATGCACCCGGCTCGACGGCCTCAGACTGGAAGAAGGAAGCTCATGCCAACGGAAAGGCCGAAACCCTTTTAGCATCTTCCATTGCCGAGAAAGCGGTAAAAGATTCACATGAGGAGCCGGCGGCCGCACATCAAACGCAGGCTTTGATGGCAGAGGTGACAACACAGGCTCAGCGTTCATCGATTCCCGGGACTCCCCAGGTCGTACTAACCAATCCGCATACTTCTCAAGCTCCGGCCCCTACAGCTACAACGCCCCTCGTCCCGGTTTCGGCACCGGTATCTGCGGCATCGGCCATTGCCAGCAAGGACGATTCGAAAACACCCCGTGTGGTCACGTTCGAGATCCCTGCGTCATCGGCCGCTCCCAACAAGGACGACTCGAAAACGCCCCGTTTCGTCACGTTGGAAATACCTGCTTCGCTGGCTTCGCACCCGCCCACTACGGTCCCGGCGAACGATGTCACGGTGTTTGCTTTGGAAGGTTGATTTGTTCTTTGGGTTTGTGGGAGTTTTGGTGAGCCGGGGAATGCCAGGAGTAGTCATGGTGAAGCGGGGAGAGGAGGGGAGGGTGAGGCTGGCCGTTTGCTTGCGTATGTTCGAACATGGTCCCTGCTTTTCAAGAGCGTAGAATGATAGACGGTGCTTTACCACTCATGCGGCTTATAGACGGATTGGTTTTGTCATAGAACGGGGAGCGAAAAATAGCACGGATTAATCAATAATAGTCCCACGTTTCAATTCCCAAATTTCTCTACACCGTCATCTCGTTCACTATCACATCCACCTTTTCCTCCGTCTTGTTCCCTCCTATACTACCCAAAAGATTCTTCCCTGCACCAACACCATTACTCTTCTTCGCATGAAACTCTTCGTACGTTCCCAGTTTCTCCTTGTTATCTTCACCATGTGGAAATCCCTCGCCCTTCAACCTCTCCATCCGACACGCGTATGGAAGCTTCAATACATACGCAAGACTGAACCTCGGACACTTACTCTGCGCGCCCGGCGCGGGAAACACACGATGCAAATTGCTCCTCAAAGCGCCTCCGGTCCACTGCACCATCGAGTCCCCAAGGTTGACAGTCGTATGGCCGGGTTCGGGCCGCGCACGTAGCACCAGCCGTCCGTGTCACCGAGGACCTGGAGTCCGCCGGCGATGTTGAAGAGCGCGGTCGCGCTGCCGTTGTCTGGGTGGCCCATCAGGCTTGGTCTGAGCCGCTGACGCTTGCCGTGGTGGCATGTGCAAGAAGCGGAGATTGCTTGGGGACCGTTCTGTAAGAGTATGCATGCATGAGAGGGTCTGAAGGGGAAGAGCGAGGTGCGTGGACAGGTGGGTGAGGATTGTGCCGGTGATGCTGTGCATATGCTTCGCGCATGAGGTTACGAGAGGCCGGCTTCTTCTCGAAGGCGGGCGCGTTGCTGTTGGGTGGTACGAGGGCGAGGAGGTCGTCCGTGGGAAGTGAATCAATCTCGCAGCGATCGGGGCGGCCGTCTTCGATTTTGGTGCCTCCTATCGGTTTGTAGCTGCAGCGCGTAAGTGAAAGGCCCTTTGACGGTATGATAAGACAAAACGAGAATAGTATTATGAACACTGAATTCTGACTCACATATGGCGGATTGAAGAGTCAAGGGAACATCATTCTATTACAGAGCGTGTGCCACTCACCCCAACTTCGACGGTAGCAAAGGAAATTTGGATTTCTCCGCCTCATTCAAGGCATAGAAATCCTGACCGATGTTGAACCCCGCTTCAGTTTCTTTTAAAATGGTCTCTCCTTCGGTACACCCTCTTAGATCCAGCAGAAAGAACCCAAGGCTGGCACAGGCTTCGAACAGAGCTTCCGACTCGGCTTCATCCCCGGAGAATAATTTGCTCAGCTCCAACCGTTGATGCGTAACCGTAGGGAGATCGTCGGGGAAAGGTGGGGATTTGGCAAAGCTTTCGGTGGTAGGCATGGCGTCCTTTCTGGATCTGGGCGTTAAAGTAACGAGATGGAGGCGTATGACTCCAGAGGGGCGAGTATTATGAGAATCGAAAAGTCTGGAACAACAAGACAGTGCAGTTGAGCAAGAGACAAGGTGTCAGGGTTTGAATTGTGATCTGAATGATGCATGTAGTGCACTCGCAATATGGTTAGAATACTTGCTATGAAGAGCTCAAGATTTCTAGGTACTGTGAAGCTTACCTTATATGGTGGTGGCAAGGCCCGCTAGGTCTAATCGGGACGCATGGTGTTTTTTCAGACTGGGAGGCAAGGTAGGCGGGAACTGTGACATACCTAATGACGCTTGAATCGAGGAAGCCAGCATGTGAGGAATCGACACATTCTTGAGTGTCAAGAGGCGTGGCAAGCTTTTGTCATTGTCTCGCAGATCGGGTGGGCACGGATCCTTGGAAGATCCTTCTGCTGACGGCGCTAACTCTGTGCTGGGGATGGTTTGTAGAGTGCAGACAGATGAGTGCTTCCAGGAGCAACATGGAAGAGCCTAAGGACATAGTAAAACTTACGAGTGAATCTCCAATTACACACTGTTGAAGTACATACACAGAGAACCAAAATCGCTCGCTTGCTGCAAAGTGATATCAAACGCTTCGTAACCAATCGTCCAAATCGTCCTAGGCCGTAAATACATCTCTTCGTGTCTCATCCTCCCCGAATCGTGACATTATGTGAGAAATAAACCGAACCAGCCGTTATGATGTTGCTTTTATAGGTCCCTCCAACTTTTAGTCAGATGGCCGAGCCAGCAAGCACTAGACCGAGAAGAGAATCCGAGATGTGATGAAAATCCAACAATTTGAACCAACTAACAGGGGATTGATATGTCCGTACAGCCGTAATATATCGTTCCTTCAGTCTGTGTTTTCCCTAGACGAAATCCACTCGTTCACCTCTAACTCTGCTGCTGCCTCCGAGACTTCTAGTCCTAGTCATAATCCGCTCTCGGACGATCCTCGGCTCTGGTTCATTCTCTTCATTTTCCCTCATCTTCATGGGTGGTCGACTCGTAGTTCTCGTCCGCTCAATCGCAGTCTCGCTCTGACCGTCCCTGTCGGAGTAGTGTTTGCGGCTCTTCTCTCGGCTTTCGCGCCCAGCTGTTGTTCTCCCTCGGGATCCGATGCTAAATTCCATTTCTCCTTCGTCTTTTTTATGGCGGACGCTGATCCTCCGACCCTCCATACCACCTTTCAGGTCGACATTGACGTCGTGAGAGGCATCAACGCGCATAGAGAATTTTTCATTCTCGCTTGGCCGCCGGGACTTGAGATCACTCCCAGCTCTGCTTGTCTTGCTCGTCCTGCTCTTCCCGCTCTTTCCACTCTTGCGACTGCTCGTTTCACTACTTTTGCTGCTTGTATGTGTCTTCTTTCGCATGAGAAGGGTCGGCGAGATTGGAATATGATTCGATGTTCGACCGTTTCCTCTGGACGCTTGGTATGCTTCGACCCCGTCTGTAAGCTCGTTGAAGGATTCGTGACCGTAGACAGTGGCTCGCCGCCTGCGCTTTGCCGCATCGCTTTCGATATTAGTACGAACCATGCCGCGCTCGATGCTATGGGTTTTGGGAACTGTTTCGTTGCTCGTATTGCGAGAGAGTCGTCCCGCGCGCTCATGTGCGCCGTGGCTTTGTCTGACGGGACTCTCATGGCCCACATGTGCCGTAGTACTCTCATCTCGTACAGTCCGGCGGTGAGTAAGTGTAGGACGACTCTCAGCAGTTACGGCATGCCGGATAGCTGGTCTGCGATCTTGGTGAGACGCAGTATTTAATCTTGGTGGTGGTGGAGCAGGAGGAGGCATGTTGTAGTAATCTTCATCGCGTGCAGAGCGTTGCTCTGGCAAGGCCCGTGGGCACTCACGATGCGACAGTTGGCGGGATATCGGCCGCGCAGAGGGCTGAACAGGAGCATAGACTGGCTCTACGTGTTCGATGATTGGCGTAGTTGTATAGAGCACTGACTGAGGGCGAGAGGGAAGGTGGTCATCCGATGTCCAATGTCGTGGGCGCGGATGAGGCCAGTTCTCGTATGGAGAGGGCTGAGAAGTATAGATTTGTTGAGCTTGGTGGATTGGCTGTGGTGGTGGGAAGTATGAGGTTGGGTGCGGTGGGTAGGAAGGTGACACAATTGGAGCGGTGGGAGCGTAGCTCACGGTCGGCGGAGACTCAACGTATATAGGCTGTGGTGATTGGATATAGAGAGATTCAGATGCCACGCCGGCGTACAAGCTTAGGGGTCGTTCTCGATGGTATGAAAGCGAGGTCGAGGCTCTTGGTCGAGAAGGAGCGTGTTGGGGTACCTGTGCACGTCTCATCGGTTGTGATACTTCTGGGACTGGCGCTCTAGCTTTCCCTGTCGATTTACTGGGGTGGTGAGAGGTAGCGTGGCGCGCCTTTGCGACGCAACCTCTGCAGCTGCATGACTCCTTTCGCACAATCTCCTCCTTCCGGCTATTCGAAGCAGCCTTCTGTGAGAGTGGTTTCTCCGGGCTTCGTGACTTGCTATGAGGCTTTTCCTCTCCCTTGGTGGGCCTCGTCTTGCCTGCGACGGCATGTGACTCAGCTCTGATGGTGTCTAAGCCAGACTTGGACTGGAGCGATGAATTTGTGCTCCCTAAGGTTGCGAGTGTCTGACTTGAGTGTCCCGAGTCGCTGAACTCGTCGCGAGCGACTTGAGGTTTGGTGCCGTCCAGCTTGGACCGTTTCGCGGTAATGTTTGCTGTTTTCCTGGTTTCTGGCACCGCAGTCTCGGACTCATCATTGTAATCTTCAACGCACGCAGCCTCGGCGGCGCGAGTATTGGATGGCTTATCTGCCATATAATGGAGCCAGCCAGGGCTACAATGGTCAGCGCAGCTGCACCAATTGTGCAAGGCTGGCTTAACAGAGGCGTCGAGTATGTAATAATGAGTTTGAAATGAGAGCAGAGCGATCTGGAGCACTCGTAGTCCGCGGCTTAAATTTGGGAGGGCCTACGGCTAATCGATAAGCCCCTCTCCACACTCCAACATATATTTCTCAATTCAATGATGACGGTGGATCGAAGGATTCGAAGGATGGGCTACAGAAAGTATGAAATCTTTTGTACACAAAGACCCGGGCATTGCGTCCTGAGCATTTATTGTTACCCTTATGTTGGCATGGGTACGGACTACAGTTACTCGAACTCAAAGATCGAGGAGCATCCAATAACCAATTGAACGCGCGAAAGTTGTCTCGAGTACCTTGATTCACCGCGTCGAGCCCATTGAGTCACAATAGTGTTATGTGATACATTGGGGCTATGGCTGCCTGCGCTAACGGCTAACAGGCTGGCAGCACGTTCCTCAAAGTAGCCCTGGGCAACGGAGTCCTGCATGAAGTTTTACTCGATCAAGCACGCCAACTACGGGCTTTGACTGTCATTTACTTGAATACCTAGCCCTGGTATTTGATCACTGTATGATGCAGAGAGCAGTTGTGTTCACACATGTGCAATGGTAAGTAGGTATCCCAACCATTAAACGTTCTATCCTGCGTCATCTTAGATGAGGAGGAGCCGGCTGATTGGTTTGCATGCCTAAGATCGTTGGTGTCCGACTGGATAGAAACTTCTGTAACGGCGATCAAGCCAGTCAGCCCGTGCATGTCGTGCTCCACTCTAAAGAAAGTTCTCGCCATAGACCGGGTCTCTTTGCCCTCCACTCTTGCAACAAAAGCAGAGAACTTGTTACTGTTCATTCGCTGGATCGAAGCCTACCAAAGTAGAGTCCGAGTCGTTTGCATCAGTGTGCCTTGATTTGACTCTAGAAGCAAGAAGAAGCGAGTCCTTGTAGCTAGACTAGCGAATGGTCGGCCATTGGAAACTTCTGCCCTACCATGCAGAGCGGACGATCACGGGGCCTCTAAAGTAGTACCGTACCCGTGGAGGAACAAGCGGATTGGAACTTGCCAACGCACAATGCCCGCGGATCGGTGGAGGTATGACATATATGAACACTGCTGCCTGAAATCGTTGAAGAGGTTTGTACGTTTTGAACATTGCAGGATACGTTGTTCGCATCCAAAAGTGGCGTCAGCGTGTCTGGAATGGCTATGGTGCCCATATCAGGAAGGTCACTATGAGTCCAGCCAATGCCGAATTGGTTCCTTTACCGACTTTTCCTTGAGCCAGCAGTTGTGCCGTTGCCAACACCGGATCTTCGGCCGTTCCACCGCCCTATTTGAAGTAATGGCAGCGTATCATAACGCAGGTTTGAATCAGGCGGCATTGATGTCCACTGCCTTGACCCATGATCTTGACGAGTTCTTGCTCTGCATTCCGGCAGCGCCAACGGGTATCGTAAGCAGTGACTAGGCTTCCATCACATTCTAGGCATCGTCAGCATTCCATCGCATCGAATTCTTCCAGCAAATTGCTTACCTCTCCACAGGGTTCAATCCCAGCAGCTTCATGCCATTGTTCAACACCTGCCTCGCAGCTTCGTATAAAGCCATTCGCGCTTTCTTGACTTCAGGCTCACTACCCACGACTTGCAGAACATCATAACTCGAGCTGAGCATGTGGGTCATCTTGAAGAGATACGTCAATACAGTGGTGGGCTCTAGAGTCTTCAGCGTATTCTGGACGACATCTGGCCATGATGACAAAGCACGGACAAGGTTGATGGCATGAGTTTCGGTAAGGAGGGAAAGATCCGCAGAATTGAGATCTTGTGGCGTCAAGCCGGCCTTTCGGGTGATAGAGCAGAGACGAGCGTGAGCGTATTGCAGATATGGACCTGTATCTCCCTCGAAGGACGTCATACGCTCTAAGGAGAATTCATAGTCATTGATACTTGAAAGAATGTATCAGCACAATTTACCATCAATTGGGTGTTGTCCATGGAAAATCATACCGTTTGCCCTTCATATCTTGCACCATGACCGCAGTAATGCCAAGGGTATCTGCCGTCTGCTCGGGGTCTGATACTTGCTCGTACTTCTTCTCATTCATCTTCATCACCTCGTGCATCTTCTCGCCTACGTCACGCAGAATGTCGTCCAAGAATTTCACAGTTCCCCTACGTGTACTCATGCCTTGCACCATGCCGAAATTGACGTGCTGACATTTCTCGGAAACCTCGTTGTTGCCCATCAGTTCCAAAATCTTGAAAAGCTGTGCCACGTGCATATCTTGCTGTGATGATATAACGTAAAGCATCTTATCGAAATGATACAGCTCATACCGCTTCACCGCTTCACCGATGTCGCGGGTCAAGTAGAGGGAAGAGCCATCTGTCTTTTTCACTAAAGCTTTGCCGAGCTTCTTGGTGTTTTTATCTTTCGATTTGGTCAGGTCGACGATAACAGCGCCCTTGGAGTTTTCCGACAGACCACTCGCCTCCAACTGTTCGACGGCACGTTCCATCCTTGATTTTTCCACTTGAGACTCACCAGAATAGATGTCAAAGTGAATATTCAGACGGGCGTAAGTCCTGTTATACCTCTCGATACTAAGATCTCGGAACCGGGTCCACGTAGCCAATGCGTCTTTGTCTCCATTCTCCAACTTCTTGAAGTATTGCCGTGCCTTTTCATTCACACTCTTGGCTTCCAGATCTGCTATCCGCTTTTCAAGATCCTTGGTGACCTTTTTGTGTTCTTCAGCCTGTTTCAGCTCCTCCTTCAACTCCTTGATCTCATCCTCTTCTGGCTTCGAAACCTTGTTGATCTCCACATAGATGTCGAATAGATGACCAATCGGGTCCCTTTCCAGCTTCTCTTCGCTGCCGTACATCTCGAATGCATTGGCAAGTAGACCATATTGCCGTCCCCAGTCGCCAAGATAATTTATCCGAAGCACTTTCCATCCTGCCGCCTCGTAGAGGTTTGCCAGGAAACCTCCGATGATGGTACTCCGTAGATGCCCAGCGTGGAATGGCTTTGCTATATTTGGAGAGGAGAACTCGACTATGATCGTTTTCTTGCTCGACGCGTCTGACCCGTCCTTCAATCCCAGCTTGTCATTCGTTCCAAATCTGCTCTTATTCTTGAGTATTGAAGGAATGACGAGCTTCGTCAGTGATTCTGGTTTGAAGTAGAATTGAAGAAATGTGCCGTTGACCACGGGCCTGCCAACCAAATCAGACTCAGGGAACTTCTCCGCGAACTCTGTGGCCAGTTCTCCAGGCTTCTTGCTTTGTATTCGTAGTGCCGGTACTGGCAGCCCTAGATCCCCCTTTTCGAATGTCTGAGTCCATGCCAGCCTCTCAAATATCTCACTCGCGGGTTTGCCAGTGATGGGCGCTAAGGATTCTGAGATCGAGTGCCGGTAAAGATCGACTGGGTTGATGTGTGCGGATGCCGCTTGGGCGTCGGTAGAGGTGTGTACGCTCGCCATGGCTTTCGTGACTGTTTCCGTTATCTTAGGATGTGTATTACGTTGTAGAATACACCTCAACCACAGACGGAGCATCCAGAACACCAAGTGAGTCAGAGCTTCGATTGACGATGACTCTGGATTTTCTTTGACTGTTCATGGCCGAAGAAAAGCCGACCGCAAGCTCCGCAGGGCTGGGCTCTGCGCTAGCGTCAATAGCCGAGAGCGCTCGACAACTTCACATCATCCTGGTTGACTCGTTGAGCCACCAGAGCGACTCGCCAGTTCACGATATTGAGGAAATCGAGGTGAAGGGAGAAGAATTGAGAAATTTTACATCAAGAGATCCTTCTAGCTACACTAATAATTCCTACTGATGTTGTAGCTACCCCTCACAGTGGCAATGGCTAATGGCCTTGGCATGGGTTTCACATGCAACATAGATAGACCTCCTACACCTATCCTACATCCTTCATAGAACATCATAATTGAATGCTATTCTACATGCATATAAGACCACTGAATGCACCCATTATCCAATAGGCTCTACTGTAAGGTTACAGTACTGCCGGTCAGACATCGCCTACAAATGCGGAGATAGAGCACAGCGCAAATATCTGCCTCGAGGAGGGGATCTGGATGAGCTGTTACATCACTACTTGGAAGAATCTTTAACTTCGAAAACCAAGTTCGGGAAAGCGTTTCTTGCCGATATATAAAAATCAATGAGTACCTGCATTGCCCCAGTGAAGGAGACCACCAATCGAGGCTAGCTTTCCAACAACGCTATTAGTTGACTCACACTCACATCCCGTTTCATGTCCCTGTCCGGCTAGTCTTACATCTCTACCGCTTAGGCAGCACTCAGGAAGCACTCGCTAATGGACGTATATTAAGGCTCCTCTCCTTGGTCCTGCCAACTTTTCTACTTACTTCTTGTCTTCATCTTTGCCGTTCTTTCACAAATCTGTACACCAATTAAAGAATTTCCAACAACATGAGGACCGGTACTCAAACCATGTGTGGCTGTTACTATGTGCCGTCTATTAAGGCATCCAAGACGAAGAAGTATCTGCCCCAGGTTGACTTGAAAGCTCACACCATCATACTATCGACTGCTTCTAGGACTGTGCTCTCACAGACCTTTGTCAATCCGTCTTCAAACACCGATGTCAAGGAATGCAAATATGTCTTTCCGCTTTACGATGGGGTGAGTGTTGTCGGCTTCACATGCCAAGTCGGTTCTCGTATCATCAATGGGCTTGTCAAGGAGAAAGCGAAAGCGAAGGAAGAATACGATGCCGCTGTGGAACGTGGGGAGACCGCAGGTCTGCTCGAACAAGGCCCGACCTCTGATGTCTTCATGACTAGCCTCGGCAACATTCCGGCTGGAGAAAAGCTATTAGTCACTGTTACCTACGTCGGCGAGCTCAAGCATGACGTTGGCGCAGATGGAATACGCTTTACAATCCCCACAAGAATCAGTCCGCGGTGAGTCTGATATTCCGCGGGATCCGGTTTGATTTTTACTGCAATATGACTTCTAGACCATGGTTCGACCGCCTGACTCGTTGCACTTGTATTACGACATAACTTCTATCTCGAAGAAATCAGGCTGATTTCGAAACCCTACAGTTATGGCCAAGCTGGGATGGATCAAAACGATTCAACAGTCTCGAAAGGAGATATCGCCATCACAGTCGACGTGAACATGCCTGAGGACTCCGCCATTCAAGAAATACGTTCGCCAAGCCACCCGATCGCTGTGGCCTTTGACAGGACTTCGACTAGCGAGTCTCAACCTCCGCATTTGTCGAGAGCTTCTGCTACCTTGTCTCTTGGCACAAGTACTCTGGATAAAGACATCGTTCTGGAGATCATGCACCAAGTACGTTATATTGGAGTGAATCCTTCCTATTCGAGACCTCTTTCTGGGTCGTCAGGGATATTTTGGGAGCGGGAAAAGGGTTCCTGGTTCTCAGACTTGTCTGACGAGTCGACTTTGTGTTCTGCAATTGGATTATTTTCCTCTTTGTGCTCCCTAGACTTGTCTTAAGCGCTAAATCTGTTTCTTACAAACCGTATGCTGACCTCGTAATCAACGTCAGGATAGCGGCAAGCCCAAAGCTCTCCTGGAGACCCACCCTAATATTTCCGGACAACGAGCTCTAATGGCAACGCTTGTCCCCAATAACCTTGTGCAGCAGTCAAAGCCAGAGATCATCTTTGTTGCGGATCAGAGCGGCAGTATGAAAGGTGCCAGGACCAAGACTTTGGTCGCTGCTCTCCGGATTTTTTTCAAGTCGTTGCCTGTTGGGATCAAGTTTAACATCTGCTACTTTGGAACCCATCATTCATTGCTTTTCCCAGTGAGTCAAGTATACGACCAAATGTCCCTCGAGAAGGCCCTCAAGTCTTTGGATGGACTTGGTGGGAAGTTTGGCGGTACCCAGACCCTTAATGCAATCAGAGCTTCGGTCGAATCCCGTGATGATTCTCAGCCTCTCTCGATAATCCTTGCTACCGACGGCGATATCTGGCAACAGCAGGAGTTGTTCGATTACCTCAACGACTCGGTGGCCACGAGCAAGAAGAACTTGCGTGTCTTCGCTCTAGGTATCGGCAATTCAGTGTCTAGCGCTTTGATCAATGGTGTTGCCCGAGCTGGCAATGGATTCGCCCAGTCCGTTGGAGAAGGAGAGAAGCTAGATGGAAAGGTGATCCGTATGTTGAGGGGTGCGCTCATTCCTGACTATGGCGCATTTACCATGGAGATTCAGTATCAGAAGGACGAGGACGAGGACGGATTCGTGATGGTCGAGCTAGTCAGTGATAGCCTTCGTGTGTTGGAGCTCGATGAGAATGATTGGCCGGACGCACAGCTCGACGAGGAACCCGCTTTTTCTGCCGAGACCACGGCTGGAGGGGAAAAGGACGTGGAAATGCCAGATGCTGACGGTCAAGCCCGCTATAACCATCTGCCTGTTGTGCCAGCACCAAAGCTCATGCAGACGCCCCAAATTATCCCGCCTCTGTACCCTTTTAGCCGTACCAACGTCTATATCCTGATCTCACCAGGCGCTGCTCAGGGCACTGTCAAGTCAGTCGTCCTGAAGGGCAGCTCTGCCGAGAACCCCTTCGCATTAGAGATCCCAATCGAAGTCCTCTCCGAGCCTGGCGAAACTATTCACCAACTTGCCGCCAAGAAAACAGTTTCCGAGTTGGAAGAAGGACGTGGCTGGCTCGTGCACGCCAAGGATGAGAATGGAGTTTTCAGTACGTTATGATTTCCGAGGCGATTCCTTTTCGTTCATGCTTTTTAATGTGTCGTCAGACATGTCTCAAGATTTGTCTGCTCCCGAGACATAATGCTGACTCCGAACCCATCTAGTCAAAGAAAAATACTCCGTCCGCTTTCAATCAATGGTAGAGCGCGAAGCCGTGCGCCTCGGCATCCAATATCAGATCGCTGGAAAGTTCACCTCTTTCGTTGCCACTGAAACAGACCCTGAAAACCCAGAGAACACTGTCTCACGCAAAGCTGGTATTGTCGAGGAAGCAGGAACTAGTCCATCGGTGCTCTATGGTCAGTCCGCTCAACCCAGAAATATGCCATCATTCGGTGCTCTAAGCAGTGTATCAAATTTCGGTGCGCCAGCATCACGTGGATCGCCCGAGGACTCTAGGTCGCACACACAAGGATCGAGTGGACTGTTCGCGTCTTTCCAGCGCACGCCAGCACCCGATGAATCGATTGGCTCTGTGCAGCACAAAAAGAGAGCATTCCACAGTCGTATGTCCACTGGTGGGAAGGCACCGCGCAAGCAACTTGCCTCAAAGGCGGCCCTCAAGATCCCGCCAGATCAGCTCGTACCATTCTCAGCTGAGGTGGCTCAGGATGCTTCAATTCATGATGAGGGGAACGCGAAGCCGGAGGATATAGATCCTTTGCAGAAGATCATTGCCCTGCAGACTTTCGAGGGTTATTGGAACTTAGATGCTCCGTTGCGGGAGGTTGTGGGTTTGTTGGCACAGCACAAGGCCCCTCAGGGCGTGGATTCGAAAGCATGGGCTACTGTGCTGGCAATTACGTTCTTGGAGAGGAAGACGCCAGGCGACAAGGAGGCATGGGAGATGGTAGTCGATAAGGCTAGAGGATGGTTGAAGGACATGGAGGCGCGAGAGGGGGGGGGATTTGAGGAAATGTGGACATTGGCTGAGCAGTTGGTTGTGGGGGCAGACTAGAAGCACTGTTGCGCAAGAAAAGGCCTGGGGTGAGCGAAAAGGCAGGACGGTGGAGTGTCAAACCACGGAAACGAGCAGATAGCCGGCTGTTGACTAGCGATAGCTGCTTTACCATGATATGACATGGCTGCGAAACCCGGCAGCATCATTGCACTCTCGCGCCCACAACCTTGGTCAAATACTGGCAGTAGACCGGTGAACATGTCGACCTCAATTCTGAAGGAGGTGCTTGCAGGACTGGAAGGAGGCGGGGGGCACGATTCGGCTCATTTTCTCCAGACACTTCCGTGTCTGGACCCGTTCTCCAGAAAACAATACGTCCAAACATAACGCCCGTTGAAACAAGGAATTCCACGCGAAGTTCTTCATGCTCTACGCTCGATCATCTTAGAGCTGTTGGTAAAACCACTTCAGTGATACTCCTACAAGAGAACTGGGCGGTAAAGAGCAGCAGACTTGTTAAAGCAGCTAGGCAATTTCTGCAGGTCTTTGGACTTGACCCTTTGGCTTGCAAGTGAATTGAGATGATCCGTCAGGTTAAGGGTCCAATAATCTTACTTTACTTTAAGTTTCTAATCCGAACGCGCATACAGAAGTAAATGTACGGTACATGTAAAAAGTGAGATATTTAACTTTTCTTTTTAAGAGATTTTGTCCCATGAGATAGAACCCACGGAATATACGATCCTGATCTGCCCGAATATAAGCGTGTGACGTGATTTACAACAGAGATGAGAATGGAAAAGGACACAATCAGCCCTACAGGGCGCTCGGCACAATTCCGATATGGATGATCATCGCCATTTTCTTTGTACGCCATTCACATTATCAAGCAAATCAAGTCACCCTCAATTCACCCTCAACAATTGAATCGTGAATAAAATCTCTTCCATTCGCTAACATGATATAGAATTCTTCTTCACTTCTTTATAGCCCAAGACAAGGTGTCTCATACTAATGCACCCCGCAATCTCCTGCGGGCTTCACGCCGCCTCTTCACCACTTGCCTACACGACTATCCGATCAAATCGATCTCCTCAACCCCTGTGAATTCAGGTACGCACGGCCATAGCTTCCCTATTATAACACAGTAGTCTCCACGGATTTTAGAGCCATTGCTGACCCCTATAATTTGTTCAGTCCTCCGCCACCTCCAGCGTGCCGCCGCCTACTCCTTCATGATGCCTCACCCACAAAGCAATCGGCATACCTGTCTGTCCGAATCCTCTACATGTCACCCCCACGACCCTATACCTCAAGAACCAATCTCGATACCTCGACATTCGAGAAGTTCAGCCATTGAGCCATCATCGGACTCAGCATCCTCAAAGTCGTTCGAATACACCTCTGGCTCTGATTATGAATCACCTGGCACGCCGGCAACAGATCCTCAGCTCGATGAGGCAATTGACCAGCAAAAAGATGACAAGACTTTTGTCGTGCCTCCCACCACACCGCGGAAGAGACGAGCTTCGACCCTACTGATATCGCAAACTCCAGAGGATGTCCGACGGATATTGTTACCTGAAAGAGGAGCGGAGACCAAAGAGATTGAAAAGGTCTGCTGCGGAGGAGGTTGCTGTTTCTTAAAGACTTTGGAGGAAGACCCAGCGACCAAGTCTGGCTCCCCGGTGGTCATACCCGATAATGATGCCTTCCGGAGTCTCTGTCTTCGAATTGGCCCTCTCAGCCTTGATAGCGAGCTGACCAATCTTGTTGACCTTCCTGCTGAGACAGTATTGTTCGAAAAATTGTTGACAGACGCATCCCCAGTCCAGTCAACAGTACAAAAGCATCCTCCAAAGTTCGTGACTCCACACCCCCCGTACGAGGTCTACTCAGCCAAGGTCCACCACGCGAGGGAGTTGACCAAGCCGGGAGCGGAAAAGCGAACCTACCATTACGATCTCGACGTCACGGATTATCCAGCTGAAAGTGGGAATGTAGACTTTGTGGTTGGTGGCGCTGTGGGTGTACAAGCACCAAACTCAGATGACCTGGTGGATGAGATCTTTGACCTGCTCAGCGTCCCGGGGTACGCCCGAGACAAGCAGGTGATGATGAAGACCAGCACAGGGCGATGGCCGACTATCTGGGGCGACGACAAACCCAGAGAGCTTGTGACTACCAGGCGAGAACTCCTGACTTGGTGCTCCGACGTCCAGAGCTACCCGCCGACCAAGCCTCTTCTTCGTCTGCTTGCCGAGTACGCAACAGCTGCCAATGAGAAGAAGATCCTCCTCTACCTATCCTCAGCCCAAGGTCAAGCAGCCTTCTGCGACCTACGCACAGGTCCTCACATCACAATCGCTCAGCTGCTCAATGCCTTCCCGTCATCCTACCCCCCACTAGCTCACCTTCTTTCCATTCTCAACACCCTGATGCCACGCTTCTACTCGCTCAGCCAGGACCCACAGTCATCCTGTACACGTGAGGGTACCAATTGTCGACGCCTGATCGAGATTGCCGTCACAGTACACGAGACACCTAATTGGCGGGGTGGACCTCGCACTGGTGTCGGTTCTGGCTTCCTTGAACGCATAGCTCAGAAGGTGCGCGAAGCCGAGAACGAAGGCATCAAAGCTACAGATCTGGACCTTCGAGTGCCCATGTTCCGCGGCTTGATGGCCAACCCTCTAGCTCGCGAATTTGTGACTGATGGACCTATGCTTCTCATCGGTGCAGGCGTTGGCGTAGCACCATTCCGAGGCTTCGTGCAACGACGTCTCAAATCTGCCAACTGTGCCAACAAGGTCTGGGTCTTGCAAGGCGTGCGGGATAGCCTACTGGATGAGCTTTACAGCGGCGAGTGGGGTGTGGAAGAAGAAAAGGTCAAGAAGGTTGTACAGAGCCGACGCGGTGAGGGACGCTATGTGCAAGAGGAGGTGAGACATCAGGCAGATTTGGTGTGGTTCATCATCAATGCCTTGGATGGACGGGTGTTCGTTTGCGGAAGCTCTCAGGGGATGGGAGAAGGGGTGCAGAGGGCGCTAGTTGATGTGGCCATGGACAAGGGGAACCTGAGACGGGAGGAAGCAGAAGAGTTCTGGACAAGGAAGAAGGATGATGGCCAATATATTGCTGTAAGTGGACTCGGCGCTCATGTGGTAGCCAGGATCGCTAATACGAAAGCAGGAGACTTGGTGAGAGGATCAGTACTGTACCGGTTCTTAGGCTACGATGGCTGTACATTCACGAAGACACGGGATACATGAGGCCTGCGACGTTGCGCTTGCATAAGTGAATTTGGCGCCTTCTTAGATTTGCATCCTCAGATACCACGGCTCACGCCCTGTCTTTCCTTGACGCATCTGCATATATTCCTGCTGCTGGGCAGGTTAGCGATCAATCGTTATCAACGAACATAGCACGCAATGAAATCTCCGAGCGACACGATTACAAACAAACAAGTCCACCACTCCACCCACCCTCCCAACCTATCCCATCGGAACCTTCCATCATCCCCCCCCCGGGTAGCAGCTCGAATGTCCTACACAAAATCCCCCCATCTCCACCCCACCCATTGCAGCACTCATCCTCCGCCTCGAAACGTTCGACCGACCCTCCTAAAACAAACGGAGCCGGATCAAGGTTCACAACAGACGAAGTCGCCGTGGCTTCCTGGCCTCCATCCGCCATCCTCTTCCTTAGTCCCTCGTCTCGGTAATCCGACGATGCGGGAATTCTTTTCTTGTTTGTTTGTTTGTTTGTTTCACGCAGCAGACGGGGTCGGATGACTGTATCTACATCATGGCACCGCTTCGTTGTACCTGGGGAAAGAGCTGACGAGATGGCATCCCTCTTTCCGGGTGATTCGTTCCACGGGCCGAGTCTGCGTACTGTACATCAATCGCGGCGAGGCGAGGATTCGAAGCGCAGAGGAGACGGGCGAGGATCGGAGCGAGGTGAAGGGATCGGAAGTCAGATTTGGTTTGTGGGGGGGCGGGGGGGGGAAAGTTGGGGGTTGAAGTGATTTGATAAATTTTTTATCCTCTGTATCTAACTTAAGACGACGGCGATCTGATCGACGAGCTAGATCCCAGCGAAACAAGCGAAACGATTTTCATGCAGTCGCGGTCAATCTCCCAAAGTGTAACGAGCAATCTCAATCCTTTCTCTCCCCTCGCCTCAACCCCTGGTCGTCTCCCACCCAAGCTTGCACGCACAGCGGTAGCAGTGTCCTCCAAAAACGCCGAAGCATTCCGCAACAAGACAACGATATCAATTTCTCACCCGCAGGAACCCAAGCATATCACCCCATCCCCCGGTCGGCCCATCCATCCATCCATCCTAATCCTAAGCGGTGCGTGGAGAAGCAGCGGGTCCGGCCCGCGCCTTGTGCGAGTCGTTGCTTATCGCTCTGATCGTCATCGTCGTCGTCATTGTGGTCAATAATATCGTACACAGAAACCCTCCAAGCCCGTCACGACTTGGTCGCGCCTTTTATTCCTTGACCTCCCTGACCGGAGCCAATGCGGTAACGTCGCCGCCCTCGGAGGCGAACCCATACGATTCGTAATCGGGCGTCATGTCTTCCGTGTGGAGATCTGCATCCGTCGTTCCGGACGTGGCCTCGTCATCGGTCGACTGCGCCGATGGTGAGACCGACGTGGAGATGGCGGCGCTGGAGGAGCTTTGACGCTTGAAGAAGTTGAAGATGCGGGGGAGGAGGAGGGTGGCTCCGGGCTCGAAGCCAATGTCTAGGTCGTCGATGGCTTCGCTGGCGCTGGAGGCGCTTGAGATGTCGGAAATGTCGGAGCCACGGCGGTGGTGGAGATGGCCGGTGATTTCGCCATTCTTGAAAGCCAAGGGGGCGGCGTGCGTGGTAGAGAGGAGAGAAATGGCGGCTACGGTGATGGCTGCTGAGGAGAGCTTCATGTTGATTGATTGGGTGGGGATGTTGGTTGGTAGTACTGGGATATAGGGTGATCGATGTCGAGTGCAGAAGACTGTATGGAGATATTGCTATGCTATTCGTAATTGTGGGTACCTTGGTTAAGGTTCTCAATGATCTTCGATGCTATGGAGATTTTTATGGAGATATCTGTGGGGGAAGAAGCTGGGTATTTGTACTCGCAAGGGCGCGAGCAATATTGGAGTCAAACTATGACGGTGATCATGGGGATCGAAAGCATCGCGGTTGAAATCAAGGCCGTTGAAACAACCAGTGTAAACCAAGCGCCGCTAACCCATTGCGAGCATATATGACGGGCAAGGTCAGGCAGGCAATGAGGATCGGGAGCGGCGCCTAACCTATTGAAACAAGATGCATGAAGCGACCAAAGGCAAGGCAAGCCAGTCGACCGTTCGATTCGAAACGCACAAGAGACGGCATGCTGAGATTGATAAGGGCGGTGAACAGAATTGCCCCCACATCATGTGGGATCCTGGGGTTGCCGCCCACTCAAGTTGCAGCGTAGGGCAAAACAACCCCTGTGGCCACGCCGATGGTGGGGATATGTCGTCGATTTGCGCAGTCGAAGAGGACAAAGGGACTAATCGAGGAATTTCTGAGGCAAATATGGTAAGTGAAACGCGGTTCACCTTCTTGTCTGGTGCGGCTATCGCTTACATGGCAATGGTGACATATAAGCCCTTGCCTCCTGAGGTATTTTGTACCTATCATACTGAGTAGAGTGGATAAAAGCGAGAGAAGGTCAGTGAAAGCGGATTCCTGGCCTGCTGATCTATCTTACTCTGCCGATGACCCGTCAAAGCCTCCCCAATCTCTTTTGCTGTGGGACTGTATGACACAAACTCCGCATTTGCCTTAACGCCTACTTCCATGAGTGACCGCTTGGTTGGTGAAGCTCAAGAACCCATTGGCTCGTGATCCCCTGCACTGCTTTTGCGGCTCCTAAATCTAATCTCAAGTAAGCTCAACTGCATCGCGTCGGTGTACTGTTTCAGGCATCTAGATCGTAGGAAATATATTGGCTGTCAAAAACTCAGAGGACGATACAGCAGGCTGTACAAAGGAAAATATTCTTCTCACGTGCACTGACGTAGTGCGTGGGGTGCTCATCCAGATCCTTGCTCAGCTCGTGCTGTCTGGGATTTTGGAAGCGTTCGCTGAGAGATATTTTAGCAGCTCTTTTGGAAGCGATGCTCAATTCTGTTTCGTGCACATAGATCGTAGGATTGTAGGAACGACGACCGAAGCACAACTTCGCATCCGGGGAAGTTAGTGAAAATTCTCGTCTCATGTGACATAGTAGATGGAGAAATTCAAATGGGCTTTGATTCGATTTGTCAATCCAGCGCAGCTGACGTCGGTACTTCTATACCGTGGATCATTTGTGCTGGAATTCGGATAACGTGCCTGCCGTGATTGCGAGCGCTCTTTCGGGCAACAGCATTTCCGAAGGCCACACGATCCTTTCGACCCCGACCGCAAGGTTCCGTACAACTCTTAGTCATCAGCAGTATGAATCACTTGCCTGTGATGGCTTTCGCCAGTTGATATGGCCGGAATCCTTGGGTATGTCTTCCGGGGCCATACAACATAATCGATATATTGAGATCGGTCGATGAGAACTCCAGGGGCTTTATACATTGCAAGACCATGCAATAAGAACAACAAATTTCATTTTGCATAATGCACTAGCAAATCGATAGAGTAGATTTCATGCTTTGAGAGATATGCAGGTCAGGTTTACAAGAGCACGGTGTGCAGTCTGGCTCTCCTCAAGATTGTCTCGGCAGCTTGAGAGGCAAGACCTTCCTATTCCGTGAGTCACAATGGGTCAGATTTCGTCAACGCTGGTGAGTGCAGCGCTTTGCTTCCAGAGGCGCCAGGCGACGCAATTGAAGCATCTCGTGGCCAATGTGCTGCCTCCTGAAGCACTTGCACAGTCAACCTAATTGAGTGCCAAAGATATGGAGCACTATGGCAAGTAAATGGTTTCACCCCAAAGTTTGGTGCTACAAAGATCACGAGAGTGGGTTATCGGTAGGTCCAAACCACTGGAGTTGCTGTCAAGATTGCTCGTCGCCTAGCAAACTGTGCCCTTTCCTCCCTCGAAGGCGGCACGAAGAGTCACCAGTAAGATGAAGACGCTGTAAGTTTTCGTGGGCTTGATGCTAATGTCTTCCCTTCGCGTTGAAAGTTTTCAAAGGATCTGACTTCCGTCCTGCAGGCTTCTTGCCTTTCCCTTTCATACGATTCTGCATTCTCGCTTTCCTGATCCTATTGTCAGTGTTCTTCCTCAATCCAACGAAGCCAATGTCCTCTCCTGCTATGCCTTTCTTGCCATTGCTTGGCAAAAGATACTCTGGGATGTGCCTAAGATGGGACTGGATTCTCGCTGCTCTGAGTTCGCCATCGTGCCTCAAGTGATGCAAGTCCTCTGGGTTCTCCTCGAAATGCCTCTTCAATTTCTCACTATTCAAGAGCTCCTGCCTGAGCTCTCGGGTCCGTGCCTCTCGAACGGCAACCCGCGTGACTGCTCTTAATGCGTCGTTCATACGGTAGCGGAAAGATTCTACCTGCTTCATATCAAAGTGGTAATCCTTCACCTCCTTGCCTTTCTTCTTTTGGAGTCTCATGATCGTGTCCAAGACCTCTTCATCGTGTTGTGCACTAGAAAGGGTAGTGGGTTTGTGCTTATGATAATGCTCTGCAGGCACAACAAACGATAACGCCATTCCGGTTTTCCCAGCCCGTGCGGTCCTTCCGATGCGATGTGTATACGATTTGGACGATGTGGGCAGATCAAAATTAAGAACGCAAGCCACATTTTGGAAATCGATGCCGCGCGATATGCCATACTCTTTACTTTCCTTGCTCTTCTTTCGTTGCTTCTTCAGGTCGGCAGGCTTTGCCGAATCAGATGCTGCGTCATCGTGGGTAGTACTGCTTGCTGGAGATTTTGACGGTGGATCTTCACCGTTGGTAGCGTCGTCATCGCCATGAGACGCACTCGGTCCATCGATTGCGGTCTTTGACTTTTTGGAATGACGCCCCTCTCGGACGTCCAAGACCTCATGTTCATCGGAAGCTATTATGATATCATAGACATTCTTATTGAACTCTTCAACAACATGAACACGTGAATTGACCGGTAATTCTGAGTTGAGAACACAACTCTTGATTCCGAACTGCTCGAAGAATAGCTTCAAGCGGTAGCATCTGTCAATATCCGCGACAAAGATGATACACTTTCCTTTGATCAATTTCAACTTAAAGATCACGTATGCTAAAAGGAATTTCGCGTCCTCAGCGCATCTGTGAAGCATACAATTTAGCAGCTGCAAGAGTGTTGCAAAGATAGAGCCCGATGAACGTACCTGACGGTATATTGACTGACTCCACCGCCGTCGTCCACTGTCTCTTGAAGGTCCAAGACTGCTGGATTTCGGCAGAAGAGACCTTTGAGGGTGTTGACTTCGGTACTTAGGGTTGCGCTCAATAGGATTGTTTGAACCCCTTTTGGCACCGCCTCAGCGATTATCTGCAGATCATCATCGTGGCCATATGAGAGGATCAGGTCCGCCTCGTCTATCACTAGGTGTGCGAGTTTTTCGACAGAAAACGCCGAGCTTTGTAGATATAGAGATGCACGAGCCGGCGTAGCAACGACAATGTCCGGGGCTTCCGCCAGAAGTGACCGCTGCACACTTTCAGGTATTTTCTTTTTGGTGGCGCTGAGGGGATTGAGATTGACGGCTCGAATGTCCTTCAAACAAAAAGCTGAGAAGTTGGAGGCTGCATCGGAGACCTGCTTGGCAAGCTCATGGGTGGGAACAAGGATAAGGGCAGATGTAGTTTTGTGGGTGGTGCTGGTCTAATTACGAGGTTAGCTGTGTGAAAGTTGGAGGGCACGAAGGATCATAGACCGATGTTTTCTGCAGTATCGATTGGAGGATTGGAAGGATGTATGCAGCAGTCTTGCCAGAGCCAGTCTTGGAGCGAGCTGGAAGGAGCAAATCAGTTGTCAGAACCTTTCTCCCAAACTCTTGATCGTCATACCTAGTATGTCTTTGCCCTCAAGAGCAAGCGGTATCGCTCTGGATTGGACCAGCGTTGGGGCAGAGAAATTCTGCTGCGCAACAGCTTGGAGGAGCCGGGAATCCAGGCCGAGGGAATTAAAATTGGAGGGTTTCTTGGAAGCATGAGTCGTATCGACAGCCATGGGGACATCATCCTCATCTAACTTGCGCTTCATGATTGGGATGAGCGTAATGTCAGAGACTTATTAGACTGTGCACAAGGTTATTCTGAGATTTTGTCCCCGCCGTAGGTACATAGGGCTTTATGAATTGCAAATTAAATAAGAATGCTTGGCAAAGCTGATTCAGCGGGTGCTTCTAAACCTCAGCCAACGCTAGTGTACAGTACCGGAGAGCCATTAGGCCGACCCAGCCACATTCCCCTGATTAGTAAGAGATTGCAGTAGTAAATAGGGGACACGTCCTGGCTGATCTTACCGTCTTCCCCATACCTCGCTGTCGCCACCCTCTACCCTCCCACACCTCCCACACCTCGCTATCGTTAAATCTTCGCGTATACCATTCTCAATAGCCTCAATGTCGTACCCCGCCTCGTGCGCCAGCCCCCACAGTATGGGGTCTTTGAGGATACCCAGGAGGAGCTCGATTGGTATGGTAGCAACCCGGAGGGTATTAATCGAGACCGCACCCCGGAAGCAGAGTACTCGGACGAATTCTTGCCACTTAAGGAAGAAGATAGTGGCTCCAGCGATGGCGAATGGAGCAGGCCCACCTATTCTGACGCGTCCAGGTCACCGTCGCCCCCTCCGAAGCCCTCTACCTCCCCCTCCTCCCACAAACGCAAGGCGTTTACCTCCCTAGACGAGCGGAAAGAACACCCCCAAAAGGGTAGCAAGCGTAGCAAGCCCGCCCCAGTGATACCCCCGGAGCTGGCGTCAACAATGCTGAAGTTACCCCCTCATACCCCAGAGACGCGTCAAGCTGCTTTCTCGTTAGGCACACCTATTTGCTGGACAGCTGAAGAATTCGACGCGTACTGGGTGGCTATATTACGTCAAATGACGGGCCCTATTCGATAGCAGGGTGCCCAAGAGGCCCTGAAGGAGCTCGCTAATGATGGGCATGATATAGCCAGATTAGAGGTGCCTCCGAGGTGGCATCGCATGGAGGATGCGGAGTAGATAGCCCCCCAATGGAACCCCCAATGGAACCCCTCTATGGCGACAGCGAGGTGTCCCTAAACCCCCCATAGTAGACTGCCAACTCCGCTGCATCCCTCATGTAAATTCCGCCCTGAGCGGCAGCAAGGCCTGCGGGCCTCGGTGGCTATCTAGAAGCCTTCTCCACCTCATAAGAGGCGACAGCGAGGTCTTCCGAAACCTCCATAGTAGGCCGCCAACTCCGCTACATCCCCCATACAAATTCCGCCCTGACAGGTAGCAATGCAGGCGGACTGCGATGGCTAGCCTAAAAGCCTTCCCCGCCCTATTCCCCGCCCCATTACAAGTGACAGCGAGGTCGCTGACGACGACAACGATGTCTCGGCGACGTCGCGCCTTATTTTGGTATGGCGCCCATACAAATATGGCGCAGCCACCCTGAAACTATGCTAACGGTATTTTATTTAGCATTGGCTGAGGTATAGAAGCACCCGATTCAGCTCCGCCTCCGACTTTTTGTTAGCGTCATTCATAGAAAATTGTAGAGAACGTACTTGCCACTCACGACATTCGTGATACCGAAGCTAGTGGGTATACACGCTTTTCCTGGTGTTTTGCCTCTGACTTAGGCGTGTAATAGCCACATCGCCAGCCCTTGCTCCGGACGCGATGCCACCATTCAGAAAGGATCCCTCTGTACGCCAGCGTGCCCAACTCTTGCTCGAATCCCATTGGCGACCTGAAGCCGTAGCTGCGGATGCCTGTTCCAGTGTATCGACGGCGTATCGATGGGAGCGGAACCTTGCTATCTATGGTGACACCGTGATCCCTCGTGACAGGTACATTCATACACAAGGGCGATGCCGCAGCCTCTCACCTGCTGCTTTAGACGCTCTTCTTGACTACCAGCGGGATTTCTGAAGCATATAATCGATGTTAGTGGCTGTGATAGATTTGCGGTGGAGCATTTCAAGCAGAGCACTGCAGGCTACATATTTGACGGCGAAATTGAGGCATTTGAACGAGATTTGGAGCATTTGACTATGGAGATAACAGAGTAGTTACAATGAAATACTACGTAATATCAATCAAAATCCTCCACCTTCTCTATGACCTTCTCCCTGACCTAATCGTTTCAGAGCATAAGCATGCTGATAAGAGTGGGCTGGTACAAGAGTGGCAAGTACGTTCTCTACAATTTTCTATGAATGGCGCTAACAAAAAGTCGGAGGCGGAGCTAAATTAGCTTTGCCAAGCATTCTTATTTAATTTGCAATTCATAACTGACTCCCGATAACTTGTCCGCGCCACCCCCATGCCAATGCCGTTCTTCTACATACTACACGTCTCAAAGGTCCCATGCCAAAGAAGAGAGCGCCGACCTATGATACTAAACCAAGTAGCCCTGCTCACCCTTCACTCTTGTCCTCCGGCAAGCCCAAAGATGCGCGCTCGCTAGGGTCAAATAATAGCCCTTCAGGAAACTCTGTGAATGATCGTATACAGCAACTCCGGATCAGCCAAGGAATCTCACCGTCACTGCTGGGAAGTCAAATTTGTCGACCTTCCTCACAAGTCCTGAGTCCCGGGGCAGGACCATCTCTACCGCCGTCGTTGAGAAGCATTCTCCAGCTTCCAGAAGATGCCCCATCACCACGGCCTCGCCCTGGTCTACGAGTCACAGGGCGGGCACGAGGACCAGCCGGTCCGGCTCCACCGGTCAGTTGGCTGAAGAGAAGAGAGCAAGTAAGAGGACAAAAGCCAGGGAACGCACAAATATTGCTAGGTGGCACAAACGCAAAGACCGAACAGCTTCCCGGATCCTTTCTCCCAAATCATGGCAGTCTTATTCACACATCTCTGAAGGCGCTGACCATGAATTGGGACTGGCATGTGCAGTACGACCAGTATTATCTAGCTACTATCCCAGTCCGGTATAAAGAAGCTCTGCTCACTTACATCGCTCGTTACAGCGATAGTGGCACCGATAAGGCAGGACTTGAGGTGCTGTTTCTGGACGATACAGAGCTGGAGGACGCTACAGGCGTCCACGGCCTTGCACGCTTAGATCTATCCAAGTCCATAGGTCACCCTCTGAAGCTGAAACATCTAAAGGATATCCTTACGGCCAAGAAGACGATATCTACTGGAGAAGAGACCTCAGATGGAGTACCAGAAAGCTGGGATACGCCCGATCCTCTGGCTGTACCGTCAGGTTTGCCCAGGTTCTATTCCTTGACCCATCTGTCTCTTTCCCGTCCAAACAACGCAGCGACATGGAAAGGGTTGCTAGACCTGGCACCTCACTTGGCGACCATCACACATCTCTCGCTAGCCTACTGGCCGACTCCCATGATCTCACCGAACTCTGCCACTGCTTATCGAGAGACTCCCCAAGGAGATGTCAATTTTGGTGCAAGCAGCTTCTACAGCAGTTTTGACAACGACTGGACCGAGGCCGCTTCGATCCTGCGTCGTCTGAGTAAATCGTCGTACTGCTTGAAGTGGCTGGATCTGACCGGCTGCTTTCCCTGGGTGCAAGCACTGAAATATGACCAGATAGACTGGTGTGGGGCATGGCGAGCGCTTGAAACGGTTAAGATCGGTCAGGGGTATATACCTGAATGTTTTCAAGATAATGCGACAGCAATGGCTTGGCGAGATGTCTACCGGAACAGGGTGTCTCTTCCCAATCACGAAATGTCAATCTTCACCGATAGCTATCAGAAAAGGCGGTTGGTCGAATGGGTGGACGCGGAAGGCGTCACTATAGGCGTGGAAGAAACAGTGAACAGAAAGATAGGTGAATCGATGAGGAAAGCAACGACCGCTGGGGTCCACGAGCCTGAAGGGACAAGACCAGAGGGCGAAGGCTTCGATGGTTGGGCGAAGATCCCATCAGTTGCAGTCTCGGCTGAGAGTCGTTCACAAAGAATCATCTTCGAGCGTGGATGGGATTCGTGGTGGATCCGTGATGCTATTCGCCAGATCAGAGAGATGGAAGCAAGGGGTGACCACACTGTGGTCCGCGCAATGCCAAACATGACCGGCGTCACGTAGCCAACGTATCACAGTTTCAAGCAACACAGGAATACTCGTTCTTTGCGAGAAGCCTTCTAGGGGCCAAGATCTATGCAGTCTCAACGTCACTCACCCAGTACACAACCTGCGTTACCAAATCAACTACCATGGATGTCGGTGAAACGCATTCTGGTATTGTCATCGTCATTGAATAGCGCCAGTCGAACAAGAGATTGGAGTTGTACTGCACGTTAATACGTTCAGCGCTGATTTGTTCTTGGCGTAAAGGATTCAGGTGTCTACAAGGAAAGGCCTTTAGATTGCCTTCAACCACAGCAATCCATACTAGAGAGTGGACATATAAGCGTTATTCTGCGACTGTGTATTGCGAGCATGTTCAGTGTCAAGTGAATCTCGATAGAATTGGTTGCGAAGCTGGAGAGACAGCTCAAGCAGAGGGCAGCGAGAACCAACATTTCCATGTGTCCTTGTCGATGTGCCACCGGCATCGATGGTCGCGTTCTGTTCAAAACGAACAGGCCTTGCTCTGGGGGTGAAGGCAGACGCAGACGTGATCGTGCTGTAGTCACAGATGACTTGATCAGGATCAACTGAAGATAAAAATTGGTGGGTATAAACCCTCAATCAAAGCGTAGCGACTCGAGCCACTGTCGTTAACGCCGTGTAGCTGCAACGTAATCTATTCATAGGGGCTGCATAATGGTACAAGCGCCGTCTCCAACTTTCGAAAGCTTCTTTGTTTTTGCCGCGAATGGAACACCGTGCTCTGATTCGCTCCAGGCAGGTGGAGTATGAGACGGAGATGCAAGATCTAGATAGCAGATGATTGATAGATACGATAGTGTTTGTTGAAATAGAAGCTGGAGACTTACTAGACGCACCGATTACGCTTGGTAGAGGATATCGGCAAGCTTTGTGTCTATGGTTTTGAGCTCTTGTGCTGTTGACCAATTAGTACACACCAATTTAGTCATTGCGACGATTGACCCTGCTGTGCCATGGATTGTTATCATGAGAATCTGATCTGGATCTACCCAGCTTGTCCACAACTACATATTAATGCGGTAACGATACTTTGGAACGTCGTAGAGTAGAGCTGAATTGACTATCTGACTGCTATGATACATTCAAGCAACACCTCCTTGAAACGCGCTATCACACTGGAATGAGCCCATGCGAGTCGCTCCCTCAAATTGTAATCTACAAGAATAGAAAGAAGTTGAAGGTCTTATCGATGTTGGTTGTAAAAAAAAAGTAAGTAGCGTATCGCTCATCGAGTCGGCGGACCCGTTCAGTCCTCAGCTTTGCTCCATAGTACCATCCACAACTTCCCAAGCCCGGGACGCACGATCACTGCCTACTACGACAGCGATATCATGGGTATGCATCCGTGTAAAGCTCTTCATTGAGAGCATCCACCACGTTTGGCAAGGCTAGCCTTGCGATGTCGGATGCTTGAGTGGCCGTAGCCGTCGAATTGGATAGAGCGGCAATCGATGAAGATGGACTGTGAGCTGTGTTGATTGGAGTTGCATCGTTTTCTGCCTCTACGTCCTGAACGTGATCATCAGGGGCGAGACCTGAACGGCCCATCTCAGTATGAAAGGCTGCTGTTTGGTGGGTGGCTTCCGCACGAATAGTTTCTTCATACTCAAGGTGGGGTTGGGCGGTGGGGTCGGCCTGATCCAGAGTGGCATCGTGGTCTGGTACGGAGCGTAGAAGTACTGCCGCAGTGGAGTGTTGGGTGTCGGGTCGAAGATCTTCTTCATCTTCTTCCGAATTGGGAATTGGACCGGAAGTATCATCTGTTGTGGGTCCTTCGGTGACTGCACGACCGCCTCTTCCATGAACTTCTTCTTCAGACGTGGGAGTTGAAGTGATATAGTCACCCGTTGCTGGACCCTCGATTACTGCACGATTGACTTCTCCGTGTGTTACTGGTGTGACCAGGGTTGGGTTAGATGTATTGATATTCTGGATGTTCTGGATGTTCTGGATGTTCTGGATGTTCTGGATGTTCTGGATGTTCTGGATGTTCTGGATGTTCTGGATGTTACGAAGCAGCCTTTGGCTGACGGGATGAGCCGGGCCCAAGCTGGCAATAAGGGCCAGATTGGCCCGTATTGAAGTGAGTCCTTGAAATGTGCTGTTGAACGCATCCACGGTCCTAACGAATTCTCGAATATTTAGAAAGTTCATATGGTTCTGTAAGTCTCGGAGCCAGTTCTGAAGGTTCTCGATGGTGAGATGGTGAAGTCTGTCTACGAGATTCATGACTTCTACCGTACCAGGTATCGTCGCGCCGAAGCTAACTCTTGGTCTGGGCTGGAATCCCGCGGCTGTGCTCTGAATGGGAGTCGGTAGCTGGTTAACTTGAGTGCTCTGAAGCTGACCTTGAGAGCTAGGGACAGCCGGGCGCAGACTGGGAATGGGAGCTAGTCTGTCCCTTGTAGCTCTTGCTGCACGGAGCTCGTGCATCAAGCTGTCCAGTCTGCCACGGACCGGAGTTATTGTGGATTCACTACGAAGGTCGTCGATGCTGCTCTCAAGCTCCTCGATGTATTGTTGATGTCTGCGTGCCTGACGTACGCTCTCTGGCACAGTAGGATCCCGCACGGGCGCTCGACTGGCAATGGGGGCATGTCTGTGGTCGGCACCAGTGGCTCGACGAAGTTCTCGCATCAATTCGTCCAGTGAGCCGCGGACCAGCATCAGTCTAGGGTCATTACGAATTTCTTGGATGTGTCTCTCGATGTAGCGCGAACGTCTGACTGCGAAGCTCCTGGCTTCTGGACCAGGAGTGTCTCGTACGGGCTGTCTGCTAAACACGGGAGGAGGTCGCACGACCGGGGGGGTGAAGATTGGAAGAAGAGCACCTCCCACTTCAATGCTGGGCTCCGATGCAAACTCATTCATTCTCTCTCGGGGACGTCCCTCTCTAAGCCTGTGCTCCGTGTCACGTCTGATTACTGTCGCTTGGGCATCCACCTCGCCATTGAGCTCTTGTTCAGATTCGAGAGGTGGAAGACCCATGCGCTCAGGCAGCGGTGCTTCACGAATATGCCAGATCTGAATTACATTTGGCTGGCACATCATTGGAACCTTAGGCAGAAGGCAAGATTTCTCAGGAGCGCCGGGCACGAGTGCATCAGGCCAGTCCATGATGGGGAGGTCAGGCAGCCGGTAGGGATCGTGAAGTGCACCAGACATGGGGTTGCCATCGAGTTGGCAATGTTGAAGAGACGCTGATATATTCGCCAACATGCCCGACTGCAGAGTTCCGTGTGGGTAGCTTCGCATCCAGGATGGTAGCAAGCGAAGGTGGGATCGCTCTTTCTGGTCATCGAATCGCTGCTGGAGTTCACGGGTAGGGTCATGGAATATCCACTTGTAGTTGGCCTTGGTAGTACGATAGACTTTCTGCTGATCGCGTTTGGCCTTCTTGCGCTTAGCTCGCTTTGCTTGCCTTAGCTCCAATGTTTCTCGATCGACCCATCCAAGCGTTGTTCTCAGACATTGTGGCCGAGGTGATGGAGTATGGATCTTCCACGAACCCCAGTTGTGAATGCTTCGCCATAAAGCCCAGGAGACGAAAATCAATGACGGTATTGCAACGCTGAGGTACGCGGGGATCAGAGCGAATCTGAATGGATCCTTCTTCTTCTCCTTGTCTTCATCGGCTGATACTGATGCTGCCAGTGCGAAGAACACTAATAGGGCAAGTATCATGTGTAGCACAGGTATGGGCTTCATTTTGACATGCTGGTAGGTTAATTAGCCTCATTCTGACAAAATTCTTGAAAGAGATAGTGACTAGTGCCAATGCCTCTGTCAGACGCTTACTAGTGACAACGTCTCTCCGTTAGCCAAAGATATGGGTCGACAATTCGTGACGATGACGACGATAGATGGGAGACTACTTGCTATCGATGATATCTTAGTGCTTGTCAAAGGAGCAAGGAGAAAGCCTCGTTCCAAGGAAGAAGGGCTGATGTACTTACTGATGAAGTGCTCGCTATAACTAATGCTGAAGATGCGGATTAAGGGCTTGCTAGCACGAAGATAGAAACGGCGGTACTGCTGGCTGATGTAGAGATTTTTATGCTAGTCAAGGACAAGTCGCTCATCAAAGTGGACGTGTCGTGATTGAGAAGGATTTTTTCTCTCTTCGAAGTCCCGATTGAGCTTTCGAGTTTTCAGACACTGCCAGATCACGAGCCAAACACCACCAACAAGGAAGACTGCGATCCCTCCAGCTATGACAGCGATAGGCCAATCGATACCCAGAATGAAGCCTCTGTCCATTCGGTCACACAGGCCATGCAGCAGAAGTCTAGAATAGATGTATTGATGCAAGTAAGCGAGGGACTAATGCGGTATGACTGTTGCTAAATGAGTAGTGATGTGTGATATGAAGAACCTATGTTGCTGGGTGATGTTCACACGAAGAGATCCTGGAGGTCAAATGTTGGAAGGAGCACTTTGGTCCTGGCTATCGTCCCCGGCAACTGCGTTATGCAGAATTTTACGTGTCTAAGACGTGATATAAACGAAGATCATCGCAAAGCACTTATTGCGATGTCTTCTCATCAAGTTTTTTTTGACTCTGTACAACTCTTCCGTGCAACCCCGTGAGCTGGAGCAAACATCCTCATCCTTTGAAGAGTCTGTAACCTAACACACTGAGCCAACAAGGATCTCCTCCTTCGACCTCCCACATCTACTGCAGCTGCGGTTCACAAGCATTTGCAAACAGGTAAGCTTCTCATTCATTGTAAGGGCATTGGAAACTGTGCAAACACCTGACTTGTGCTCCACAGGCTGACCCACACCGCAGCAAAATGCGTCTTGCGCCGATCATCGAGCGCTATATGAACTTGAAGAGACAGGAAAACGCCGTGCTCAGCAAATCCAATCTAATGCAACAGAGTATACCAATACCAACCGATCGGTACAGCTATGTCTCCGAAGTGTTGAACATACACATTCGCCTACTTTGTGAGCCTTGTCTCTCCGCCTTGTCTCAGGTGTCCATAGTCAAGATTGCACAGTATAAAGCAGAGCTCGCTGCTATGGATGAGATGGTGCTGAAGAAGTGGAAGAAGATTCAGGAGATGTACAACAAGAGTACGTATATACAGCAAGACCACAAACCGCATTGAAATTGTCGGGTCCGACTTCAAGGGTGCTGACGAGTTCAGTGATGGAGATAAAAGGCGAGAAGGACGGGATCAAGGTGCTCTTACAGCAGATGTGAAGCACATAGGGGACTGCACACGAGTTGTGTGAACCGCTCGCAGATATGTGCCGTCTCTCAATATTTCGCGGCCATCCAGAATGAAGGATGCTTGCTTGATCAGTTCCATACTTGTCTCTTTCGTCTTCCCCTTGCAAGCTTTGGGTCCGAGTATGGCGACGTGCCACAGTCCGTGCAACAGGCTTTTAGACGGCAAAGTTGGCTAAGTCGAGCCGCCTAGGTCTGACAACACCATTCGTACCAGCGATCTTTACCATTCACTAGCATGTATGGCCTGGTTTCAGTGATATCCATACAAGCTCTAGTGTCCCATTTCTTTTCGTTATCATTTCGAAAGCACGTGATCCAAAGTTGTCACCAGGAACGTGGCCCGTCCCTTGATGCTCAACTGGTGCAGGCATGGGTAGCGGCTAGCAGTAAGCATGATCTGCATTTCGAGGCGGCCTTCGTGGCCTCCACGCACCACTAGGGAGACCGACCTTGGATGCCCGGTCCAGCAGAATATGTCCGGCGAGGCTAACTTGCCAGACTTATACACATTTTCGATTTAAACAGGGACCCTGCCGGTGACGTGCACTACAATTGCATCTATGACCTCATGAAGATAACGAGCGTGCATAGAGTGGAAACCCGAGACGTACAGCCGTGCCGTTGACACAAGTGCCGGCTTTGGTATGCGGGCGATTAGAGCGTGAAGCGGCCCCAGTAGAAAAGACGCAGGAGATAGTTTCGACAGGTATGGCGAGAGCTACTGAGGAGGCAGCCTTACGGACCAGTTCGGTGGAAGTTGTCTCTAGTCGCGGCCACCATGGTGGTTGAAGATATGGAAACGGGTTGGAGTGCATCTGACAGATCCGAAAACGCCGCACGGTGACAAGAGCTATGCCTAAGGAAGAAAGAGAGGGAAAATGCGATGTTCTGATTGCTGGGTTCACGTCTTTAGTTCGCGAACCGGGGGGATGGCTTGCGCGATCTAGATCTCAACCATGGAAACCGATCCTGCACGAAGACGCAAGCGCTATGCGAGGCGTCCAAATAGCAGCTTTAGCCTCTGCCAACTTTCGGAAAAATGGGAGGTCCTCGACCAAAGCTATCCTTGGACCTTAGTTGCTGCAAGACATTGAGGCGCTCAATGAGATCACATGGCTGTCTTAAGCATATTCTGCTGCCACGACAGCCAAGATGCGAAAAATCGGTCGAAGAAGAGACGATACTGTGGAGGCCGAAAAAACGAAAATTTCTCCCTGGTGCTACTCCTCGTATTTGATACCAAAGCGTGGCTGTTATCATGACCTTGTTGCCCATTTGTGGTAGCATCGTAGCTGTGGTCCCTTTCTCTGTGACTTTTGGCGTATTTAGACCCGTTCGACTGGCTTTTACCATTCCTTTCTACCAATGGCACTTCTACTCATGCCTCCTCCTCATATATGATGGCTGGAGAGGGTTATGAAGAGAGAAGGTGTCTCCACAGAGGTCCACCGTGTCAAATTTTCCTCAATTGGCTTCAGGGCCAATTCTCTCATTCATTCTCATTATTGCTTGGTGGTTATCTCTGCGCTCAATCTAAATCATCCGCAATGGATATCCAGGTGATATCTTGTGTCAATGAACGGGTCTTTGCTGGGGATCGTTCCATCAGACCAGTGTTTCCGTTCCGGCAGATACGATACTCAGGAGATCACAAGCAAAAGAATCGAGAATACAAACCCCAACCAATAAGAAACCTACAACAGATGGTCGACCGGGACGATGAGCATGAAGAAGCGGATCCAGGACTTTCAGCAGTATCTCTAGTAGGGGACCGAGGCAAGCGTCCTTCAACAGTCGGCCCAAGTAACTTAGAGGGCGGCATAGATAGGTATACCTTGCGCACCCGTCATATGACAGCGGGAGAAGCGAGCTCCACGCAAAACCTTGTACGGGAGAGCATACAAATCCGCACAATATCGATCAGTATTGAGCAACAACCTCCGCTCGAAGTTCGTCCAGGGAACCGCCTCTCACCAGTAGTCGTGAACATAAGACGTCTGAGACACCAACGAGGTGAGAGTTGGATGGGCGAAGAAGGTAACCTATGGGCTCAAGTATCGCTGATGTCTGCTGATGGACAAATGGCGATGGCTCTCTTCGCGCCCGATATCCTTGCTGCCGAAGATATGGTCACACCGCTTTTTCGAGATCTTTCGGCTACTCGGACAGAAGAGAAATGGTCGTTGGCATTCAAAGATCTTCAGATTCGTCACTCTGGATATTTCAAGATCCACATTGCGGTGTTGAGATCTTCACAGAGCGAGGAGCGAGGAGACGACGACCCTGCTATCGAGCCTCCAAGAGAGCTTATGGGGGTGGATACTCAGGTCATTAGAGTCCATGCATTTGCGCCGTCTCCAGTAAGACAAGGTGAGCGATGACAGATTTGACAGTTGCAAGCACAGAGACCGGTCAAGGTAATGAGCAAAACCCTTAGTCAGATGGTACGCCGTTGAATGACCCGCTAATGCTGAGATCAGGCAATCGAAATGAAGATTCTCAAAGCAGAGGGGAGCTTTAAGATCATCTCAAACTGTAGTTTGCAAGCCTACTTTGAGAAGGACGAAATGGAGATCAACGGCCTGCATTGGCGCTATTGACTCGATATCATTGAAGAGAAGGCGATCTTAGGTTTTCTCGAGGAAGATATGCAAGATGCTTGCAGGCCAAGCTCCTTCGTCTGCCTAGTTCGCCTCAGACCTTTGGAGAGCCGGAAGCTCTTGGAGACGAAGATAGGAGGTCTACAAGCTTTTCCCAAAACCACAATGCGTGCAATCTGATCAGATGTCTCCCAACAGGTTCTGAGATGCGGTAGATGCTTTCTGAAAGGAGCGTTGATTCAATGGAGAAGATCAGTCTGTGGGCAAGAACTGAGGGCTTGTAATTTAGAGAACAAGATTAGTCATCCTAACCGGATCATTTCCGCGGTGAGGATCTTTTGAGCTTTCTCAGTCACAATGAAATATCTGTCTTAACGATAGCAGAATCATGTTCGGTGCCTTTAGAAGAACGTCTCCCCTCTCTGGAGGTTTGCTCTGGTATGTCTCAATCCTGGCCTTTTCATAGTTCTTTTGTCTCTTTAGTCCCACTAAATGACAGCCTCCCCTCACAGGAAAATACCCTGGCGTCTCTCCGTCCCCCAAAAGCGCCGTCAACGCAAACGCCTCCGTCTTGTCGACAATGTAATAACAATTGTTGATGATGCCCTCAGGAAACAGAACATGGGGTCTACAACAAAGCTGGAGAGGTGGAAAGAGGAGATGCCGACGGAGGCGGAGATGAGACCAAAGGATAAATATACAATGTTTGATCGGAAGGAGAAGCGGTATCGGAAGGGGATTCACAGTATGTCGACCTCTTTTGAGGATTATTGAACGAGGTCAAGGATGCGACAGCTAATTGGTGGTGCTGATAGAGCTGCCAAAGTGGACGAGGGTCAGTCAGAGGATAAATCCACCGGGCTTTTGATGAGGACGGGGCTTCGGGGAGATAGAGAGAATGTTCTAAGGGCAGTGATTGAAGGGCATACATACGGCGTTTGAGGAAAGCATTGCATAGCGCATAGATACAGGTATCGACTTGCACTGGCTTACAGTCTCTATTATTGGGGAATGAGCGTTTGTACATACAAATGGCACTATGCTACTACATTATCAGACCATAATGGCCTCGTTTCTTTGCCGAATCCTGGTCGAGTTTCCTACCGCGGTACGATTACCACCAGCACATCATTAATTGCTGAAAGGAGTCACGCATCTAATCCACTGCTATTACTTACCTTTTAGCACCACCCTTGCGCGGTATTCACCTCTGTCATTCGCGAAATCAAGAAGAAAGCAGGCGGGAAAAAAGCCAGAAGCCGTGCGCAAGAACATGGGAGCAGACATGGCCACCCTCAACACCATCCCTTACACCAAGGTCGAAGCAGCACTATCCTAAAAAGGAGAAACCCTCCGTGAACAGCGCGAGTACAACACAAATATCTACGTGCGAGGTCTCAGAAGCCCTACCACGAATCCAGCATTTTGTTCCAGACAAGTGGCCATGGATCTTCCTTAGACCCTGACCCGATCCCACCAGGTCTTCGAGTGGTCTCCGAGCTGAGGATGTCCATCGGCTCCAATGATCAGGGAGCTTCCTGGTCCAGCTCATTCATTCAAAATCAGGTGGGCTTGCATATGTGGAGCTTGGCAAAGGATCTGTTGACATGGCTGGCAACGCCTGCGTGCGGCATGAGTGGAATCAAAAGCTTACGAGATTCCGACAAATCCAGCCTGTTTAATTGTACTTGTTCTCATGGAGGGAGGACATAGAGGTCGGAGCTGGAGTACCGGGATCCTTGTCCGCCCCCACGCGAAGAAGGTGACGATCCTGGGAAGTCCACCGACGCGAAGATCTCGGCCACCTCATAGTACAACTGGTATACGCCATGTTACCATGCCAACGCAAAACAAGAACACGAAGCCATGACCCAAAAATTGCTGAGCAGTTGCGAGGACGTCCCATATAAGATCATGGCTAATGTAGCGATGACAGAACATCTCAAAGGCCGAGGATTTTTTTTTGGACGTGGTCGAGGAGCCGCATACCCAGGACGTGCAGTTTATAGAAGTGATTGATTTCGGAGCAATGACCGGATGTGGGACCTGCCTTTCTCACCCGGTCAGGCGTGCCAAATTACTGTATGGTTCGGAAGACATTGATGATAGTAGAGTCACAATCTGATGCACCCAGTTCAAAAGATGAAGGCAAGTGGAGTGTCGGGCGACAATGAGCGGCTCTAAGGGGGATAGACCGTTCGTGGAGTGTAAGTGAAAGTCAACACGCAATAGTAAGCTAGACTCAACATGTTAGCGAAGCCTGACTCTAAGAATATTCGAGCCCAGCATCTCCAAAAGCAAGGCATCTAACGCAGGAACTATATTAAGGAGTTCTGGGCATGGTCTGCTTCCAATACTGGAGTGTTGCTGGTGGGGAAAGAAACATGAAGAACGACTCAGGTAATAACCAATCGCTTCGGGATGAAAGGGAAACTTTGATTCTGCGTCAACGAAAGGAAAGTCAACGCAGAGAAGAGTAATCTTATAATCAGTCTCATAAGCTTTACAAAATTATAAGCGTTTACATCAGGTTCGATGAACGAAGTAAGGAAAAACCGAACATCTTGCTGACTAGCTGTATCTGCAACATGATTGTTAAATTGTAATTTCATTCTAGAAATCGAAGACCAATCTTCGAGGACAAGTCAATTGGGGTCTTGAACGGTCAATGTCAAGACGTGGAACGATGGACGTAAAGCTAGGGGTAGTCAGCTCATGCGGGTGACAATAATAATATTATATCAAGTAGCGTACCCTCGTCTCGACTACTCCCTGATTTGCTGTCCGTCTGTAGACCATCCGAAGATTGACTGTCATTCAAGACTCAAAGCCGACAGTGCCGATTGACTACCCGAATGCTTCACAAAAGTATTCCCAGTCCAATATCTTCTCTCTCCTCAGCTACCGGCCAGATATCCTTAGCGGGCTCCCTCCAGACTCTCGGGCGTCTAGGTCTACTCCTAGAATTGGGAGTCACACGGTTACCTGAGCTGATGCGAACATTCCTCCTCCCCCGAAGCGGAGGAGAGACTGTCCGGGCCATCTCCGGAAGGTCAGGCGGGTCGGGTGATGGCATACGCTGTTCGATGCTGCTTGCATTGCGCCGGAAACATCGCAGCTCCATCCTTTCAATCCATCTTTTCAGCTGCGCGGTGGGCGATGCTGCAGCTGTGGCCGCGGACAAGAGCGAAGTGGAGTTTCGATGGAATGGTGACAGTGAACGAGGACGCTTCTTCCTGTCGATGTCCGCTGCTAGGTGGCTGTTGAAAAACACGTCTCGTTCATCGGCTGGTGAGATGAAGTATGCGAATGGGTCTTGATCAACGGCCTCGTCAAAGTAGAAGGCTCTAGGTTTGCGGAGGGGTGGCCATGAATGCCGTTTTCGAAGTGTGCGCATCAGAGGAGATAGAATGAAAGGAGGCCAACGCTATGCAAGATACTCGGAGATGCAGGTCAAGAGAAAAGCGAGGACCACCACTATTTGAGGGACCAGATAAACGATCAAAAGAGCGGAAGTCATGGCGAGATGTAATTGAACTGTAGGAGTTAAGGTGAGGCGAGAGCACTATATATGCCCACAAGGCAGCATGAGTGACTCGAGCACGAGCCTACCGGCTGTGTCATTCTCGCAGCCAAAGATCAGGTATGATTTCGATTCCCACCTGAACGAGACCCAGTCACTACTGTTTTGATACGATTGCGACTCCACCTTCCTAACTTTGCCATCTCATCAGAGCTTTTTAGTTGGATATCCATCTAAAAGCTTGATCAAGGATGCAAACAAAGCTGTTCCGATACCTTGCGTTGAGGCATCCATTACGCACAGCCCCTTCCATCTTGCCTAAATAGCAAAGAATCCAGGCACCACAGGCGATAGAGTAGGGCATCTGACCACAGGCAGGAGACTTTGAGAGGTCAGTTGGTGCCATCAGGCTATGTCCTATCCAAGGTTGCATCCTTTGGGGGAAAAAAGAAAAATAAGATAAGCAGCTTGTGACAGCTTTTTCATCGAGGTCAGGCTTGCTTTCGTTGAGTCAGAAGATTTCTAACAAACAGTCGTCGCCGCGCCGAGGAACTCTTGCCAAGCCATCAGATAAGATAAGACTGTGCCAAGGGAAGCTAAGGGAAATGTATGTACACCAGTAGGTCTTATTGAGTGTAGTGGGCGTTCGACACTTTAAGTACAATGCCTTGTCAAAGTCTGTAGTCAAGTCCATGGTCATGGCAGCAGGCCTGACCCCTTCCCATCCCAACCACTCTCGCCAGTCTCCTTTCTGAGGCGGACAACATGTCCTACTACTTCTGCATTGTCGGCACGCGAGACCAACCTCTCTTTGAGCTCGAGTTTGGCACTTCCAAGCAAGGCGGAGATGGTGTCGCCCGATTCAGTCAAGAGGCACGACATATGAACCCTTTCATTGTACATAGCAGCTTGGATTTCGTGGACGAGCTGCAATGGACCAACAATCAGATGTAACCCTTCTCTTCTTCACAATAGGCTCAATCCATGGTAGGATTGCTGATGATGGTATCAGGTATCTTAAACGCATCGACCAATTTGCCTCCTCCCACATCTCCACCTTCTTAACTCCGACCTCCACCCGCTTCATGCTGCTCCACCTTCCCCACCCTCCCAACACAGCCCCTACCTCTCAACCCATGCCAAACAGCTTCCCACCTTTCACGCCCTACACTTCCGTCCCGCCTTCTACCAGTACCGCCAGTCGTGGCACTTCGTCCTCAAGTAGCACCAGTATACCGAACAATCCCACCAGTCCGCAGACAGAAGAGGCGATAAGACAGTTTTTTGGAGAGGTCTTTGAGGTCTGGCTGAAAGCCATTATGAATCCGTTCGCCAGTACCGAGAGCAAGATCGGGAGTCCTGTGTTTAAGCAGAGGGTCGTGGCGGCAGGGAGGAAGTATTTGTGAAGAAGGGCATTGTATAGGGAATGGACTCTCGCCCGAGTGCTTGGATAGGCTGAAAGGACGTCGGTGTGAAAGATCCCTCCAAGATTACGCATATGGAACGCAAACACTAGGGCTAGAAGAATGGGAGACAAGGTCGCAAGAAGGAAGAGGGCTAGAAGGGCCCGAACAACCGAAATTCGAACGGATGCAAGAAGTGGGCATGATCGCCCAGAACATTGCAGCACATTTGCATTGAAGGTCTGGGAAATATCTTGCCCACGACTATATAGAACGTGGAAAGCGGTGTCAAAGCGATACCTGACTCGACCGACTAAAATCCAGCTGGTGATATTCGAGGTATCGCAACGCTGCGCTGAAAATTGCCCTTGATATTGCATAGATATCATAACAGTCACTAGAGATCGTCATATGATGAGGAGCTATATAAAAAAGATAGCTCTCGTAATTAGTACAGTACGGCTCAAGTCTCTAACTATCTGAACATTGCAAGGGGGATATCGCCAAGAACTGCAACACAAAGAGACACATCGCTCTATGTACGAGAAATCCATAATTCTGCACCAAGAAATGGATTCACAAAGCTGTTTGTATTGCGGAAGGGTAGAAAGGAATTAGCGAAAATTTTCGTGCCATCATGCAACTCCCCTGTCCACCTCCCCTCTCCGTCTCCATTCTCGCTTTCACTCTCTTCTTCACTCTCTCCTTCCATCTGACTACCTTGCCTCTCATCTCAGTCCGTCTCGCTCTTCACGTCTCGTACTAAATCGTTTACAGCTCATCTCTCACAGTATCGGTCATCTTGGCAGCAGCGCTACTGACACTGCTGACCAAATCCTCAGTAGTCTCCTGTACACCACTTCCAAACTCAGCCAGCTTGGCCCTTGCACTCTCTACCGCGGCCATGAGTCTCCCCTGTGCACTTTCCATGGCTCCTTTCTCCGGGCCATAAACAGCCTCTCTGATCTTGGATTGAGTGGCATCCATAGCTGAACTTGCGGCAGCCGCGTTGTCTGCCACCACTGAAGAGACGGAGGCATAAGCATTGCTAGCAGCGTTAGTGAAACTGGCCGTGGCTGCTGTCGCCGTGGTGCCGTAGAGAGCGGCCGAGATGGCATCCTGCGCAGATCTCGCTACATCATTGAGACTAACTTGAGCTGAGTCGACAAAGCTTGGCTGAGTCCCATAGATGGCTTCACTAGCGCGTGATGAGACCGACGATGCAGCACTAGCGGCGGCAGATGTGCCTTGCTCATATGTCCCTTTGCTTGACCCATGATACGCGTTGCTTGCGGCCTCAACAGCAGCGTTGACTTGCTCATTTGCTGCGGCGATGATCGCTTCAAGAGTGGCGGGAGGAGTAAACACGGTAGAGACGACTGAAGATGCAGAGGCATAGACATCGCTTGCATAACTCGACGCGGAAGCCGCGACGCTGGCGAGTGCACCGGTGTAGTAGGCCGCGCTCAGGCGGTTCATGGCTGATTCGGTGAAATCCGGCTCCCTGCCATGGACAAGCTCGGAGAAGAGAGCCTGGACAGCTTGATATTGTGATGCGGCTGCGTCAGTGGCTTGCGATGCGTACTCGCCGGCTTGCGAGAGGACCGACTGCGAATAAGGGGCCGGAGCGCCATAGACCCTCTCCGAGGCTTGAGAAACAAGAGCATCCCAGTTCGTGGACGCTTGACTTGCAACGGACTTTGTCCATGGCGTCTCAGAACCAATGACACCAGCGCTAGCCGCGGAAGAGATTGAAGACGCTTTCTCGGAGGCCGCTGATGCCATGGACTCGACTTTGCCCGTTGAACTACCAATGATTGCAGTACTTGCAGCGGCAGAAACTGAAGACAGCGACGCAGATGCCAGGGAAATTGCTGAATTGTACTGAGAGGAGGCCGAGTCAAATATGCTCTGTGCTGGCGACTTGCTTGTCTTTCCAACAACTGAATTCGCTGAACCCATGACGGAATCCAGTTTTTCAGAAGCCTGAGATACTGCGTCGCTGTACTGCGACTGAGCTGCATTCAACAATGATTGATAAGCAGGTGTTTGGGTGCCGTAAAGTCTTTCTGACGCAACGCTAGCAAAGCTCTCGTGTTTTGGCGTTGGAGTCCCCATCACTGCGTTTGTCGCTGCTCCAAGAAACTCCGAGTAGCGGTCATGAGCTAAGCCCACCGCCTCGTAATATCGGCGTTGGCCTTCCGCAACGTATTGTTGATGGACTGGAGTAGGGGTTGCACCCATCGCAGTCTTCACACTGGAATATTGAGCGGAGGCGGCACTCAAGCTATCCGCGAGCCTTGATGAAGCAAGTGCTGATATGGATTCAAAGACGCCTTGACTTGGACCATAAATCGCTTCGCTGGCCGCTTTTGTTGCAGATGCGTGAGAAGAACTGGCAGCTCCAATCAAGCTTGAATAACGTTCGCTGGCTTCAGACATGAATTTCTCATAACCGGGGGTTGACGTAGATCCCATTGCCGTTTTCGCAGAGTCGAGTTGAGACGATGCAGCTAACATTGCATCCGAGTATTTTGCATCCGCTGCAGCGACAAAAGATTGTTGAGGACTCAGCGGCGTACCATAAGCAGCAGTTGAGGCTGCATCAAAAACCCCCTGGAAGTAGTCGCTGGCCGCAGCCAGTGCTCCAGAATAGCCGCTCTCCACTGAAGCGAACATATCCTCGTGAACTGACTTTGGCTCTCCAGTAACTTGCGCAGAAATGATAGACCTTGCGTGCGAGTACTGTTCGTTTGCTCTGGAAACGGCTTTCGCATATGCTGAGGAAGCTCCGCTGGCGGCAGATTGCGTCACAGGGGTCGAAGTCCCGTAAATAATTGAGGACGCCCTAAACAGAGTGAGCACAATGTCTTGAGACAGGGTTAGGTTCCACTCACATTTCTACAGCTTGGGCATACTTGCTCGACGCTACACTCGTTGCACTCTCGACGGCGCCTGTTTCAGTGCCATACAGGACGCTCGAAGCTGCCGCAAGTGCCTTTGAGTACTGTTCGTCTGCGACCGATGAAGCGCTCTCGACTGTTCCTTGCGTTGTTTTGGCTTTCATTAAAGCCTCATTGACGGCTTTTGTGACATCCGCGAATTTTTCGCCAGCTTGATTGACCATACTTTGCATTTTCTCGGAGTAGGTCGCATCGTCATCGTCACTGAAGACATCGTCGAGTATGGGCTTCTGCTCGCCAACTTTCTGAGCCATTGCTCCTCCGTATACCTTTTTCGAAGCCTTGCTTGCCACTGAGGAAGCGCTTGAGATGACAGAAGTTGCACTACTTGAAGCTCTTTTTCCTGGTGCTGGTGTTCCAGCGACGGTCTCGCCGGCGTCAGAGGCTATCTGATTGGCTTTTTCCTTGGCAGCAGAAACAATGCTTTGAACTTTCGGTTTGGGTGTGCCCACTACAGCTTCGCTTGCTCTCTCTGAAACGACGCTGGCTGCGTCCATGACACTGGAATTCGCCTGCTCACCGACCCCAGGCTCAGTACCAACAGCCGCAGCGGAGACACTCGATGCCGCATCCGAAGCTTTCTCGGTGGCTTCAGAGACGATAGACTCGACGGTACCTTGAGATGTCCCAACGACATGTTCGCTGGCTGAACTAGCTTTGTCCATTACTTTTTGAGCCCCTGCGGCGGCAGCAGCAGGCATGTATTTGGTACTGAAGTCATCCGAGGCATCCTTTGCTTCAATCTTCCATTGACCGACTTCCTTCAATCGGGCAAGTTCCTTAGCTGTTTTTTCGGCGGAAGCCATGCCTCTCGACTCGACTTCCTCTCCAGCATCCTTCGCCTTTTGCAATCCCTCGTGGTTCTTTGCAACGGCTTCAACCTTCTGGCGCCATTCGTCGAAAGTTTTTTTGACCTCGTGATATTTTGACCAGTCCTTGTAAGTGACGCCTTCCATTTGAGCCCATCGAAGGCCAATTTCTTGCAGGCCGAGGTCACGGATGTTATCGATAACGTCCAATGTTGATTCGGATGCCGCATACACAAGTGATTGAGTCTCCAAGTCAAAGTTGTCTTTCCAGGTTCTCAAGCTCTGTGCTTTGTCCTTCACCGTAACACCAGCATGCCTCGTTGATCTTGATAACGAAAGAGTAGCCCTGCCAAGGTCGGTATCGTCGTAACCTTCGGGAAGCTTCTTGACCAAGACCATTATTTCTTTCTTGAGCTTTACCAATTCAGATCTGGATGTCTCTTCCAGCTGGACAACCAAGGCCTCGCCGACTCCATGGGCCTGGTTTTTAATTTGGCGATCAGTGATCTCCTTCACGCGCTCCTCTAGATCTTCAGTTCCCTTGTCTGCGGCTTTCGCAAACTTCTCCTGCCAGTTCTTCAGGTCGCTTTCAATCTTCTCCCGCGTCTGTTTCGCTTCTTCTTCAGAAGTCGCAGAGGATGCGCTGGCTGCTGAGGATTCAGTGGTCGTGGTGGGGCTAGAGCTTTGAGGTGCGATCGACGCTACGATTGATGAAGTGCTAGATGATGTCGAAGAAAGCTGGCTCGAGCTATCATCCTCTTCCATGACGGCTTTGAGCTTTTTACCGTCGCGGTATCTACCAAGCCTCTCCCCAATTCTGACCAACTGAGGCTCAACATTGTTACCATATAGAACACGAAGCTTCGGCCATATGGTGTGGTCAAACAACACGACGGTCGATGACCATGCGGATTGGGCATATGGCAGACCGGTCTCGACAGTAAGCTTGTGTCCGAACGCGTAAGTACTTTCAGCATACGGACGGGAAGTCTCCAATGTCGGCAAAATGTATGTATTGTATATCTCGGAAATGCTGTGGCGGCTGAAAGCATAGTAGGGAGCAGCTGCAGCAGAAGCTTTGTTGACCTGTGGGGCCAAATTGGAGTCGTACTGCTTCTTGACCTGTGCCTGAGCGGTATCAATCTGAGGTTTCACAATGTTTGCCCACTGTTCCTGGCCATATGCTCGGGCCTGCTGGACTCTTGGAGCCCCATGATTGTCATAGCTTTGTTTTCCATATGCCAACGATGGGGTGTAGATCTCTTGGTTGAATTTCGCAACATACGGACGTACCTTCTCCACATGAGGTGCAGCGTATGATTTATAGAAAGGCTCGAGGTATGGTGCTACATGTGATCGCACACTCAGGTAAGGCTCACAAACTTTGGGAGATCCCTCGTTGAGATTGTCGAAAGACGAGGGACAGCGAAAGAGGGCAGTAATAACGGTATACCAAACGAGCAGCCTAGATTTCACACAGCCTCAGCATGATTAATGACTTTGAAGATATGACTACAACTCACCTGGCGATCCAGCCAAAGCCCTTACTTGAAAGGCTTTGTGTTGTACCTTTCTTGCCCGTAGGTTTCCGTCCAACGACCTGGCCGTTTGGTCTACCTTTGGCGGTAGTTGGGTCTATCGGCCGCCCATTCGCCTCTGCTGCCATAGCAGAGTGTTGGAGCTGTGTCGTAGCCACGGTGAGTTGGGGGAAAGGAGGTATGGAGGACAAACGTTGGAACGTCTTTTACAGCGTTCAAGTCAGTTGACCTCTCGGAAGAGCTTGGATAATTTTCGCGTCGAAAGGGAGCGAAGAAGGAATGACAAGAGAACGCAGGTCCAGCGTTAGTAGTCAAGAGATAGCAACATGTATTGTCATGGTAGATTAGAAGGTAGTGTTGGGCGTTTCCGATAACTATCTAAATCCTGCTTGCCCGTTCAAGTGATGCAATTTTGTCGCGTGCCAAGGATGTACTGGTACCCTCTTTGTGCTCACTCCCAACTGTCCAGGCCATCACAGCACTATTTATTTCACATCTCTACAACTTTATGGAACTCTTTTTACGTCCTCTTTGACCAAAAGCTGATCTGATCGTCGTCGACCTCCGAAGATTCCGAGGACCTTTAACGCTAGCCTTATTGGCCGCGACCGAAATCCGTTGCTCTTCGAATCCTCTTAGGCTTCCTAGTCTCACCAGTAAAGGGAGCCACATCAATAGAACATCAAGTACACTTATGGAACTGCACTTCTAAGCTCGCTGAGATGAGGTGTCTCCTCACAGTTCACGCATTTCCGCTTGAGACGACTCCGTCCCTGCCCTACCCACATAGGCCCTGACTATCTCGCCATGGAACCTGCTGAAGCTACAAATGCCGCGGGCCAAAACCCAAGGCCTGGTACCGATTCTGATAACGTGAAAATGCGAGTGCAAGACCAGAATCTGGAGGGAGAACAGAAGGGCTTGGATGATGGGAGCCCCGAGGCTATTCCGGACATCATGAATGATCCAGCATACGATACAAATGCAAAGGAGAAACAGAAAAGTTTGGATGAACCGGACACCTGTAGGATATGCCGAGGCGAGGGTTCCCAGGAAGAACCCTTGTTCTATCCGTGCAAATGCAGTGGCAGCATCAAGTTTGTCCATCAAAACTGCCTCATGGAATGGCTGTCACATTCACAGAAGAAGCACTGCGAGTTGTGCAAGACACCGTTTCACTTCACCAAACTCTATCATCCCCACATGCCTAGTACCGTTCCACTTCCGGTCTTCCTACGCCAGGCTGCAATACACACATGGAAAAGTTTCCTGACCTGGTCACGCTTCCAGCTCGTGATGTTCGTCTGGGTAGTATGGCTACCATGGTGTATGCGAACCATTTGGAGGGGTCTTTTCTGGATAGGGGACGGGGGCTGGGTGGATTGGAAAGAAAGGGGCATACAAACTGAGTCGGAAATCCTCAACGTTTCCGCCAAGCTTGCTGCACGAGGCACGAGTCCAGCGAACCAAAACTTGTTCACATCAAGAGAAGCTACCGCATCGGCGTTCATATTGCAAATCTCAAACAAGATCCCGGACCTCGTCTCACCTATTCGACGGCTGGTGACCTTTGCGGCTGGTGAACCTCTAGGGCTCAAGCTGTTGAAAAATCTCTATAGTTTCGTCATGGGTCGATCGTCGGGCGAATCCTCATCTTCAGTGACTTCAATGACTAACGTTACTAGTCACGCAGCCCATGTTCCACGCTCGTCATCCTGGCTTTCTGACGTCAAGTTCCTGAGGACGCTGACGAGGTCAGCTATGCTGAACAATCTCATAGTTGATGCCCTTGAAGGACAGATCATTACGCTGGCGCTTGTCACGGCTTTTATACTAATATTCTTGATCAGAGAGTGGGTGGTCCAGCAACAGCCTAATCTCTTTGGCGGGGCTGAAGCCCGCGTCAATCTTCCCGGAGCCCAAAACGCAGACGCTCCAGTGCAACAGCCCATTGATCAGAGACATCAAGGCCCCCAAGGTGAAGGTGATGTCGGGCTCGCAGATGCAGGTGTACAAGTACAAGGGCCAAGGGCGAGGTTGATTGCAAGGCCTAGACCCCGAAGACCAGTCCCCCCCAGACAGATTACGGAGCAAGGTGTGAATCACGGGGACGACTTTGCTACTGAGGATTCGCAACCTGAAGACGTGGCAATCGAGAATTCGAAATCAAAAGCTGATGCATCCGAGAATGACACCAAGGACCAATCTCAAGGCTCACTTCAGAGACCCGCGATGCCGGACAGGGACAAATTAGCTAGGGCTGCTGAGATTCGTCGCACTATCGAAGAACAGTCTCGAGTCTCGGAGGACGGTGATGACCCTGGGAACACGTTCCAGGAGCTTTGGAACCGCGCCGAGAACAAACCTTCTGAGGTCATCAGAATCATTGACGAGGAGGGTCGCAATGATGAGCTGAGTTGGATTGTGGCGACTATGGGAAAGATTGAAAATCTGTCTAGCGTAAATGTTCCGGAGGGTCAGATTGTTTCTCCGGCGGATAAACCAGTCACTGCAACGCTGAGCAATGAAGACAATGGTCCCAACAGTAGCCGTTGGCCGAGTGATGACGAAGGATTCGTGGTTCTTGATAAATTGTCACTGAATGTCAACTCGGAGCCCAAAGACGAACAGAGCTTGAGCACAGAACCTCCGCGAAGTTTGAACCAAGATGCAGTCGTTGAGGGCCCCAGGTCTCCTGCTAGAAAGTCACAAAGGAGCCCTGCTACTTCAGGGAGGGCAAGCAGTTACTCGCAAGATCACAAGGCCGTAGCACTCAATCATCCATCTGACCCAACCCAGAACTCAACAGGGAAAAGCGCGAAAGGTCAGGATGTCCTAGCTAACGGAGCCCAAAGGGATCTTGATACTGCTAGCTCAACTGATGCTGCCCTCGATAGCCCTAATGACAGCCCATTCCACCCTGAGTACGAGAGAGAGTCGGCGGAGGAAAACATCATTGCTAGTAATCCAGGTTCAGACAACTCAAGTAGGGAACTACTGCTTGAAACAGCGCAGCCTACTACTTCGCCGATTGAAGCAAACGAAGGACAGGCGCCAGCCGATTTCCCTCAAGGAACCCCCGAGCGACGTCGTGGCCTTCTTGAACCTATCACAGACTGGCTTTGGGGAGGCGATGCGCCAGCGCCCTCTCCCTTTGAGCAGCCAGCCGGTGATGATGAGCACATCGTAAACAACATCGCCGAGGAAGCGCCTTTTGTGCCCATGGAACACGGACATCCCTTGAGGGCGGCTGACAATGATGGTGAAGTTCCCGGGCAAGACCCCGAAGTGGTTGCAGCCGCCATTCAAGCGGGTCTCGATCCGAATGAGATTGAAGCAGCTGAAGACATTGAGGACTTAGAGGGCATAATGGAGCTTGTGGGAATGCAAGGCCCTCTAGCAGGATTGGTACAAAACGGAATGTTCTGCGCCTGTCTTGTGTCACTGACCATATTTTTTGGTGTCTGGATACCATACATTTCAGGGAAGCTGTTCCTGGTCTTTTTGGCTCATCCTGTCTCGCTTCTATTGAAGCTCCCATTACGGTGCTCTGTATCAATCGCAGATACTATCATAGATGGCTTCACATTTGGCATCGCCTGCACGTTCTACTGGACCGATATCTTCGCCCGCCTCCTCTGCACCCCAATTGGATGGGTCATACCACCTATGGCGAAAATCACTAAAAACTTGTCGGTAGCAGAGACGGCTAAGTTCTATGCAGAGGGTGCACTGGAGAGGCTTATGAATGTTATTTCTGCAACAGGGAACATTATGTTCGAGTCTGACATCCCCGCCTTTTCGGTCATTGCTCATGAGTCTTTGCTGTCCATTGAAGGCAGAGCTAGATGGCTTTTGCGTGGCGTATGCGACTACATCGGCTACTGCTTCAATGTCGCATATAACAGCTCCGGTTTTGAGGAAACTGCAATGGTTTTCGCCTCCGGAGTCGTCAACCAAGGGAAGGCACTCTCGACCTTTGTCATCGACCAAGTCCCAACTATCGTGCCTTCAACATCCTCGGTCTCTCATTTCCATCCGCTCCATGTCAATCTCAGCATGACACCAAGATCCACTCCCCTCGACTACGATTTAGCATATTGGGGTACGAAGGACCGAGCCCTCGCCGTGATGTTCGGGTATCTGTTCTTTGCATTCTTGGGAGTGGTATACCTCAACCTCAACGCTCGGATCAAAGGCATCAACAAAGCCGAAAGAGTACCCGGAGTGCTTGCGGATGTCCTCTACCAAGCTGGAGGTGTTCTGAAGGTAATCTTGATCATCAGTATTGAGATGATTGTATTTCCTCTATATTGTGGGCTGCTGCTCGACGTGGCACTGCTGCCGCTTTTCGACAGCGCCACATTGATGTCGCGGATCGAGTTCACCATGTCATCTCCCTACACTTCTATCTTTGTCCATTGGTTCGTAGGAACATGTTACATGTTTCACTTTGCGTTGTTTGTTGCCATGTGCCGGAAGCTGATGCGTACCGGCGTTCTATGTAAGTCCATCTTTAGAGAGTGGAGGAAGCCTTAGCTGACGTGACTTGACAGACTTCATTCGCGATCCTGATGACCCAACATTTCACCCTGTGCGCGACGTTCTTGAGCGCAGCGTCTCCACTCAATTATGGAAGATCTCTTTCAGCGCATTGGTATATGGGGGGCTGGTCATCGTGTGCCTGGGCGGTGTGGTTTGGGGTATTGCATTTTCGTTCGACGATGTTCTTCCAATCCACTGGTTGTCAAATGAGCCAGTCCTGGAGTTCCCAGTGGACCTCTTATTCTACAATTTCCTGATGCCATTAGCCGTCAGATTTTTCAAACCCTCGAAAGGATTGAACAAAATGTACAATTGGTGGTTCCGCAAATGTGCCCGGACTCTCCGACTGACGAACTTCTTATTCGGTGAGAAGAAGGAGGATGAGGAGGGCAGGCATGTACGGCGCACCTGGAGGGATGTTCTACATGGGACCCAAGGGGACGCGCAAAATCCAGTGATTGGCAAAGACAGGCACGCTCTTGCTCAAGATCGGGAGGTGCAGGCCTACTTTCTGCGAGACGGTAGATATGTGCGTGCGCCAGCATCAGACCAAGTTCGGATTCCCAAAGGCGCGCACACCTTTCTGGAAGTGGACGAACATAATAACCGGCTGGATAATCAGCCAGATCCAGATGAAGGTCTGCATGGCCGAAACAACGAAATGTTCGCCAAGGTCTACATTCCTCCCTTCTTCCGCGTTCGCATCAGCGCATTCATATTCCTTATCTGGCTCTTCGCTGCCGCGACCGGAGTCAGTATGACCATTGTCCCCTTGGTATTTGGCCGCTTCGTCTTCGCAAAGGTCACACTAAATCATCTCCGCATGAACGACATCTATGCATTCTCAATCGGCATCTATATCCTCGGTGGTGCTCTTTACGGGGTGCTCTATCACCACCAGATCACCACCTACCTTCGGGACACCCTGACCCCTCACACTCCGACCATCACCACTTTCCTCCGCAAGTCTGCAACCCTCGTCGTCCGCCTCCTGAGTCTCATCTACACCTACGCGGCTTTCGGCGTCCTACTCCCTGCGCTCCTTTCGCTCCTCATGGAATTCTTCCTCATCATCCCCCTCCACACCTACTTCAGCACCTCTTTCACAAGCTTGAACACCATCTCCTCCGAACGCCACATCATTCATCTCATTCAAGACTGGACCCTGGGCATACTTTACCTCAAAATGGCCGCTCGCGTCATCCTCTACAATACACCTTCTCGGCCAGCCTCCGCCCTCCGCGGTATCATCCGCAACGGTTGGCTGAATCCAGACGTCCGCCTAGCGACCAGAGGTTTCATTCTGCCTGCAGTGATCGCAATGACGGTCGCGCTGGTAACACCATTGGCCTTAGGCTGGCTAGCCAATGCCACAGTCCTGCATGCATATAGTGCGGAGGACGAGATCTTCAAAGCATGCGTTTACCGCTATAGCTACCCGGGGGTTCTGGCAATCGGGTTCGCGGCCACGTTTGTGACGTTGCTGAGTAGGGCTTTTACTGGGTGGAGGAGGAAGATCAGGGATGAGGTTTACTTGATTGGGGAGAGGTTGCATAACTTTGGGGACAGCAAGAGGGCGAAGGGAAAGGGCAAGGGAAAGGCGAGGGAGAAGAGGGCGGCTGAAGGGCTTTGATGGACTTGTGAGTGGCGAGGATGAACGTCTGGCGTTGGAGAGGGATGCCCGGCTGGCTGGCGTGATACCCAGGCGGGTTTGGCAGAAGCGGGATTAGAATGCATGCCCTGTATGTTGAGCATTTAGCCATCGATGGAAAATCTCAAACCGAATCTCATCTATGCGGCGTCAGTCCCCGGATTCTCCACGATTCCATGAGCAAAGCAGCCTATCCTCCTCTCCCCCATTTTCCCTTATCTCGCGCCCCCTTCCACAGCCGACATCCCTCACGCACTTACCCCGTATATCGACCCCGGGTCCCCCGCTCTTCGGATGATCTTTACCCAGCTCCGCCATTATGATTATACGTATGCATCGACTTATGTATGGAACATGACTCAAACCCTTTCCCCCCCCAACCCCCCCGGCGACGTCTTCCAGTGGCGCAACTGTAAGATCCTGGCCCCCCGCGATCCCCCATCCCATCCCGGCCCCCCGCGATCCCCCAACCCATCCCGGCCCCCCGCGATCCCCCAACCCATCCCATCCCTGCATGCCCCCCCTCCACATCGGTGGTCCCGAGAGCCGCACTGACGTGCCGAGAAAGGACGCGCAGCCCATCCTAGGCCACTGGAGAAAGAGGAAGTCGCCGAAACGGCGAACGGCGAACGGGGGAGGGTGTGGTTGGTGTTTGTTCGAAGCCCTGTGTGTAGGGAGGACTAGGTGGGATGTGGTAGTATCGAGAGCGTCATTGCCGTCGTTGATGGCTCAGCGCTGGAGAAGGGAAGGGCTATCTTGTTAGAACCCCGGCCGGCGTCAAAGGCGGCATTTGGATTGCCACATTCGTTGACGCAAGGGGAGTGGGTTCGGCAGAAGATCTGCATGATGGGGATGGCATGGTGGACTAGAGTTGACTGTTTAGCGACATCGGATGTGCAGTCGGTGGGCTGTGGTAGGGAGCGAAGACACAGAAAGGGCGTAGGGAAGGAGGATCGAGGGGAGAAGGAGATGCAAGGAGATATTTGATTCCAATGTATTTCAAATAGATAGTGCCGCAAGCGATTTGGGATCAGCGAACGTTGGAGGTCTGCGCGGTGGTGAAATTTCAGTGGCCTGATGCGAGACAGAAATGTCAACCTCCTCCATCTCCCAGCAAATGGATCCCTAGGGCGTCAGAATCGAGCACAACCGGCTTGGCAGATCTGCAAGTCTGCTTCGATGGACGTTCCCATCGGGAGTCCCTGCAGGTGTTCCTGGAAGATCGGCCCGTTGCCAGCTGGCAGGTCGTGGCTGCGCGTGCGTCGTCGATCCACACTCGGCGCCGTGCTGGCTCGGTTCACGCTTCGCGATCGGCGCGACGCCAGCAGTCATACCCCGGACCCGAGACCATCAAATTTATCTTGGTAAAGTAGCTGAGCCTAGCCGCCAGAAGGCACTCTTGCGAGTCGCAAGTTGCGACGAGGACATAGTTTCCGCGGCTTCTAAGTTCTAACCCAGAGTTCCAAGTTCCATGAGATGATGAGAGTAAGCGAATAAGCGCCGAAGTATCTTATGACGCAGCAGATAAGGTGTTCACCATCGGCTTGAAAAAGGCGCCATGATTGATAAGATTACTTGGCTTGCTGACAGCGCATGGAATTTATTCGGATGGGGACGTGATGGGTCAGGGTGGTGTCATAGCGTGGCCAACTTTGTTGTCACAAAATAGTAGTACTCTAGAACTAGAGAAGTAGGAGAGCAAGGGTCAGCAAGATGCAACAAGGGTGTCATGCAAGGTCTATGCAGCTGGCCGCCGCCGCCGTTGCCGGGTTCCTCTGGGATCCATTTGAGTCACAGAAATTGCCTTGTGAAGCTATAGAAAGTGGGCAATGTCACATCATGCGATACTGGGTACGACTCTTCAGACGGTATGATGGCGAGGAGACAGGGAAAGCTGATCAACGCTCGATGTGCCTGAGTATGAAGGAATGTAACATCTGGCGTTGTCGGAGTTACTCGATGGATCGGCAGTCGCGAAGACATGGTATCATCGCATGGTCTTTCGCCGGGGACATGGACCTGGTTAGGAAGCGGTAGAGACCGCATTGCTATCTCATGTCGGTAGACGCTTCCGGTAGAGTTGCAGATTCAGGATCAAGGATTAAGGGTCAAGGTTCAGAAAGGATCATAGGTACGTGTAGTTGGTTACCTAGGCTGTTGTGTCGCACGCAGGATGCTGAGGCTTCTTCATTATAATTACTATTACCTACGGTACTTCCTTTATTGTCTTTGCATGACGTTTGATGATGGGTTAGCGTAGAGTACTTAGGAGGCACCGTCCGTCTTAGGACCCTGAGCGTCGTCATCTACACTCCAGTATACAATGCTCTATACATGATAGTCAGAACCCTAGACCAGACCATGTCGGATTTTGGAAAGCACAAGGGCTGGAGATGAAAGAGGCGTGGCGGTCAGTGAGCTGTGAGGGTGACATGGCGTCGGGACTCGGGAAATGAGATGAGTGAAGGGTCCAGTACTAGGGCAACAAAGTACTCGGGATAGTACTTATCATTATTATTATTATTATTATGTTACAATTACCTTATTTTATGCAAAAAGTGAACAAGCAAGACTTGAGGCGTGGAGCTTCTAGACCGCCATGGGCCCGATGCCTATTTTGGGAAGATGGAGCCAACAGCCAACATGCTGCAGGCAGTTGGAAAAGGATCGAGTGAGCGTCATAGTCTGATCCAAACGGGTATGACCGTTATGACAGGCGGCTTGAAAATGATGGGGACAAGTCACAAGAGGCACCGGCACTGCTTGCTAGACGCATAGGCTCGGGGAATTCTCGTGGGTTTGGCGAGGCTGAGGGTGTGGGAAAGGAATTTGTTGGATGAGGAGATAGGGAGGAGGCACACTTGGCTGACTGCCCACGCGTTCATCACTGGTGCTGGGGATGCTGAGAGCGCAAATGTTCGGTACGGTAGATTGCTGCAGCCATTGGCATGATGATACAGGGGGATGGGGTGGGTGCATTCGCATTGATGAGTCTCGACTACGCCTTCCTGACGCGGTTGACGGACTTGGATACTCTAGCAGTCTACAACAGTTAAAGATCTGGGAGTCTTGAGGTACTTCGGTTATCCTTCTCCTTCTCCCTCTGCTTCTGGGGCCGACAGTAGCGATGAGGGTGAGGTGTCGAGATGAGAAATGGAGAATTGATTGTAATGCGACTGGTGGCGATGAAGGCAGAGTGGCGATGGAGCAGAATGACAAGTCAAAAATGTAACGTTATCTTCCGAGCTTCCTTCAACTTCCCTTACTTTTCTATTGGATTCGACACGCTGCGCTCAAGCAGCTGGAAGCTTGTTTTAAGCGTCATTTTCTCATCTTTCCGGCCTGCCATCGTGTGCCGTCACATCCACTTTCCCGTTGACTGGCAAATGCAAAGTGATTTAGGATACTTTCTTTAATGGGTAATTATTATCTAGCATGTTTTAGAATTTCGAGGAGAGTTTTGAAATGAAAGATTGAAGCCATTTACAAATTGTCAAAGGTCCATCAAAGGCCTAGACCGTCGTAGGCTTTTTCCTTTTTCTTTTCTTCTTCTTTTCTTTTCTCTCTCTACCTAGCCGGCATCCCTTAAGCCTTAAGCCTTGTTTTGCACATGTCATAAAGTTTACAGGCAGAACTTACCGGGTACGGTAGATCATACGGTAAAGTAGGCATTATCTAGTTTGCCCACCTGTACTCGTAAGGACTCTAATAAATCAATCAATGGCTGCCAATGAAGAAGAAGCCACACGCGTTGACTCTGCAATCGCCTACTCGTATGCCCACTTTAGCTTCGCGCCTCTTCACTTCCCTTCCCTCGATTGATTAAAATAGCAAGGGAAATGCTTTAAGCCTTGATCGCTTGATATCTCAGCTCGTGATGCAAGTGCCAGTTTTGAATTTTAATGCATGACACAATATTCGGCGGAGAAAAATTAACTTTCGGCAAAGCCAAAAGACATTCCTGGTAGCTGGGTCCGAAGCCAGATGTCATGCCTGCAGCGCCTATGCACGATGCCTTCATAGCCTTCCTACCCGTCCCAAACACCATCTTATCATCCCCCCCCCAAATTTAATCCCTGCACCTAGTAGTATTACTCCTCCTCCTCCTCTTCCTCCTCCTCCGCCTCCGCCTCCGCCTCTTTTAACAAAACACGCCAACATCGAAACCCTGAAACCCTCCTTGGTCATATCGTAAAATAAACTAACCTACTTTACTTGCTCACAACCATGACCCTATCTCTCACACCCACTCTGTGCCCTTGCGGTGTAAGACACCCTTGTAACGCGTGGCTGCAACCGCTCACCAAACAACCCCCCTCCCCATCCCCCACCCCACTCATTTGTAAGCTCCAATCCCGAATTACTCCATGAGTCTATCAGATCCCAAATCCGGTCTTGAAAGAGGCGGTACGATACGATACGATACGATACGACACGCCACACTAATCCCGCTCAATTTCAATTCCCTGTCTGCCATGGACCCTCTTCCCCCTCTGTGATGGATGGCGGGGAGGCCTTCTCCGGCCGAAAGGTCTGACAACGGGCAAAAGAGGCAATGATGTGGATGAGCGATCGATGTGGCTGCCTCGATCAAACGTGCTCACGGACGGTACGTAGATGCAACCAGATCCAATCGTTGCTTTTCTCGCCCCTGCTCGCATATTCGCTCGAGCTCGATTGGAGCTATAATTGGAGAATAATACCCGCAAGCCGGTGTCTATTAGGCAGATGATGCACCCCGCTGCCGGACTCCCTACCCACTCTAAATTCCTCACAGCCTCACCCTCATTCCGAGGCTCTGTGGTATACCAAGCGACCTGAATGACTCGACAGCCACCAATCAAAGGATACATATTGTGATAGCTCGAGCTGAAGGATTCATGCCCTCAAGCACTCCAGCCATCAACATGGGATCCGAAGACGAGGATAGCATCTGTCAAATGTCAAACTACTAATAGTTTCACAGTCCGGTCGATGACGATCAGACTCTATCTTATAATAAGCTTCAACTCGCTCAAATCTGGCGGTCGCTCGGGTCCTTCCTCCAACAGCACCTGACTTCTTTCCTCCTTTTCACTCTCCACTCGACCGTGAAAATTGGGACACAGAGAGAGACAGAGACACAGAGACACAGAGAGAGAGAGAGAGAGAGAGAGAGAGAGAGAGAGAGAGAGAGAGAGAGAGAGAGAAAGAGAAAGGTGATTCTCAATATCAGTACCACGGAACCAAGCCCGATAGACATCAGACATCATTCCCCAAACTGAATAGAGGTATTTGACCAGCTGTCTCACGCTTGCCAAATACTTTCCGCAAAGTCCGAAGGCTACCGCAATAATAGACACACATTGGTCAACCCGCATTATTCCCTTTAACAGAACTTGAAACATATCGTGGCTTCCATTCGCCCAATTTTCTAACCTTGTTAATTCGCCGACTTATTCAACCCTTTCCTCCTCTGCATAACCCCACTTGGACTTGGGCCAAATACAAGACCCACTAACAACACAAGCCTCACAGGCCAATCCCTGGTTGCCTTGGCTGTCAAACGGCCTTTGACTTTCAAAGGTGGTCGGTGCGTTGCCGTGAGTTGCTCTTTCTCTTCGTGACACCCGGTCCCACCTTCCCTCTTTACCATCATCACCTTCACCCTCACACTTCCCTCGCTTTCTCCTTTCGGCTTTGACTCATCCACCGCAACCTCGGGACCCTCGCGAGTATATCCATCACATCCGCACGTTTTATCTGCATTATCTTCGGAGATATATCGCTGATCTTCCTGTCACAGTCGTCCCAAAAGTCGTGTTGAGCGTCGCTAAAGGATTCTTTCGGACAACCTGTCAAACTCGACTAAGCCTTAGACATATTGACCGCTTCACTCATCAATTGCCGAGCCAATAACGGGAGACACGAGACTTGCACCATCATCCTGCTCCGAGCAAGAGCGATTAAAGGTCATCAACTTCCCTCGGGATTTTTCTCTGTCACGGACTCTATAAAGTCGTCAACCGGCTCTTCAGCTGAGTTTCGAAATTCACATCTCGTTCACTCGAACGAGGCATCTAATACTGTCCCGTGAGTACTGTTTACCTGCTCCATCTTTGCTGTTGTTTGTCTTGTGCTCAGGAACCATGTTGTCGTAGTCTATGCTGTAGAACACACATGATCAAAGATTTCCTTTGTGTCCTGCGAGCAGCTACTGAAGGGCTACGATCAGCTAAAGCAAGACTCAATTCATAGTATCAGGATCGTATCACAGGCTATGCCCTATATGCGTTCTCCACCTCGCCAGTCTAGGGCTCTCCCGCGAGAACTTTCACTTTCTTCCCAATCTTCCATGCATGTTTCCCGTGGGCAGCAAATCTCGGAGAGACTGCCCTCCATTCAGGATGTAGGTCTCAATAGACCGTTGTCTCCTTCTGTTGTCTACTGACTCGAGCAAGATTTTACCCAACATCCCACGTCAAGGCGACGACCGATCGCTGTCGGAGCTCCGTTCTCCACTCCGACACACCCCACAAGGCCCCTCTCGTTCGGTGGATATTCCTGCTCATTTGTCGCCACCTCACGTCTCTGACAGAACTCGACCCTCGTTAACTACGAGCGCCCTGAGCCAATCTGGAAGGAATCGCCAAATAGAGAACGGAAACTCAAGGCAACAAAGCTACGATGCGCCGCCTCCTTATCCTCTCGCTATGCACTCTGGTCCCCCTCGAAATGGGTGTTCAGCGTCAAACTCACCAGCTCCGCCTTCGCCATATGTGAATGAACCTGACAGTCGGCAAGTTTATCAGAGTACAGCGCCTCACTCCAGCTTTCAGAGTCGACAGGGAGAGTCATCAGGTCTGCCTCCACCTCCACCGCCGTATTACAACCAATACAACACCCTCAATGGCCACTCATCGTCGTACGATACTGCAAGAGGCTACAGTAACGACGAATCGCACCGCGGAGACGTTTACTACAGTACTTCTCGATTGGGAACCCCTCAATATCATTCTTCGAGCTCTACGTACGCTTCGGCATCTTACGGCTACCAGATATCCTCCAATTATAGTGGACATTATGCTAGTCAGAATGGTCATCAGTACCAGAATGGCTATCACCGGCCCATGCAATTCGAGTCGGAAGACATGACATCTCAGGTGCCAAAGAAGCGACGAGGCAACCTCCCCAGGGACGTTACGGATATGCTTAAACAATGGTTTGAGGAGCACATAGCTCATCCTTACCCCACCGAGGAAGAGAAGCAGATGCTTTGCAGGCGCACCGGTCTCGCAATGACTCAGGTTAGTAGGATCATGAGCACGTGGCGCAGAAGAGCTGACATTGGTGAACAGATCAGCAACTGGTTCATCAACTCCAGGCGCCGACGTACTCCTGAATTGACGCAGCAAGCTAACGCGGAGAAAAAGCTCCGGGAGAGATCTGGCGATACGAGCAGCAGCTCGGACTAATTGTCTCTCGGGCCAATCCCTGCCTGCCAGGTCTTGGAATGATCTGACACCAAGGCAGCACGACTGGGTGAAGGATTCTGGGTTCATGACGACCATATCTGATGATCGATTTCCTATCGTGCTCTTTTGACTCTGGCATAGCGTGTTTCTGGGGGGGGGGGAAGGGGGTGGGTTCGTTTGCCATGAGTACACTGGCTGCATTTGTTTGGCGTGGGGGAAAAGACCTGGGACCGCAAGGCAGTGGCATCTCTGGCGCGCGGGATATCCAAGGAGTTCTGTACACAATGAGGCGCTGGGTCTGCTTTTGCCATGCTCCATATTGTATACATATAATTCCGAGGACTCATGTTTGCTGATAATGCGATCGCTGGGGGAGATCTTCCCGCGCACGAATCGGTTACTTACCGGTACACGCGAGCCCAGGTGGCCTGCCACGCCCGCGTAGATCTTCGGTGATTTTCCCTTGCGATCAACATCGCTGACTCGTGCCGACTCGATACACATAAGCCCCCTCCCGCCAAAAAAGTCATACAAGGGAGTTTTAACGAAGATCGGTATGATGGATTAAAGAAAAAAAAAAGTAGGACAGATAGATTACCAAAGAGCGACCGGAGAAACCTGTTCCTTTCTGCCGTCGGGGCAAACCCGGCAAACGACGAAAAGAAAAAAAGAAAAAAAAGCGTTGATCCCTGCCCCACCTCACAAGTTGAAAAAAAAAACCAAGTCTCGCCCCATCCATCCATTCCCCCACATACCCACATGCCGAACCCAGCTGAAAACAAAAAATCAAAAATCCTTCAGGGGGGTAGGTATGGGATGTGGATGTGGATGTGGATGACCCGCATTAGCGGCTCCCGTGCTAGAACGATCCCGACTACCGAATTTTCTTTAATCGCTGCAAGGGGTTACGCACGCTATCCTTCTTTTGTCTGGTGGTTGCGTCATGGATGGAGACTTTGGGTTGGGGGAAAAGTTGGAAGGAGGGGAAGTGAAGGGAAAAGAAGGGAAAAGAGGTATTATTGAAGGGGTTTGGCGCGTTTGGTTCGGTTGGACCACTGGCGATTGAGTTTCGTACCAGCGGGGTGGCGCACAGGCGGATGGGTCTCCGGTGGTAGGTATGTGCTCTACGGGTTGGGGACGACAGGGTTTGGGGGAAAAAGGGGCAATGTGGGGCGAGCGGTAGATGGGCTGTGGGAGTCATTTACGGAAAGGATGGGATTGGGTGGGGGGGTCACGATTCGAGGCGGGATCAGATTGGGTGGAAGAAGGTTTCGTCATATTGCGAGATGGTATCGACGCCTTTCCAACGTGAACGCTTCGCTATGGCGCTCAACATGTATTTTACAAATGGGTTCTCAAGCCGACAATGGCTGCGCGCCGCGTGGGAGGTTAGGATAGAGACGATAGAGCCAGGCGGTTGAGTCGGGATTGTGCTGCTTCGACAAGAGCAGATCTGAGCGTCATGAGTCAGTGAGAGGATTCGGGTAGGGGAGGAGTTGGGAGAGGTCAACGTACTCTCGCTCCAACAGCTTCATCACCTTCGTGACTCTCTCTTTGCGTAAATCGGAGGGTATCACATGTATGCCATCACCGTCCGTCTGCTCGTTGCTTCCTTGCTCAGCGGCCTCTTTGGCCCTTGCGACGAGGTCCGCCGTCAGGTCTTTGACGTCTTCATATCTCTGCAATGTTTCTGGCTCTGGCTCTTGGCCTTCTTCCTGTTCGTCTTGCTTTCGGGATTCCTCCTCCATTCCCACTCCCACCGAGTCCGCCGTCTTCTTGACCTCGGCGAACCAGAGCCTTTCTTTTTCACTCACTTCCTCTCCGGCTTTACTGAATTTCTCTCGAAGTTTTTCATGGCGAGAGGCCAGCTCTTGGTGCTTGCCTCGTACCTTCTTCAGCCGCTCATCGAGTGTGGCATGGCCTTTGCCCGTGGTATTACCCACATACTGATCAGCGTCCTCGCCAACGACAACATCAGTGCGGTGAGCGACTTCATTGGCCCGGCTGATCTGGTCTCTTAATTGGTCTTGCAGCCTCTCGCATCGTCGGAATAGATCTGCAGCCGCGACGCCGAGCAGATGGGTTTCTTTGCTGATGACTCTGTGTGCTGAGGTCATCCAGTCTAGGGTGGCAGTCGACATGCGGACATTTTCTTTCATTAGCTTTCGGTGGTGACTTGGGACATGTCTGTCAAAGAAATCTGGTAACGAAGAACCTCTGGAGAATATCTGCGGTGCCTGGTAGATTTCTCTTGCTGGACCTCGAAGCGACAGCGTGTCCATAGCTGGCATACTTTTGAAGCTCGCCTCTTCATCTTCATCCTCAAATGGCACTACTGGTTCAGGCGGAGGCTTTTCCAAGATCGCTGCTTTTGGTTCCCCGTTGACAGGTGCCAGAAGGAAGTAACCCAAGTTGGAATCTTCGAGCACTAAGCAAGCAGCGACAGATGAATCGGATACCAAGTCTTGTTCGTGGCTAAATGTCAGCATCTTTTCCCTTAGTGTCCCAGGTCCATTCTTGATTATATCCATGCGGAACGGCGCTCCAAGACTTTCGTTGCTTTGCAGCTCTTGTTCGAGACTTTGCACCCATGGATCGAGTGAGAAGAAGGAAATTCCTTTGCTGTGCGTTATGAAGAATGAATACCGTGATTGCACGTCCTCAGTGAACGTAGGCCATTCCAAGTCAAGTGAATCAGTAGGGTTCAATGTTTCTAGCCCCTCAAGAACGGTCAGATAAGGCTCTTTCAGAGGTTCAGGCAACCGCTTCGGTTTCTTGCGAGGCAACCATTGCCCTTCCACTCCTTCCAGATCTAGACAGACATAGACTCTACCACCTCTTGTCACTAGGCAGACAACAGCTGCTGAAACGCCATGCCCGTCCGTCCAATCTGGTTCAGAGTCGGAGTCATCACCGCTTGTGAGTGCTTCGGCGTCGATTTTGCCTGCAACGACGTGGATATCAGATAGCTCCAAATCTTCATCCGTGTCTTCAGAAAACATTTGGAAAGGCCCTTGCAGCCTTGGAATAGCACCAGGGGTGGTCGGGCGGCTGTAAATTTCGATATCTGGTGAAAGTTCGTCTTTCCCTTCCACAACCGTCGGATCCTGGCTATCTATCCCACGTATCCACTCATACTGGTCGTTGTATTGCCGGGCCTCCTCCAGATTGGACTGGCTTTTATCCTGGGTCATGGCAGTCTTCCCTACGACAGCCGTCGAGATGGACGGCATCAGCGTGGACGGTGGTTGCCATTTCGAGGGAAGAAGAGGACACAAGGCGTAAACATCGCCTCCTTTCATGGCGAACCACAATGTAGTAGCGGACCATGCGGACTCATCGCTCGAACCACTGCCTCCAAAACAAGCAGAAGCCACTTCCAATCCCACAGAATCCAAAGAAAAGGATCTATTCCTTGCTCTACCTGGGGCAAAATCCTGCTCTTCTGAAGACCCCGTCACAAGTTTCTTGAGATCTATAGCCAGTGTGGGGCTATCCGTCGACCAACGGTTATCTCGATTGAATTCCCAAATCCGTACAACTGCGTCGACTGTAATAGTGACGAGGCAGTTTCCTGCAACTCCGCAAGGATGCCATAGTATGCTGGCGATTTGGGATTGAGATAGCACATGTGTTGTAGGTCCAATGGCGAAAGCCTTCAGTTTGATTGCTCCGTTGGGTAGCTGTCCAAGGTGGGAAGAATCCGGTAGTAGAGCAATGTGTACCATATGTGCTGTAGCTATGGCGAGGAGATTACCATTTGGAGATACCGCTAGCCGTCGTATTGGTTCGCCAAGTGCAATGGTGAGAACCTGTATGGACGGCTATTTAGCCAATATCCCTTGCATCCTCACCAAATATTTACATACCCTATAGCTTCCGTCTTCGGGACCGTCTTTCTCGACCTGTGTGTCGCTTCTTGGTCCCGTAGATTTAGGCGCTTTCGAAGGTGTGGCTTTCTGCTCTTCAAAGTTCTCCTTGAGCATGCTCAGGTCTGCCCATCGAATGTGTTTGCCGACGACTGTGAAGATTTCCGCTCCACGCCGGGCGATGGTCTTGATTGGTCCCACATAATCGCTGTTACTACCCCTGCCGTCCTCTGCCTGTACTGGGCCTCGTTGTCTCGCTTGCGCTTGAGCTTGCGTAGGCTGTGCGTTGTTGAAGAGTTGGAATCCTGGGTTGTTTCTAGACAGCCATTCGGGCGTGTACGCCAGGACCTTTGGCATTGCGGAGGGGCGAGCAAGGAAAAACGCAAGAGATGACTTTGGACAGGCAGGTCAGCAAAGCCTTCTTAAAAGGAAGATAGTAAGTTTGCAGCTCATTGACGCCATATTGTTCCCCAGGAAAAAGCGCGCAATGAACCGCGGCGCGCTTTTCACTAGCGCTGTACTTTAGCTCTAGCTCCCAATTCCAAGCAGCTCTCCGCGACATCTTTACCATCTGCCTGAACTGGAGGACGCGGTGCCAGCAGCGATGCAGACTACTGTCGATAGGCTTGACAAACCCAGTGCTTACTACCTGGGAAGGGTAGGAGCATATCACACCTGCACAATGTTGTTTATAAGACTAATCCATATCGTTGTTTGTCAGAATAAGAAGCGTAAATATGGTCGTGACCGGGACGATGATGACGTCGGCCGACAAAGGACACCCGAGGAGCCCGAAGACCCATTGAAGGATGCTGCGACACTCTACGTGGGTAATCTGTATGTGAAGCCACTTGTCCCTATTACAAAGAAAATTTGGCTTATGCGATGCAGGTCATTCTACACTACTGAGGAGCAGATACATGAGTTATTCGCCAAGTAAGACTTTGCTGTATCTTGGCTGAAAGACATGTGCTAAAACTTGGCAGATGTGGGGAAATCAAGCGACTTGTCATGGGCCTTGACCGCTTTCATAAAACCCCTTGTGGCTTTTGTTTCGTGGAATACTACAATCATCAAGATGCATTGGACTGTATGAAATACATAGGAGGTACCAAACTAGATGAACGGATCATACGGACAGACCTAGATCCAGGCTTTCAAGAGGGAAGACAGTATGGGTAAGTCGACTTGACACAACTCTGGCTTTTGGAAGCTTTCATAATTGATACTTTCACTCTAGGCGAGGGAAGTCTGGCGGTCAGGTTCGAGACGAGTACCGCGACGAGTACGATCCAGGACGAGGAGGCTACGGCCGTGCAATCGCCGAGGAGCGTCAAAAGGAGGAAGATGAGTACGGCAAAGGAAGGTAGTGTAGGTTTAAAGACTACAGCAGGCGTCTGGAGCAGACATACGCTCGTTCCGGCAGCAATCGTAACATGTGTAACAATATCAGGGATATCGGACGTTTCTCCCACAGCTCAGGGCTCTCTATAGCTGTGTAGGCTAGGAGGATACTACAACTCCCCAAAGAACCGGATTATGCTGATCCTTGGAACTTTTCAAGGAAATCTACTCTTTTCCTCGTGTTGAGTCATGTCTTTAACCTGCTGCAGCCACCATACATGGATCCTTGCATCTTCCGTCAACTCTGGATGGAAGCTCGTTCCAAAGACATTGCCTTGCTTCACGGCAATGATATCTCCAGTTTCGTCCTCCAATCCCGTTGCGGCGACATGTTTTTTGAGCGTTCGACTTCGACCAGGTAAAGTAGCCATGACTTCAACAGGTCGAAGAACTTGCTCATTCATCTCACCTTCAGGACTCCGGGACGGCGCAATGACCGTTTCGTCGATCGCTCTTTCACTCGCCTGCTCTCCTCGTATCACTGGCAATATTTTCTCGACCACTGGCGCTCTGATGAAGATTCCATTGAACGGTTTGACGTCTCCTCTTCCGTCCTTTGTACCGAGGAATGGCAGGGCCAGCTCAGCTTCGAAGCTCTCCGTCTGTCTCCCGAAATAATTACGATTCACTCTCACGTCCAAACCACCGATGAGCTCCTGACCGCCTTTCTTCGTGCGATTGGCGGACTCGGCTAGCAGGATTAGTCCAGCGCAGGTGCCCCAGGTCGGTCTTCGACGTACTCTTTGAACAAGCCGAAGTCAGCGGCGTTCTAGATCACAAGAGATTTCAGTATGGATCAACTTGCTTGACAAAGTCTCGCAGTGGCTCCAAAAGATTCGAGCGAGCTGCCACTAGAGAGACGGTCGTACTCTCTCCACCAGGAATTATAAGAGCATCACATCTCTCGAGCTCTTGTGCGGTGCGAATCTCCACAGATTCCCATTCTTCGTCCTGGCCAATGGCTACTTCTCGGAAAGCTCTCTGTAGAAGCTTGAGATGCTCGTAGAAAGCCCCTTGCAGAGCGAGCACGCCTACCACAATGTTTCTAGTCATTTGATGGTTGTGTACGTCGAGGGCCATCTTTGTCGGACATCATCTTGCGCCGGTAATAAAGACGGGCCGCTAGTGCGCTTTTGACAACCGCGGGCAAATCCCGTTCAAAACTTGACGTGGGTTTCTCCATCTTTTGCCATTGCTCCTGTCAGAGTTCTATCAGATCATGAAAGCCCTTATGGTGTTCTTAGTGAGCACTTTCCACCCCCATCTCCCTCCATAATGGCACAATTTCAGAAAGGATTGAAGAACATCCTCCAAAAACACCCAAATGACGTGGTCTTCCTCTCCGCTCTCCGTACTGCCATAACCCGATCTTACAAAGGCGGCCTTCGCAATGCCTACCCAGAGCAAATGCTCGCTACTGTTGGTCCCCCCCTTCCATTTTCTTTGCTCCCGACTCACAGATCGCCAGGTTCTCCGTGCAACGCTCACGCAAAACCCCAATGTCCCACCCTCCGCCATTCAAGATGTCGCAGTCGGAACCGTCCTCTCCGAACTTGGCGGCTCCAAAGCCGCCCGTATGGCCCTGAATCACGTCGGCTACCCATCTAGTACATCTCTCTACACCGTCAACCGTGCCTGCGCATCCAGCCTCCAAGCCATCACTACCATCGCCGACAGTATCGCCGTCGGACGGATAGACGTGGGTATTGGCGCGGGCATGGAAAGCATGACGAGGAATTACGGTTCGAAAGCTGTGCCGACGCAGTTATGGCCTGAGTTGAAGGAGAGTGGGGTAAAAGATGCAAGGGATTGCATCATGCCAATGGGCATCACAAGTGAGAATGTAGCGGAGAGGTATGGTATTAGCAGAGCGGATCAGGACGCCTTTGGTGCCGCATCACACATCCACGCATCCAAAGCACAAAAAGATGGCCTATTCGACAAAGAAATCGTCCCAGTCTCCGTCACAAATCCACCAGGCGAAGGCGACGGCGACGGCAGCCCCACCCCTCAGCCCAGCGAAACCGTCGAAGTCTCCAAAGACGACGGAATCCGACACAACGCGTCCACAGAATCCATGGCTAAGCTTAAACCCGTCTTCAAAGAGGCCGGCACCACAACGGCAGGCAACAGCTCTCAAATCTCCGACGGCGCCGCCGCATCTCTCATGATGCGTCGCTCGACCGCCAATTCCCTCGGTCTCTCCTCTTCTATCAAAGGGAAGTTCGCCGGGGCAACAGTCGTGGGCGTCGCGCCGGATGAAATGGGTATTGGGCCCGCCTACGCTATCCCTGCCCTTCTCTCCTCCCTGGAAATCAACAAAGAGGATGTAGGTGTGTGGGAAATCAATGAGGCCTTTGCGAGTCAGGCACTTTATTGTGTAAGGAGATTAGGGTTGGACAAGGCGCTGCAAGAGGGTAGGATTAATCCTAGAGGTGGGGCAATAGCGTTAGGGCATCCGTTGGGCGCGACTGGGGGGAGGATGGTGAGTACCATTTTGAGCGAAATGGGTAGAGGAGGGTTGGGGGACGTGGGGGTTGTGAGTATGTGTGTTGGGACGGGGATGGGGATGGCGGGCTTGATTGTCAGGGAATGAGGCGTGCGGAGCGATTGAGAGCGAGGGTGATTGTCGATATGTTGGGAAAAGATTTGGGGTTGAAGACTCTGGAAAAAGGGTGCCTAAAGGCTGACGAATCGTGAAAGTGGCCCAAAATTCGAGAACGTGTTCATTTCAGATTGTTGTCAGATGGTAAAGCTGCGTAAACATTTCCAAAAAGAGGGTATCTTCACGCAAAGATCTCAGCTAATTGCAGTCCACAAATGGGGTATATAGCTACAGGACGTAAATAAAACCCAAACCGCCCGTCAAAAACGCCCGTTCTCGCAGTCTCGACCCTCAGCCCCTTGCCTGAACGCCTCCTCCTTTCATCTGCACTGGCTCCGCGAATCCTTTGCCTTTAATGGGGCTGCCACCCCGGCTGTTCCTCTTCCCTTGCTCCCTGTTCCATTTCTTTGCAACTTCGTCAAGGCTGAGATCCGCCATTTGGTCGTGCGATGATGCTGGTGGTGAAGTCGCAAGTGGGGGGCTTAAGGGGGCATTTGTTCCTTTTGCACCATCGTCTTCGGGCTCGCTACCTGATATGTAGTTGGAATCGATGCTTTGGCGCCGGTAATGGTCACGGTCGATGGGATGCTTTCCCTTAATTTCGGTCAATTGTGGTTCGTTCGTGACGATTTGATGTTTGAACGACATGAGTGCAGCGGCTGTAGCCCCGTGATGTGTCGGCGGTAGAGCTACGCTCACCCCCAGTGTTTGCTCCATATCATGGAGCATTACCTCCATTGGTGCAATTGTAGCGTATTGGCCAAACTCTGAGTAGGCAGTAACATGGCCGCATACCCCACCAGTTGCGTTATCAATCACCCAGGCACCCGAATCACCCCCCACTCCGAAGTCGCCCTTGACTCGCCATACCGGAGACGGGTAGACCCTTCCCGGCATCTTGGTTTGTTGCATCGTTGGTAGTACTGTTCCGGTGGCAAGCCCGCTCGTTGAACCATATGCATGGACCCGTAGGCTTCCAAGTGTTTCGGCACTGAGCACTTGAGAGGGGTATGAACCATGAGCTTGACAATGTTTGGCCCCTCCTTCTACTGTGTTTGTTGACGCTCTTCGCTCTTTGTGGATTTTAAACAGCGCCCAATCGACCTCATGCGCAACAGATCCATAGGTCAAACGTCTCAACCCTGAGGATGCATGGATGTTGCCTAAGCCATGGCTCACAAGGTGATCATCACTCATTTCGTCTTCGTCCGGAAAGAAATTCTCGTCAACATCGTCCAGAGCTGGCTGTGTGACGATGACATGCTCACCCTCGCCAGGCCGGGTACCAGGCAAATCACCCATATTGATATCCTCAACCATTTGAGAGTCGTCCGAATCGAGGGCTCGAAGACACTCAAGGTCATGCAGTTTGTCTTCCGAAATGTCGAGGATAGCCATTTCGTCGGGCAACAAGCTCTCCAACCCGTCCAAGCTAAGGTCAGGCTCCTGATCTTCTTGGAGCATATGGTGTACGCTCATCCCATGGGCCTCACCATTTACCAGGACTATACCCCCAAATGTGACTGCTTCCGAGTGCTGCTCATCAACAAAACAACCAATTGATGCTCCACATGTCGGTTTTTCTTGGTATCGTGAGGGTTGTCGACCCGTTGTTTGGCTCACTTCTGTGGCAACAGCCTTCTTTTGTCGCCGTTTCTTCTTTTTCGACCAAGTAATTTGGCCAGAAGCGACTTGAATGTCGAATATTCCCTTGTCCTGGTTGACGTACTCCAAGATCTTCCAAGCCCTTAAGATGCTGTTGCAGACCATCAAGACTGTTGGTTTGGCCGTCTCGGGGGTTTTGCCAGCCATAAATACGTCGATTTCGTAGGATTCCCACCTGTTGATCGCCTTTGCAAGCATGCGACCCAACCTCGGCATCATGACCGTATCGAAATACGCGCGGGCTGGCTGAGGTATGTTGTGCGACCAGACTAGCAGGTCGAATTTGTGTCCCGGTTGAGTAGGGGAATCAACTTTGAGCGCTTGCCAAGGGACAGGTGCCGAGACCTCCTCACTAGCCACTGGCAGGGGCTCAGGCCTATCAGAGGTAAACGGGGCGGGCAGTATGATGGGTTGATCGTCGTCATCGATCATGCAGCATCGTTCTAGAGGTTTGAGGGCATTCCAATAAAAGTCCGTCTGCAATTTTGGCTGCTGTCTTTCGCTGGACTGCTGATTTACGGTGGATTGATTCGTGTGCCTGGCGTCGGCAGCACTCAGGCAGTACTCCACTACACGCATGTACCTATTCCCACATTTGCCGGCGAGCTTCTTTGAATACACGGTCTGTAGCCTTGCTTTGAAAATCTGGTGTGAGTATTTGGTCTTCCAAAGTTGATGGATTGGCATCCACAATCCTACCTCCAACAGAATCAATCCCAGACTGTAGATGTCGTAAGCAGGCTTGTATGCAGTCCTTTTACCACTCTCAGCCATCGGATGACGGTAGATGCTCGAAATGAAGCTTTCTTGATGCGCAGCATGTGTATCCTCTGCGGAGGTGTCGAAAGAAGTGAGAAATGGATGTCGGATAGCACCATCCTTCCACGGCATAGCGCTGGTATCTGCAGGCCGATTCTCATCCACGAATACAACATTGCTGCTATTGATATTCCGGTGGGATATGCCTTTAGCATGGATGTGAAGCAAATTCAACGCAAGCCGGAATGCAAGACGGAACCTGTCCTCCAAGCAAGGCATATTGTTGCTAACAGTGTTGGCGGCATGTTGAAGGAACGATAATAGACTCTGCGGCGAGTGATGCTGATCGAGAGACGAGATACTCAGAGAAGCTGGTCTAGGTACTTCATAGACGAAGGCATACCTTGGCCGATGAGGGTCCACAAACCAACCGAGAAGTCTCATTGTTCCCGTGTACCGGCATCGGGATTCATCTGAATTTTGGTCAAGAGCTCTGCAAAGTTCTTCGTAACGCCGCAGTGATGGTAAACGACCAGTGGCAGGGTCTGCGTCCCGAACAAAGCCATAATCGAGCAATACCGGTTTGCCTTCGGACTGGTTTCGTGGCGCGGTAGACGGCAGCACATCGAGTAAGCAGGCAAACACTCGATCATCGGATTTGTTTGCAATATTTTCGTACGATGGCGGCGACGATTCGGTCGTCTGTCTCACCTCTGGGAAGCGCAATCTGCTGGGATCAATTCGTGTCGAGACGGCGATTTGCGACCATGTGGATGGTATGGACTCCTTGCCAGCCGTCGTAGCGTTCTCTAAGGAGATTTGAGCCTGGGCTACCCCCGACTTTCCGGGGTTGAAGACCGCATTTGGAGATTGCTTTTCGCTTTGGCCAGTGGAGCGCTTTTCATTCTGACTAGTAGAGCCTTGGCGAAGAATCTCTTGTGATCTCGATAGATCACATAGCGTGTCAATAGAGGTCGTGATATCTTTGACAATGTCTTCGAGGCGCGCCAAGTCAATAGATGTCCACTGATTAGTAGGACTGAATAGCATGCCTGCCTTGTCGACAGGGTACCCTCCAGGAAGCTGTGGCCGTGAACGTGGTTGAATTCGCTCTGCTTCATCGAGCAGTTCTCTGATAGATGACATGATACTGGCGACCAGGTCGCTTATGCCTGCCCGATCCAGAGATCCATCAATGTCGCCGGTTTGATCCGCTTTCGAGTCGGCCCATTCTAAACCCCATGCCACCAATCGATCCTTCTGAATTCTGAGCTTGAGATGTAATGAGGAGAGTTGAGGATTGGTGATGTTGGCTTGCACAATCTGTTCGTAGCTCTTCTTCGTATCGACATACATCTGGGTTAGCCGCCGCGGTAGCAGGGCGTGGGCGTTTCTGATGAGCTCCATCCCGCTTCAAACAACGCCCTTTGCTGAAAGTGAAAATGAGAGATATCAGAACAGCGACGTGGAATTTTTCCTGATCATCATTGACTGTGTATAATTTGAAGTGGGCTTGGTCTTGCGTTTTGCATTGTACAAAAGCTGATGCCTGATTTTGCGCTAATCTTCGGAAAAGGAGCAGTGGCAATGGAGGCAGCAACAAAGTGTACCAAGTGGCTCAGAGTGCTCCACAGAAAGACTTCGTGACTTTCAGTCCCGGAGACTTCTTATGCCTGATGTTTAGCGGAGAAGTGGAAATCGTAAAGCCGTGGTCTAATGTTATTGAAGCAGCGTACGAGGGTAGAAATTGATGCCTGAGGCCTGAAAGATAGCGCCTTGGCTGTCAAACCTCGTCAACTTGCGCATTCCAACGCCTTGTTCCCAACTTTGCGCCAGAGCGAGCGAGTGCTGGTCCTCAATGAGAGCTTTGGAGGATGAGTTAGAGGTACACCTACCACCATGATTTGAGCACCAATTCTACTGCGACATGCCAGTGACGGCGCTCTACTTCCTACCCGCCTCCGGCCCAGACTCCAATCCTACCCAAGACATCCTCGCCAAACTCACCTCCTACTACGATCTCTCTCCCCTGCCTCCCTGGACACTCTCCCACCGCATTTTCCGCGAGACGCCCTTCACCCAGCCTTCCGTCCAACCGTTCCCTTCTCTCACGAATGGCGTGGACATACCCAAACCTCCCGGTCCCCGCTTTCTCCAGATTCTGAGCCTCTCTCATCACGCACCACGGACGTTTGTCGCCATCACGACCACCCACAACGCTTCTCAGATCAGAGCCCCAACGCCAGCTTCATCCAATATAAGTGCTGAAGCAGCAAGCGGGGAGCCGGCGACCATAATCTCTATTGCCGCCGGTCCATCGAGCGAAGAGTTCATTCAACTCATAGTCTCGAAGTTTGGCCCACTGTGGCAGCAGCGTCAGATACTAAGTGCAGGTTATGGGCATGCGTTTGAGATTGGCGATTTTAGGGTTAGAGTTGGAGAGTTGAGGCAAGGTGGCAGCGGAGGTGGGCAGATGGGAAGAGGAGCGGTCTGCGAGGTTACGTGGATTCGTGAAGAGGCGGAGCAGGAACAAGAGGGCTGGGAAGTGGGGGAAGCGGTGGTCAAGGGTTTCTGGGAGGGATTGGCATTGCGTGGAGCGAGGGAAGTATACTGGGTGCCGGGGTTGGGAGATGGAGAGGGGACCATAAGGCAGTGGTGTGAGCTTCTGAGGCCGAGATGACATAATTAGTGTTCAGTAATCATATTCCGCTGGCTGCCAGGTCCCGGGCCTTTCAACAGCACCGAGATGGAGCTGTCCAAGTAGATCTCAAGACAGCCATTCATCCTTCTCGAGAATGGCAGTCCAATCATCGCTTTCACCTCTCGTGAACGCCTTCGTGTCTTCAATCTCCATTTGCCCTAGGTCCGCTCCATAAAGATGGGCAAAGCAGCCGCTCTTCGCCTCTTCCCATTTTACGTTGCTCTCAATCTGCTTCAGAGGTATCCTAAGCACCCACAGCTTCTCGTTCGCAGAGAAGAAGCGACCAGCAGTAGCAGGCGTCTGTGCAGCGGTGGAAAGATGTATGAAGCCGTCTTGGGCATCAATAGCAGAGAGCGGTAGGCTGGCTGGCAGTGGATCTGGAGGCGCTTCTGGGAGGATTTTGTAGACGTACTTTGGGAGGGATGACGGTGATGGCGGTGGCGGTGGCATTTGGTTGGATGCGATTGTACGTGAATGTGAATGTGGTACTAAGGCACTGTTCTACCTCAGAGGAAACCACGGTTTGAGCCGTCCCGCAACACTGTGCGGTCCGATTTGGCCTAGCGTGGCTTGCCAATTCTGCATAAGCGAATTTCCACGGTGCATACGGTACTTTAGGTAGAAATCTGCATAGAGTAGCTAGTGTTGTCGCCATACTGCAATACTAGCACATTGAGCCTCTATTCAGTTCCGAACAAAGGTTTACATCCCACGCCACGCTAGGGTTTCGTGGACACAAATACCCAAATCGCCACTAAAGTAGTGTATTTAGGCACAGCAACAAACTCAACTTCTGGGGACATATTCAGGCTTAACAAGTCTAGAAGCAAAGTTTGGGGAATCAAGTATGGCTCGTTCGATATCTCACTTTCGGATCTCCGTGCAAGAATGCCTCAAGTGTCTGCACGCTTCGCGTTTGTCCAACAATCATCAAAGCCCACAGCTCCATCTACTGACTAGGGTTGCCTGGTCGACTCCTAAACGCCATATCCTGCAACCAAAGTTTCTCCTTCCGCTTCTCCCCCATTGTAGACTTCCTCGTTGCTGACTTTCCATAAAGCCCACTCGTCTCATCTCTCGGCTGTAACGGCCCTGACGACGGCTCTGGGGGCTTCGGCGTCATGAAATGCTGCCATGTTTTGTGTTCTTCGAAGATGGCTTCCAGAGTGGGGAGGTGTTTGCCGCCACTCACGCGGAGCCTGTCCGTGTGTCCATTTTGCAACTCTTGAATGCGGGAGAAGAGGTTCTCGCGGTCATCGCGGTTGGATTCGTACATGGTTGCTAATTGGATTATGGGGAGGAGGACAGATTGGTTTAAAGTGTAGGCTTTCATATCTACAGAATTCTGGTTGCGGAGCTCGATTAGTAGATCGGTGAGCGTCATTGTGCAGCCGTCCGAAAGATTGGACTCAGTCACATGACCGAGGGGACCGCATAGCACATTGCTGACTTCCGCTGAAGCTTCCTTCGTCCGAGCCTCATGTCTGACAATAGTCCCATTTACCTCCCTGCACAGATGGAATATCTTGAGGATGTCGCGGTACAGGTTAGGGAGATCGAAGTCCTCGGTTAGGATGTAGTCTAGGTCGGTATTGGCTTTCCATGGAACACCAGGCACGTAAATCATGAGCCGAAATCTAATGATGCGCTTGAAGCTCGGGACGTCAGAAATATCAAGCCGGTGACCAGGGTTGCGAAATTTTTGAGACTGGCAGACGTGTTTTGCCATTTCGAGAGCCACTTTCATTATGTCTTCGCATCCTGACCAGTTTCGAAGGGATTGACGGATCGGTTTTGCAACAACTAGAGTGCAGCTCTCGGTCAAAGTTTCCGTGGTTTCCAATTCATCAGATCGGGTGATCCCGTCAGAGCACAACATCGTCTTCTCACTATCGGAATTGGATAATGTTTGCGACGAAGATGGCGATACTTCCTCAAGTACTGGGCTCGAGACCGGTTTCTCTCCGATGCTCTCGGAAGGTTCACTTGAGCTGGCTGTCTTGTACTCCATGATTGCAACGATCTCAAGAAGAGATTTGGAGAGGTCATCTCCGAAGGTCCCTAACCAGTGTTCGCCAAGTTCTCGGTCATTTGCCGTGAGGAATTTTTTAATACGCCAAGCACGAAAAATAGCCGAAAGTCCCACTATCAATAGCTCTCCGAAAGCTACCCACCATACTGCGACTCGTACGCCTAGATAGTACACCACGTAAGATCCCATGAGGCCTGCGCAGACGAAGGAAGTGATGGCCTGTCGCTTTAGTGAGGACTATTGTTTCTTTGGAGCAGCTTGCACAAGGTTCCGTTGGTGCTGCTTGTCAAAAGATTGATGTTGTGCGTGACGCGAGTCGCTGAACGTCCATACAACGCCTGGGTCATCGAAGATGGGCTGAAGGTCTTCAGACTCGACCCCTATTTCGTCTTCGATTATCAAAAGCAGTATGAATGCAAAAACTACGATACCACAGTATCCGACGAGTCCCATGACGAGCGTGTTAAGGCCAGTACTTTCCGTTTGCAGCCCGTAGTATCCGGAAAGTTGGACTCCGCCCGTAGCAATGCAGGAGCCGACTCCAGCAAGAGTATTGCCTAGATTGGGCGGCTTCGAAATCACTCTGCGGTTCGCGGTACGGTCTATTGCGGCCGTTTGAGTTGGACATATTCCCATTGCACGGAAATTGAGAGATGTTGACTTGACGCGCTCGGCTAGCGATCTTTCGATCTCCGTATTCTCGGCTATAACGGACCATACAAGCCTCGCTGTCTCATCTGCGGTCAATGGGTTTCTCTTCATCCCAAGTACGATTTCGTAGTCTTCTTGATGGGTGCTGGCATTGCCATCGCCATCACCTTTCAACTTGTCGACTCTGGAGCGAAGTATGTGCTTGAAAGATGCCAACGCTTCGCGTACACTGTCCGTCTGTTTGATATGTACACAAACGAATGCGGCTTCGTCACGTCGCTCACTTGGCTTCATCTCCACAGCATGTTGTGTGTAGACACTCGTTGTGGGAGCTACACTCAGCGGCGTCAGCTCGACCAGAGCCCCGCTCTTGGGGTCCGCTTCACGACCAGTGAGTCGCCGTAGGATACGGGGTCCGCTAAGGCGAATCACACAGATCATCAATGAGAAAATTCCAAGTGGCGCGGTTGCTATTAGAAACAGCCGATCACGAGACGAAGACACCCGCAGGAATCCTCTGGCGTTCCGTTCGCCGAGCAGGGTCATTACGGGGGCAACATTAGCAATCACAATAAACCAAACATCGGTCGAGGCGGTGATTGGTGCTCGATTGGCTGTAGATGTTTGTCTTGAAGAAAGCACACACCTCTGGGAAAAGGATGAAGATGGCAAGTAGTGTTGCTGGCAAGTAGACCTTCGAGACTTGCCAGTGTGCTACAATAGGACATAAGTAAGTGAGGACGATTTGGTAGTGATTGTCGTAATAGTGCAGCTCAAATCAGTGATAATGACTTACAACCAATGTTACTCATAATTGCTGAATGAGAAAGACCTACAGTGATCCTCCACTCACTTTGTGAAAGATTCGGGTTCTGGCTTTCGCCGGTTATACACGTGACCCTGATGGGATAACGCATAGTCAAAGTCAAAGGTGGGTTTGGGGTAAATATAGATCTTGCCATTGCTATGATCGAATGCAAGGGGGGAAGGTATGACTGCAGAACTGGCAATGCAGCCTGACAGCCCAGAGCTTTCTTGGCATTATTGGGGCTTACTACGTCAGCAAAAACCTGAAATGCCACCTCACTAAGTCAAACACCAGCCTTTCACATATCTCTTACATGTCGGCGTCCCCTTTTGGGAGGTGGTATTCGAAGAATATCGGATCAAGCGAGTGGTTGTGCTGTATTCCGGATTTCCGCCATTGTTAAGGCGAAGCTTGTTGAAAAAGTCTTGACGACATTGGTCATCTCACTACCACGTACAAAGTGAAGCAATGCAATGCGATGTGAGCATTGAGCTAATTTGTCACGAAGATATCATGGTAAGTGGAACAATTCCTCTCGCCCTCCGTAGAGGCGACACAATAGCCTTCATATCACCTCCAGCACGCCTCAACCACGTCTTCCCGGCTCCCCTTGAACGCGCAAAGTCGCATCTAGAACGCCTAGGCTACCGCGTCAAGGTCATATCCAACGACTCCGAACCTGTCACCTTCAGAGACTCAAACCTACAGCGATGCGAAGAGATCCACACTGCCTTCGCAGATCAATCAATCAAAGCCATCATCTGCACCGTCGGTGGCAGTCACGCGAACGAGCTGTTACCACACTTAGACTACGGGCTCATCAAAGCGAACCCGAAGATCTTTTGCGGATACTCTGATAATTAGTGTCTTGCATCATACCTTTTTCACACAGGTCGGTCTTCGAACCTTCTATGGCAGCGCCGCCGTCACAGAGTTGGGGGATTACCCACAGCCATTGCCGTTCACCAGCGACCATCTCTTCTACGTGCTTCAGAGTTCAGCCGGCAGGCCAATCGGCCCCATGCCAAGGTCCTTCAAATGGGCCGCAAAATTGCCTGACTTTGACACCGACTCCCGGCGACCTGGAGAACAATCTCCATCGCCCGGTTGGACATGGCTACAACCTGGCAAAGCAACAGGTCGTATCTTCGGTCGCTGTTTACCTCCCATCCTCCATTTAGCAGGAACCAAATACTGGCCGGATTACTGCGACCGGATCCTGATCCTGATGCTCGAAAATCCGATGGGCGAGAGGATAGAAGATCCATTCTCTCTGACATCGACGCGAGCAAAGGTTAGCCTAGTGACTATAGGTATGACTGGCAGCTTACCAGAAGGTGTTGTAGAGACCAGTGACGACGCCTCGGTAGGCGGGATGGCACATCTCCACGACGTATATTGGACCACCGCAAGTAGCCAGCTGAGCCCCAAAGCCTAAGAAGAATCGGCCGATCATGAAATGAGAGAAGCTGTGGGTGTATATCGTCGTACCCTGAATAGAAGTACCTGTCATGACAGTACAGACGCCGATGAAGATGCCCTTTCTGCGACCCCACGTATCCAAGGCGGGACCCGAGAACGGGACTGCGACGATAAAGCCGATTTGGTACAGCAAAGAGACAATTCCCATCCAAATACCCTTATTGGACCCATGGAAGTAGGTTCTGAAAGCGTGGTTCTGCAGAAGTCCGTCCAGTAGGGAGCTGTCATAGCCACTCATAGTGGAGCATAAAAAGCCGACGGCACAGATCGGATATAAGCGGAAGCTAGTCGTAGTAAAGGCCTTCGGAGGTTCCATGCACCTGGCTTGGTCGAATTGCATTCTTCTAGAGGATACATCTCTCTTGTGGGTGGGACTTTTGAGGTGATGCTACAGCACTTGTAAGCTGTGACAGGGGCAGGCGCAACGCAGATGGCGCAACGCAGATGGCACAAATCATTTGTCTGGACATACTTGGTGGTTGAACTCTTCAACGCCATCCTTCATTCTCTCATATTTGTTGTGCAGAGACATTGCAGTAGTGTTTGCAGCAAGCTTGAATTAGCGATGGTAACCAGAAAAGAATACCAAGAAAGAGATAGATTTATTAGTCAGATTGACTGTATCTATAATGAAGATCATCGAAAGCCAGAGAAACGAAGGCCTTCGACGCCAGCTTCTCACAGATATAAGATAACAAGATGTACGCTTCCAACAGAACCATTGTTTGGAAGTGCGGGCTTCGAGGTTTCGAAACGCAGCAAAGGCTCATCTCGATATCAAGCCCCAAACATGATTGGAATGAGCAATGCCTCAAGAAAGATTCACTTCGAGATAGTAGTAAGTGCTTAGAGAAGAGTGTTGATTGAACTTTCAGAAGCAGACAGACGAAGACCCTCACCTCAACCAGTGATGCCAAACTCTGGCAATTTCGCGATATATGCGGTAGGATTTCTCTGATATTAGCCAAGAAGACATCGAGCGCGCCCGGTTTACTCCCGTGAACTCTTGGGGGCCGAATGCCCTGAGCTGAACGCTGCCCATGGAATCAGAAGGAGCACCATAGCCGTAGTGGCGACTCTCATCGCTGTGGTACGGCACGGCGGTATGCTCCATCGTAGTCGGCTGGGAAGTCAACGGCCTCTCAGATTTCGGGCAGTCCTAGGTTCGTTATTCAGATGTTTCAACGGAATTCACCCGTGGTAAGTCAGGGGTTCTGAGTAGAGCGAGGAGGTTTGGTTTGGATGGGAGACGAAGGGGGATGGGGGTGTGGGATAAAGTGCCTGCATTCAATTACGCAAACGAAGTCAGCTATACGCCGTCAGGAACGCAATTCTTGGGCAGTGCAGGAGAGACTAGTATAAGTATGTATAGATAGAAAGAGAATCTCGTGTTTCGAGTGAAAGGATAGAATGTTCATAGTAACTGTGTCTGTGACCAATTCACCTAGGGCCAACATTGGCGGGTCGGGTCGTTAGACCGTTAGACCATTACGAAAAATCCGCTGTCCTGCCCTCGCCATCTCTTGGCACCCAGACTTTCAAATGTCGGGACGGCATAGCAAAAGAGGCCACAGCTAACCCGATAGGTAGTGGCTACACATGTACACCCCGATGTTTGAGGCACTTTCAGGGTTTTTCGGAGATTCCAGGGTTTTGAAAAAAATTTCGCTATCAAATAACGGTATTCAAAAAGGCCGACCACGAGAGAAACAACCTGGCGCATCATTTCCATGCACTGTGATGCGAACAGCGGACGGTATAGTCAAGGGTGGGAGGCATACTAATGATATAAAAGAATATATGGAGAATGTATATTTGGCTTGTTTCTCTACAGGATCTCTGCCCGCAGACCGCCAAGACCTCACTTTGGAGCATTTTCAGCCAACAAATGGCTTAGTCACGCTCGGAGGAACTCTATCCGGAGATTACAGAGATACAGTGCAACGGCCAGAATGTAATTACTGTCATTACTGTCACGAATGCATTCTGACGGTCATCGCGCATCGCCACTTGGCACTCGGTAAGTGCCCGTTCTCATGCACATCATTCTGTAGCCTTACCTAACGTCGACGTTCAGCCTTAAGGTAGGCAAAGTACCTTAGAGTTCTGGGAACCCTAATGTTGACCTCTTCCGATTGCTTAGTCGCAGTCAAGCGTTGCCTAAGGCTTAGTCAGCTGCGGCGAGGTATTTCCAGGTCAGGAAGTAGACCAGCAGTTCGTGACATTTGGCCCCTGGCCGCTCTTCTCCAACGCATCAAGGAACCATGCCTTCTAGACGGCATCCGTTGACACGCTCATACTCAAGCTTCCCAATGCAACCCCATTTTTTGAGTGCCAGCTTGACATGTATAATGAGAGCTGCAATGACGAGGCCAACCGTATGCATGCACCCTACTTGCTCACCTCTCAGCTGACGGCTACATTTGGATCCTTCCGAATGTGTAGACGGCCGGTTTTTTAAGGTATTGACAAGATGGCTGCCGAAGGTCTCATACCACGTGGTCTCCTCTTGGATCGTGGCCAAGGAGGCGTTGAAGACCCACTCACATCTTTTCACAGGCCACCGTACACCTTCAGTCTCTCTGCCTGCTCGTCTATTGAGAGTGCGCTTTGTATGGCCTATGCATCTGTCTGCTCGGAATTCCTGCGGCAGCCAAAGCCATGTGGATTTTATTTGACGGGGCCCGAAAGAGGCTTGAGCCGGGTGGACGATATGATTCTTGAAGCAAATCCTGCAGCCGACGAGCTCGTGCTTGGACATTCCGATCCTTTGCAACTTCCGCCCATCCTGATAAACACGAGGCGATTGAGCTTCGGCTCTGGCATGTCTGCCGGAAAATGCAGTCTTTCATCGTGTTTGTTTGGCCCTCCTTCTCAATCAAGCCATCGTTGCTCTGCAGTGAGGCATTGATTACGACCCGTGTATGTCTCCTGAGGCTGTCCAAGTATATTGGGAAACACGGGTTCACAACATGGTGAACAATATACGCTATTCTTGAGTATATCGGCCGTTCGCGCCGTTTGCTGAGAGTCAAGAACATTTAACTTCATTCACTCCAGAAGTAGCCGTACATGCTCCCTTCCAAGCGTACCGCACACCAGAAATTACTGGCATCGCTTGCCGGAAAGATGAAGGTCGAGCTGTCTACTTTGGTCATTCTTATCATCGATGGCAGCTGCGCTGCGATGCTAGAAGGAAAGGTACGCACCTGCTGAACCCATTGGAAACTGCAGATTCTGAACCAATCTAGGATGCTTGCGGCAATGATCTCGCCCTAGGTGGCATGCAAAGCTTTGGAGGAGTTTATTGGGGATTCTTACCTAACTGTTGTAACCGGCGGAGTAGTACGTTGATGTCCACCATCAATGGACTCACAGGCAAACACGCTAGCACGTAAGATCTCATCGTCATAAGACTGTTCAATCTTGTGCTCACTGAGAACAGCTACGGATACAATCCCCAGATCAGCGGGCTTCCTTACATCGGCGAGCAGTTCGATAGCATCAAGGGAGACATCGTGCAGTCCGGCACTGTATTCATACCAGTTATCATGCCAACCAAATTCAAGTTCTTGGACATCACTTCAATCGTTGCGGATCAAATTGTGTTAGAACGTTTCACTTCCCAAGGCATTGAACTCTGGCTTCGTTCCGCGCATGAAATGAATTGGTATGCCAGGCAAGGGGCAAGTCTATGCCGGAGGCAGTAAGTACCGACGAGGCAGATATCCAAGATGGGACTGATTCAATGCATAATAGCTACGGACGAATTCGTCACCGCCTGGCAGAAAGTCCACGCTGCTGTAGCCAACAACTCCAAACCCCTCATATTCTGGTGCCCAAATTACGACACTGTTGAGAACATCCAACCCTGCTGGCCTGGAGCTGAGTATGTCGACATCGTTGGCATGGACGACTACCCTCCAGCCGAGACAGCCTTCGCCAGCGTGTATGGCGCTTTCTGTGATGGGTTCGCTGCTCGCTACAACAAGCACTTTTGCATCGGAGAGACTGGCTCTTTCAACGGTGGCACCCTTGAGGCGAAAGAAGCTTGGGTTTCCCAGCTCAGTGATGTGGATCTGAATAGATTTCCTTGCTACAAGTCCATCACGTGGTTTGAATATCTCAAGGCGAGTGACGATGGCGGCTCGGAGTACGATTATCGTATCATTCAAGGGCAGCTGCCGGCGCCGGTTGAACAGACGTTGTCAAACTTCAGACAGTTGGCTCGCCTGACAAGATGCGTGGCTCGGGCGTCGAGATTTGCATCTGTATTTATTCTCAGTGGCAAGCTTGGACAAAGGGATATCAGCTGCTAGCTTGGGATCACTACACACATTATTGACAGTATGGAAACCCCCGGCGCGGCTGTCTTGAAAAGGAATTGCATTTGCTATTAAAATTGATGGCCTCTTATTGGCTTGGTATCTTTCGTTTATGCTTATAATGGACCCTCATACAGAAATCTCAATCGGTGACCTTCCTCGCCAACCCCTCATCCATGGGTATCCATCTCACTTCACCATATTCATCAGCATGCCGGGGCCCCTCTGCCTGCATATTGTCAGCGACGCGCCTTGTTGCAACGATAGTGACAGTACTCGCATCACCATCCCCATAACTTGTTTCACCCTCTTGAGAATGTTGGCATTCAACTCCTTGTTCTTCTCCGCGTTCTCAGGATTGTTGAAGCGATCGCCACCGAACTTCTTCTCGATCCTGTCTAGCACTATTGTAGACACAAAGCAACAGATTAGAAAAGTGATATTTGTACTGCGTCGGTCAGTGGCAAGCCAGCGCGTGCAATCAAATCGTTTGACAACATAATCGAACATATATTTATCAAAGAGAGAGTTCCTGATATCATTTTTCTTGTAGTCTGGCGGATTATCATTACATTTGGTAATAGTGTCTCTATCATCGGCCACAGCTCCCTGTGCTCCGTTGCCTTCCATCTGTTGAGCACCTTGCGCATAGTTGTTGTTGCCGTTCATCTGCTGAGCACCCTGCGCATAGTTGGTGTTGCCCATGTTCGGCTCCTGTCCATTGTAGATGCCATTACCGCTCTGCTGATTGTAGCCCTCTTGAGGGACACCACGCTGCTGCTGTTGCTCGTTCATGCCTTCGCGCATGTCTTGGCCGTAGCTCTGCGTGCCGGAATGCATTGGGCCGGGTTGCTGTCCAGAGGTCGATGAGAGGTGAGAGGTCTCCTCTTGGGTGGCGGCCTTGTCGTAGTAAGATGCGGCGGACATGATGGATAGGTGCAATATATATGATGATTGGTTTGAAATATGTCGCGTGTGTGTGTGTGTAGGGAAGAGAATGGGAGGGTTGATGTTCCTTTGTGTGGGGAAGCTTTCAAAAATTGGTAAATTCTTGGCAGTCTCATCTGGCCGCTGCCGCGATCCGCTAGTGTCGATTAAAAATAAACCTGCTTATTTCGATCTTGCCCCACTCGTGCCCGTCATCAGCACACCCCTTCACATGAATTGGATGGCTGGTAATCAACACCAGCCTCGGTGTGTGTGAGGTTGGCGGTGTCCCTGCATCGTATGGAAAAGACTTCGTCCAGTCATACGATGAAGGCTGAGCGAGCTGCAGGAAGGCAGGAAGAGAGAGACCCGCCCGGGACATCGGCGAGCTTACGAGTCTGGGAATATGGGTGGCAAAACCAGCGCCTTGTTCAAAGGTCTCGTCTCTGTTGATCAGCACTACTTGATGGGATCCAAGTACAATTCAGCATCTTCTTTCTTCCTCCTGCTCTTCTTCTTCTTCTCTTCATCCGCATCCCCAGTCGTTACAACACTGATGAAATTTTGCCTTGCCTGTTTACTCGCTCAGGTCCACAATAGTCCTTGCTGCTGAACTGACCATTTGCCTCTTCTACCCCTATTAATCATCTTACCCAAGCTATACAAGATGCAAAGTATTCTCTGCTGGTCTCTGATAATTCAGGCAGCCTTGGGTGCCATCCTCACTGCGCGGAATGCGACCATTGCTTGCAACAACTCTCCACAACTCTGCTCAAGAGCCTACTCCAATATCACACAGCTCGGTGCCCACGACAGTCCCTTCCTCAACAATGCCTCCGCTTCCAACAGCATAACGTTCAGCGATGCCGGCAATCAGAACGTCAACAGTGTAGCTCAGCTCGCAGCTGGCGTCCGCCTTCTCACTGCACAAGTTCATAACAATAATGGGGCATGGCATCTCTGCCATACTAGCTGCAGCTTGCTGGATGCCGGGACGCTGAGTGCTTGGTTATCGACGATTAAGACGTGGATGGACGATAATCCTAACGACGTGGTCACGATCCTATTGGTGAATTCGGACGACGCATCAGCAGAGGATCTCAAGGCAGAGTTCGAAGCCGCAAATATTACTTCTTACGGGTACCAGCCGCCTTCAAGCACTACCGCCTTAGCTACCTGGCCTACTCTGCAAGAGATGATCTCCAACAATTCTCGGCTGGTGACCTTCGTGGCGGATTTAGACCCTTCGACGAATACAGTCGCTCCCTACCTACTTGACGAGTTCACTTTTGTGTTTGAGAATCCGTACAACGTGACCAGCTCGTCCAATTTCTCTTGCGTCGCAGATAGGCCACCAGCGGTATTCGGGCAGACGGCCACAGCCATATCATCTGGGCGTTTGCCACTTGTGAACCATTTCCTCGACACAAACGAAGGGTTGGGTATCGACATCCCAGATACTGCGAATGTCACCACAACCAACGGCAAGACAGGCGCTGGAAGCTTAGGGGTCGCAGCCTCTGATTGCTCCGCCGCTTACGGCAAGGCCCCTGCATTCCTGCTCGTCGACTTCTTTGATGAGGGTTCTGCCATCAGCGTAGTCAACGGTTTGAATGGGATATCAACGACCGCAGTAGGACAGACCCAGCCTTCAGTCACCCCTACCTCAAGCAGCGGCGCTAGCGGCATTTCGAACCTCGGATTCGGCAGCTATGGCTGGCTGGCTGTACTGTTTGTTACGTGGCTCGCACATCAGATATGACATGGGAAATGATGACGAAGCGAGGAAAAATTACGAAGGAAAGATTTGGTATTGCATAGCGAGGGCTGCATTGGGAGCGTTACATTGGGAAGGACATACTGCATAGCGTGGGGCGTGTCTTTGCTAGCATATTCATCCCTCATAAATGTGCATATATGATCGAGGCATAGCTTTCATCATCACTTGACATCGGCTGCTAGAATTTCATTCACGGCCGTTACCTTCTCGCTGAACTTCTGTTTCTTATCCGTCCTGCGACTTGTGAGCGTTCGTAAGACTCGAATGCTTTATTTTGGCTATCATACCTTGAACCGACCCTAATATCAGTCTGTATCCTCACGATCCCTTTTTGGTGCAACATAAAATGCGCCTGACCAATGAGACGCATCACATCATCCCAAGGACCTTCTGCAGCCAGGGTCAGCCTTGCCCCACATATCATCTTAGCTTCGCAATAATAATGAATCATCACTCACCCACAGTCGTTCCTGCGGAATGCATCGAATAGCTGAGATGGCTCTTTTGCATCAAGCGCTGAACATCTGCAACTTCTTGCGACACTGACACCGTGGTCCCAATCTGCTGCAGGATTAGACCTGGACACCTGTAGCCGCAGCTGGAGAAATACAGGGATGAGGCAGAAGTCTGCTACGCAATTCTCGGGGGTTGCGAGGGTTTCGAGGTCAAGATCTTTTGGAGGAGCCATCATTGCGGGACTTGATGTTCGTGAGATTTTCGAAGGCGCGGTGCTGAACGTTAATAGTTACGCATAAAGACCATGCCAAGGCCGCTTTGTTCACGTTTCGAATATACTTTGTCGAAAAAATTCTTCTTCCATTTCGTGACTTCTTTCCGTTTTGCGGTACGGTTTTCGTTGACGAAATCGTTGTTCGATACCTTGGGTGGCTCTTTGCTTTGATTGTGCTCTCTTCTTGTTCTGTCAAATGTACTCTCTGTTGTATTTCAAGTGCAAGCCTCGACGACGCTCTGTCTAGCGTTCCAGTCCGGCATACTTACTTGATATCGTTGCCTTAACTGCGTCGGGTGTTGAGACCCTCGTTCTACCACGTTATTCGTCTGGGAGGTTGTCATTTGAGTAGACTTTTCATACTCTGCTTAAACCATTCTGGGACCACTACCCAAATACAGCCGCCGTTGATAAATCATGCTCACTATCGGCCTTGATGATGGAGTGCAACTCGTGTACCTAGCGGAGGGAGCAGCAAATGTAGTCTACAGGATACGAAGCCTTCCTCTGGACCCAAGCATCTCCGCAGACCTCAACTTCGAAAGCTATGGCCCCAACACCCCTCCACCAACCGACATCGAGCCACTCCACATGGACCCTTGTCTCGAAGCTAAGCTAGTCCGCCTCAGGAAAAAGACATCTTCTACTACTCCAGTCGCCGCGTCCCAGAACCACTTCGAAAACATGATCAAACCTCTCTTTCCATCCGAGAACGTCGTCCAGCAAATACTATTTCAGCCCTCAAAAGATCTCCTAATAGACTGCAACGCCAGATTACGCGAGATGGAAAGGAACGGCGCTAGACCTGCGAAGCGCCACGATGTCTATCTAGCTGAGGATGAGATGCATGGGATGTTGGTCACTGATATGTCTTGCAACGACGACACTTTCAAGTTCTTCGAATTCAAGCCGAAATGGTTGGCTCAGTCACCATCTGCTCCGCCGAAATCGAAGAGATGTCGCACGTGTGCATTGAGAGCTATGAAAAAAGGATCCAAGCAAGGTCTATGCCCGCTCGACTTGATGGACGAAGATAAAATCATTATCGCTGTGTGCCGCGTCATGGGTCTGGATCCCCACCGACTGCAGGATTACAGCGGTTCAAAGAGGGATATGCTAGGTCGAATTCGCGACTTCTTGCTTAAGGATCCACTGTTGCGTCGCTTAAAGCAACTTCAAATGGACAAGGATCCCAAAGGAGTATTGAAAGCCAACGTCACCTCGCAGGATATTCTCGCTGCAATGACGTTGCGAGACTGTACGTTGTACCTAAAAATTGGCCAGAGTTCCATTGACGCCAGACTTGGGGACTTGGATCTTAAGACTGGAAAGGGGAAGGCGGAGTATTGGAGAGGCTTGGAGAGGCATTTGATTGACGGAGGGTGGTACACAGCCACGGAAAACGAGAAATCAGTGGCTGAGAACCTTTGTCAACTGGCTTGACGCTGGAATACAAAAGACACCTTCAAACAATCCCTGCGGCTTTTCGCCAACAACAATTCGACCCGTTCTTCGAGCTGATCATCTAATTAAATCGAGCAGATGTCTCCATCCTCTCCTTCCGTTTGTTGTAACAGTTTGAGATTGAAGCCAAACAGAGACCCCTGACCCCTGCGTCGAAACCATCAATTCCTTTCATGCGTCGTGGTACAAAATCTGGGTATGCCAGATCCGAGGGCCCTGAAGTCGTTGGACCGATTGCTCAGCATGACTCTGTCCCCACCTCTCGTCCCACCCCCACCCCATCCAAAATTTGGAGCTCGCAAGCTGTCCTTGCCTTATTCACTCGTGCTCGATATGTCCAAAAGCCCGCTGCCGATTAACAGTAATGAGACTCGGTGGCGATGGGTGGCTAGTACAAGTGCTTGTGGCCTGTCTGTGTCCAAATATCTACTGTGCACGCTCTGTGACCTTCAATCCCTTCTCGACCTCAAAGATCTCACCCGCCAGCCTCTTTACCCCCATGATCTCAATTTCAGCCAAGACCTCTTTGAACCCAGCGATCACAGCTTCAGAAAACCCTCCTTTCCTCCTCGAGTATACATCAACCCCCGCAAGCGTAAACAGCGTCTTCGCAAACTACGTAAGAGCCCACTGCTCTCCTTCTCCCCGAAGCCCATTCTCAAGGACCTCCCAAATTGCAGGCGCGATCATCAACGGTCCATTCCCTCTCCAATCCCATGCTCCTCTGCTACCACTTGCTGTGCCCATGAGAGAGTCTGATAGGAGACGATGTCATTGAACTTGTGCGATCCTTGGCCGGCAAAGATTGTTATGGGAGGCAGTGTCTTCTGGATGATGGCGGCGTTGGGTTTGGATGAGGGTGGAGCGTGTTACGCGCCATTGTCCCGGAGAGCCAAGAGGTGGGAGGGCGGAGAAGTATGGGCGGAACGGTTCCCGATGCATGAAATATTGCTGACCAAGGAACGCCAAGAGATTATCAATAATGTAAAGTATGTTTACGCCCAAATTTCAACATCGTATTTCTCATCCAACGGTGTCGGACCGTGAGCAGAGCCGAGGGTAATAATTATGAAAATCTCACCCATTACTATTCGACGGTGCCGTCTGTTCGTGATACGAGTAGAGTGCTTAAGATGCAGCGGACCGGCGCCTCAATTGGAGCCTTAACGCTGCTTATTCTAGCAGTAGTATTCCAATCCCCCGAAGTCCGTAACATGGCCATGCACCAGGCGCGACAATTGCTTAGGCAATCTGCACCCCTCGTCAATTCCGCTCGACAATACTTACCCCACCACTCGTATAAAAATGCTCTTCCGGCCGCCTTCCTCTCTTCTTTCTCCACCCCCACTCAGCAAACACACTCCACCTCTCAACGGCACTTCACCACAACATCATCCACCATGGCCGAGTCCAAGACCTTCCTCGACGCGACCGAACTCCGTCGTTCCCACTACCAGATCACCAACGAGTCGACCATCTCCGACGCCCGCATCAAAGAGCTCGTCGCCCACACCGTCAAGCATGTCCCCAGCGCCTTCCACTCGCAGACCACGCGCATGGTGGTCGTGCTGAAGGAGAAGCACGAGGAGCTGTGGGATGCCATCATGGAGGTCTACAAGGTGCAACTGCCCGCGGACAAGTTCGAGCATGCCAAGGGGAGGATGGTGGGGTTCAGGAAGGCGTACGGGACCGTGAGTTGGGCCGCGCGCCGTTCCTGGTGTTTGGGTTTGCGGCTGACTTGTTGTGGACGCAGATCCTCTTCTACGAGGACACCTCCAACGTGAGGGAGTTCCAGGAGAAGTACAAGACCTACGAGGATAAGTTTCCCCAATGTACGTATCCCCTTCCTTACATCTGGCCCCCTCTTCCCTTTCTGCAGTGCAAAGGCTGACATCTTTTCCCCTCAAGGGTCCGAGCAAACCAATGGCATGCACCAATACACCCTCTGGTGTGCCCTCGAAGCAGAAGGCATGGGGGTCAATCTTCAGCATTACAATCCCTTGATCGACACTCGCCTTGAGACCATGTACGACGTCCCGGCAACGTGGAGCTTGAAGTCTCAGATGGTGTTCGGCAAGCCGACCGGCCAGCCGGGAGAGAAGACGTTCAAGCCTGTTGAAGAGAGGGTGAAATACTTTGGGTCATGAAATTGGGAAGCGAAGCTATAGAACGTAGTATCCAAGTTGAAACAAATCTATCGATCTCCACGTCTCTTGCAAGGAAGCTGCTGTGGAACACGTTCGGATGTTTGAGCCCTCCGAATCAATCGATGCATGTTATGGTCTATCTTTGTTTGGATCCCTGGGTATTGTATCCGCGCCGGCAATGCATGCAAGCCTACCTTCAGAACGCCAGAGTCTATCCAACTTCATTCACACAAGCCGCACATCAACGCTTCCAGCCCTCACTTCCCCTGCTGCCCCGCCCCCTCCCTCCTCAATCCCTCCATCACCTTCTCCTTCCCCGCCAACTTGGCCCTCTCCTCCTTCACCATCCCGTCCAGCGTCTTCATCGCCTCCCTCAACCTATCCAGCTCCATCGCCTCCTCCTTCTGACTGAACGGGTTCCCCTCACTGTTCGCGTACGGGATCTCCGCACTCCTCTCCCCCTGTTTCCGCAACGTAGCCTGCTTGCTCCCCTTGCCCCCTTTCCCCCTCGCGGGCAGCGGCGGCCCGCTCGTCAGGACGTCGTAGAAGGGCTCCACGGGCTCCGAGAAGATGACCTCCTCGAAGTTCTGACTGACGATCGGATCCCGCCGCTCCTTCTGGCCCTCGACGTCCCCCACGTACGGGTGCAGCTTCAGCGCGTGCCACAGCGTCTGCGCCTTCTCGTTCGCCTCGGGCACGAAGTACAGCTTCATCTGCACCTCGAACTCCCCCCACCCGGTCTCCGTCACCTCGAAGGGCGCCGACTCCACCATGCGCGAGGCGTTCGTGTACGTCTCGTGCAGCTTGAACTGCACCTTCTTCAGCCAGTAGGATATGTCCTCGTCGTTGACCCCGCGCACGAAGACGGACCATTGGTGCGTGTGCTCCGGGCTGATGCCGGGGGGCCGGTTGCTGGGGTCGAGGGGTTTGGCGATGGAGCCGTAGACTGTGAGGGGAGGGGGGAGGGTGTTAGTGGGGTTGGGTCTTGTGGTGGAGGGCGGGGGGAGGGGAGAGAAAGAGAGAGAGAGAGAGGGAAGGGAAGGGAAGGGAAGGGAGGACGATACCGAAGGGACGGTGGATTTGGACGCCCTTGACACGGTTTTTCTTAGTATATCTTGGAACAGGCATGTTCGGTGATGGATGTGGAGAAGAATGCAGTGGTGGGAATGTTGGTGGTTTTAAGTACAAGACGGAATGTTGAACTGTACTTACCTTGACACGCTTCGCGCCTGCCGGAGCGGGCATCCTGGAGAGAAGTGAAGGTAACTCTCTGTGTGTGCTGCAGTACCCAATCTACCTGAATTCGTCAGGTGCTGCCCTACAAACCACAAATTAGGATTTTGCTGCTCAGAAAGAAGGGTAGGGTGTACACGGTATCAAAGAAAAGCCTTCAGCCTGGCTTAGGAAAACGGTGAAAGCTGTTTTATATCATGAACTGGCTGTATATCGTAGCGTCCAGCGTTCCCCCAGCGAGATCTCCGATCGTACATGCGGCTCCGCAAATCCCTGCGTAGATCTCGCGGCCAAGCTTCTTTCGATCGTGATGTCAATCAACATCATCCTGCATGCTCTTGTCTCTCTCTCTCGAGGACTACACCTTTCGTTCAAGGAATTCCCGCAGTTGAATTGATGCCGAAGAAGATCGTGGTCTGCGGCGGCAATGGGTTCCTGGGTACGAACACCTGCGGATCCGACCAGGGAATATGCTTCTTCCGTTAACGAAGCTTAGGGTCTCGGATATGTAGAGTCGCAGTCGGCCGGGGCTGGGACGTAACCTCCATCAGCCGTTCCGGCGAACCCACCTGGTCCGCCATCACATCCTCGCCCAACGCACCGCCGTGGTCAAGTACGGTGAAATGGCAAAAAGCCGACATCCTTAAGCCGGAAACCTACAAGCCCATGTTGAATGGCGCAGACGCTGTGGTGCACTCCATGGGCATACTCCTAGAAGCGGACTACAAAGGTGTCATTACGGGGAAAGAGTCGCCGTGGTCCGGGTTGTCGAGGGCTTTTAGTGCAACCAAGGGAGGCAGTCAGAATCCATTGGAGAGGAAAGAGGGTGAAGCTTTGGAGCCGCAGGAGAAAGATGGGCAGTTGACTTATGAGCTTATGAATCGAGACTCAGGTAGGAAGGAGGCTGTCCGCTGAGCAAAATATCTCTGGGATTGACCGAGTTTTCCCAGCAATTACCCTCGCCCAAGAAGCCTCTTCCCAGAATGTACCCTCCTTTGTCTTCATCTCCGCTGCGGCAGGAGCTCCAATGCTGCCCAAACGATATATCACTACCAAACGTGACGCCGAGTCCACGATAGCTTCCTCGTTACCCAAGCTTCGGAGTATCTTCATACGACCAGGATTCCTTTATGACTCGTCTCGGATGTTCACCATGCCAATAGCCGCCGCTGGTAGTATTGGAAATATGGTGAACTCAATGATAGGAGGTCGTCTGTCATGGATAGCGGGTGCCGCTGTTGAAAAACCGCTGAAACCAGATCTTGTGGCAGAGGCCGTGGTCGAGGCTATCGAGGATGGCGCAGTGAAGGGTGTCGTGGGGACGAGCGATATAGAAGCGTTAGCCACCAAAGCGTGGAGGAGAGGCATGTTATGATCGTGTTGTAAATTTGCTCCGCTCGGTTCTACAAATTCCAACTCATTCGCCGCCAGAACGATCTAGCACCATGTTTGATGGGTGCACCAATTTCTTCATATCATTGTCCCCCGTTCGAAGCTGTCGCGGATCTCCGCAGTGTACTGTAGAGCTCGTTAGCAATGCCTTGCGAATATGTCAGGCGATGGAGCATGGAGTTTACCTTGTTGTAAAAGCGGGCCAGCTTTTGGTTGAATTGCTTGTTCTTGTCATTGATAAATGTAACGTCACCGTCATCTTCACCTCTGCCTCTGTCTCTTCTCTTCCGCAACCGAACCTCCTCGGCCTTCCGTAGATCATTGACCAACCTATCCACGGCAGCTTTTTCAGGCTTGTTCTCAATGAAGTCTGTGCTGTCGGCTGTGGAGTAGAAAGTCCCACTCTTATCGACAGCAACGAGCTCTCCATCCTCAGTCTCGATGATCTCCAAGCCTCCACTCAGAGCGGCCTTCTGCACCGCAGCTGCCTTCTCCTTCTCGTAGCCCTCCATATCAGGCTTCAACTCTCGCAGCTGGCGCTTGTAGATCTTCCGTGCATCCTGTGTATAATCTTGAAACGCTACATCCTCGCGATGCTTCCCCTTCTTCTCCATCCGCTTATCCCATTTCTCCGACTCGTCAACAGTCCAGTCCCATGCTCGCTTTCGCTCAAAGTCTTCTCCGGCCGCTGCAGTGTCGGCTTTTAGTAGGTTGTGTGATGCGAATGCCTGCTTTCGAGAGAGTGAGGACAAAAGGTTAGGGTCTGTCGCTAGTCGTTGTGACTCTGCGGCTGCTTCTTTGAGGTTCTTCTGAGCGGACTTTTGCTACACAAGGATCAGTACTCGGCCACTCAACCGTAGGACGGAGCAAACTTACTGCACGTGCTTGGAGAGCCTTGAAGCGCTCTTTCCTCTCCTGATTTTTGTCTACCGATCTAAGATCCGGCTGAGAATCTTCAGACGGCTCAGCTTCTGATTCTCTGTCGATGTACTGCGGATGTTGTGACTTGGGGGGCGCCGTTTCATCCACAGGTGCGCCGTCTTGCACTTTCGACTCGTTGGCGATCTTGCGCTTCTTCGCAGGAGGCATGGCCGTTGCTGGAAAGAAGCCTCACAATAGTTTTATCACCAAGGTTTGGAGTAGATTCGGCGTATTACCTGGGCTTTTCGGTTTGGCTATGGGCCTCATTGTTGGGTCGATGCTAGCGCCCATTTGAAAGCTTGGCATCAACTCGGCTTGGCATTTCTTTTCACGTACGTGTATGTTGTAGGCTGCAACTCTATTACACTCGTACACACATACTCAGCAATTGTAGATTGTGATGACTTCTACAAGGTTGCAGCTGATCATATCAGACCTTCAGGCCTTCTGCGGGCGATTCTTCGCAACCCCGCTGGTTGTATCGAAGAAGCAAGGAGTCGTCATGCGAATGAAGAATCTTCTCTTCATTTTCAAACACCGGCGGCATGACCTTGTTCATTTTATTGTGCGCTCACACGCTCACGGATCAGGGTCAAAATCAACAACTTCATCGCAGCTTCTTAGTCTTACATACTGCAGCCGCAATTCCAAAGGTTTCGGAAGGTTTCTTTTCGGGAAGGGGGAAGGGGGGGCTTGTGTTAAATCGAAAGGCGAATGGTAGATCCCGGTTATTTTCTCATTGCTGAATGAACTGGTCTGTTACGATCAACAGCAGCATCCATTTCCATACAACATACTTACAACGAATGTCATTTTCTTTCTACATTGATTTTATAATCACTCATTTCCCGCGGCTGTGGCTACATATCTGAGACTTTTGCACGTAACTTGACAATACTTTATGTTTGCTAGCATCCAAATATAGAGCGGAAGCAATAGTGTCCCGAAGCTGGGTACCTAGGATGGGCAAAGGATCAAATAAATCGCAGGATTTGTGCATCATACACACCGGAATCAGGTCCGGGTTAGATCTTGTACGGAGCTAAAGCAGGTCTACATTGCCCAGTACCCCATTTGTGGACCGAAAAACAGCCAAAGCCGAGCACGCTGATCAAGACGCTGGGTCCATTGGTTGTGTCAACTTCTCGACTGTATATATCAGGAAGACCTTTTACAAATCTTGAGATCGTCTCATTCGGCATTGTTCACATTGCCAGCCACTCGAACTATTACTGTTCATAAGGCGGACAGTCCCCCAGAGACCTGAGGGTGATTCCTTTCATATTTCCTTAACAGTTCGACGAGCTTCGCTGACAGCACTGCATCAAAAGCTATTTCGCAAAAACAGTCTCCGTTGCGAACCAAGATACTTTCAATCTTGCTAACACTCGGCCTTCTGCTCGTCTGCTCTTGCTCTGCCCAGGACTACCTAACTGCCGGTGGTGTCAATGGTCCATTCTGTTCGCCGGGTTCTACATGTGGCTTGAGTGCGTTGTACTTCTTCATCTGGTCCTACTCATGTCGTGTATCTGTTCGACGTTGACCCTACATCGCATTTCCATCGGCAGCAACTTTGCCGCTATCCTTCCAAGCCCTGAGCATTCCCAAAACGGCCATGGTGTTCACCGGTTTCAACAAGACCTACTCCCTCTACCTGGCGCCTACTGCCGGCGGCACCTCTGTCCCCTTTCCCTGTGGGTCACTCTTCTCTTCCACCACTGAATCGTGGCAAAGACTGATGATACAACACAGACCTTGGCTATGTAGGCATCAATTTCGGTCTCAATACCGACGGATTCAGCGAAGTTTTTCCGGGTGGTGGTCACTTGTACAGGAATGATAGTCAAATACTTGTGTCGGACTTTCCCGATATGGCCAACCAGGGAACCTGGTACGAAGTTTGTCAGACGCTCATCCCCTGGCATGAGGCGGCTGGGCTGCAAGACCAAGTCTTTTGGTTGTCGAATAAGGGTCCTGCTGGTGGAACACCGAATTGTACAATTAGCGACTTCTTTCCATGAGCCAATCTGGTGACCCGCATGATATTGGGGGAAGGGGCATCGATGAGCCTTTAGGGGATGCCATTCGAAATGAGCAGTGTCTGAAATACCCAAATAAGATCTGGAAGGACGACAGTGCTTATGGAGACAAGAAGTTTGATACGAGTACATAGAGAAGCAGAGAAAATGTTGAGAATGTTTTCAGATGATTGAGCCAAAAGCAGAAGACCTTATATGCTAGCAATCGCAATGTACCTCGTCATTTACTACAAGACATGAGAAAATTTCTCAGCGCGAATAATTCACTAGAGCCGTCTCTGGCGACGGGTGTCAAGCGTCATAGACGGAACTGGGGCCACTGGTCGGCCTTCTTTTGACTTCTTGAAGCTTTGAAGCAAGAGATGTGAGATGAAGCTTCGAAAGCAAGCCTGAACATGAGTTCTGGAGGCACTCTCTGTTTCAAGACTAAGAAGAGCATTCGAAGGTCGAAGGGCATAGACTGACTCTAGCCTATCCGATTCTAGCATGCTCTCCAGAATACAATCAATTTCATCTGATCTCAAACCCATCCTTCTCACATTTTGTGCTTACCTTATCTTCGCATCCGAAATATAGAGTCGAGCTAACAGTAGTTAGCGGCCGTTGAGGGGGCAGCTTGGCCCTGCCTTTTGTTTATATCTGCCTAGACTGTACTGTCACCTTGACGTATCTAGAAATTCTTACAGCATAAATAGAGCTAGCATTGTTTTCAGTCTATGGCTCAAAAGCCAAAGATTCCAGCATGCCAGTAACGACTCGTAGCCAAGCCAATACGGATGCGAACCAAGGCAACGGTCGGCCTCGAGGTAAGATGTTCGTCTCTTCGATACAGATCAAAGTACTGAGCCACAAGGCGAGAACGAGATCGAGCAAAACGAAACCCGACCTCCTTTCAACGAGAACGAGGCAGAAACGTTCTACCCTGTCTTCTGCCTCACGGAGATCCCAGACGAAGTATGTATCATCAGACGTACCGTGCCCAAACGACGACAGGCTAAGTACGAATGATAGTATACCGACGAACTCGTACAATACACCGACGAGTACTCACGCTGGATTGGAGTCACCTCCAACGATCCGAAGAACGTGCTCGCGGACATCGAGGCCAACGTGGGCAGGTTGAGGCCCACGCCTTTCATCGGCTACACCATGCGCCAGGTCTACGGCTTTTTCAAAAGACATCTCCGACCCGCGGAGAACTACAACGGTCCCGACATGCGTTTCCCGAATTTCACTTTCATCGTCGTCGACGAACGGTGCGTCCGGTCTAGGCCCCGGCAAATCATCATCTGCTGCGACGCTCCAGACTTCGGCGAGAGAAGTACCAAGCTCAAGCTGTTGCGGTTGCCCATCGACCAGGCGTTGGACAACCTATGCCCTCTGGAGCAGCTGGCTTTCACCGTGAGCACAATCGGACATCCTAGCGGCAAGTCGAGGCTTATAATGCCGCCGCCAAGGAGAATTCCGTGGCCGGATCGACCAGGGCGATACAGGTGGGCAACGGCGGCGGAAGCAAGGAAGATTGTGAGGGGAGCGATTCGAGGGTGGAAGACGGCAGACGAGGCACTGGGGAAGGTAGAGCCTTTTGCAATTGCATCCGGACGGTGAGCCGGTTTGATGAACGCGATCAACGATAGAGTGTACTGTTCAGATTAGAACAAGCATAGATTACAACACGTATAGATTACAACAAGCATGTGCTCACAAGATTTCTAGGAGATCGCAGCACCTCAAAAAAAAACAAGAGCTCCACATCCTTGTCGTGCTGAGAGCACAGTTCATGATGCTCGTGAAATGACTAGCAAGACTAGTTTAGACTAGCAACAGGGACTGTGCGAAGCTGAAGAAAATACATGATGCATACGAGTACCCAATCGATGGTGATTATCCGACTCGGAACAGCAAAACCTCCATTTAGAGCTGCGCCTTCTCCACCTTCCTCCCCGTCTCATCAAACCAAAGCTTCGCCCCCGTGACTAGACTCTCCTGCAACGCACACCCAATCTTAACTGCCTGTACAGCCCCTGTCAGTTTCATCGGCAACTTCCCATCATCCAGACAAGCAGCCGTAAATTCATTGGCTTCGGTCACAAAGGCCTGCTCAAATCTTCCATAATACGTCCCTGGAATCTCCCGCCGGATACCAGACCCTTCGTAGATGTTTACGAGATTCGTTTGAGGTTGCATGTTCACAGTCAACTTTCCCTCTGTGCCAATGATTTCCGTTGAGTCTTCTTGACCTGCGGCCATCATGCGCGAAGCGTACAGATAAGCGATTCTGCCCCCGTAGAACTCGACAATGCCAACCGCGTTGTCGCGATCATTGTGTTTGCGTAGGTCAGGCTGCACGGCCGTAATGCCGCTGGAAACAACGGACTTCACCATGGAGTCTTGACCGAAGAACCACAAAGCGAGATCGATGTCGTGGATTGAGCAGTCGACGAAGATACCGCCTGAGAACTCAGCGTAGGCTACAAAGAATCCGCTGGGATCTAATTTGTCACACGTCTGGCTGCGGAAGATTGATGGGCGGCCGATCAGCCCGGAGTCCATTTTGTTCCAGGCGTCTCGATAGGATTCGTCGAAACGGCGGGAGAAACCGCACATGACTTTCAGGTGCGGTTTCTTCTTTGCCGCATCTACTACTGTTTGAGACTGACAAAGCAAAATTGTCAGCGACTTCCGGAATCTCGATATTGACGGCATGACCGACAAGTCGAGAGTAGCTTACAACTTTTACACTGGTGGAAAGTGGCTTCTCGCACAGCACATGCTTGTTGGCCTCCATTGCCTTGATCGCCTGCTCCGCATGTACTGTTGTCACAGATGCAATGACGACAGCTTGTAGGCCTTCTTGTTTCAACATCTCCTCGTAGTCTTTGTATAGCCTCACCCCATATGGCTCGAGATGCTGTTTAGCCCACTGCAATTCTGCATCATCTGGGCTACTCGCAGCTACCAATTCGGCTCGTGGAGTCCGATTCAGAAAATGAAGTGCATGACGCTTTCCCATACGCCCTAAGCCCGCACAGCCTATCTTGAGCTTCGCTGGAGCCATTGCATAGGATCAATTACGCCCGCTCTTTATAATCCACGAAATTTTGAGGTGGTGAATCTTTCCTGCCGGCAGCGCGGGAACGGCCCGGCTCGAGAACTCAGTTCTCAGCCCGTATATCCTGCATCATCACAAGGGATAGGTTCGCTTTACAGTAAATACTACTAGCGGTAAATACCTGTAAATACCTGTCATAGTGATAGCCTGACGGTTATAGCTTAGTAAGCCACATATAATAAAGTTATATATATAGCTCGAAAGTCAATTGGAGGGAATCCTCCCCTTAGAGTAAGTCTAAATTGTACCAAAATTAGGGCCAAATAGCGCTCTTCTGGGCGGTATCAGTCTTTGGAACTGGCTGCATAGCAGTAGGAAGATCAGACGGTTTCAATTCGTTCGAATCCGGTGTCACATCAGACGAAAGCATAGCTAGCCCAGTATACTCGTATCTGGCAGTCCCTGAGGGAGCTGATACGTGAAAAGCCCTCCAAACAGTCTCATCCCGTTGCCTGGAGTGTGGAGCCATGGCTGCAGGACTGATACAGTGGAAAAGTATCAAAATTTGGACTCCTGGAGCTGTCTTTCTCCCAGAGTCTTGGCGTTTTTGCCCGCAAAATGACTACGTGGACCAATCACAGGCCCGGATTTGATGATTACTAAGCTAATACAGAAAAATACAGGCCTGTCATAGAGCCAGAGCCTTACATACGGTAAATACCGTCATAGTGGCCTATGACCGGTAAACCTACATCAGGCTGCATGCGAGACAGTCCTGTCAAAATGTTGTAGAATAAGCAACAAATTTCAATCTCCATACTAAGGTACTTCCGATTCCATCCTTCTTGTACTACTTATTAATAGATGGAAATAGCAGGACATGAAGGGCGGCAAAATTTGATCTAGTCGAATACGGCATGGTTTTATCACATGAGGTATTTTAACCAGCACACATAGTACGCGGTGAATATCAAGAGGACCTGAGAGTCAGCACAATGGCGTCCGACGAGTGAGATATGAATTTGAAAGACAGTAGAAGACGAAGAGAAATACAAAAGCAAAGGTTAGACAGGGGAAAGCATCTCGCTTGAATTTTCCAAAAAGATCTGCACAGCCCAGATTCGAAGTCTCAAATACTACTTTTGCCACATCCAGGATTTGAAAACGGCAAGACGAGTCTCTGAACCAGCCCGGAAGACGAAAGAAATATTTCATCGCCATTTTTCGCTATTCGGTATGCGCACTCAGAGGACCGGCCCAGTTTCTGGGAGGTATGGGTCCGACCGGGGGAGACAAGGCAATACGGATACCCTCTGGTGGCCAGAAAAATTCATGGTCACTCGTTCACCAAACAGGCCTTCTATGAAAGAGGGCTCATTATCAGGAATATAACAAGATAATCATTTCCTTTTGGCGGTGCTTTTCGCTGGTAGCGAGAGGTTGAAAGCTGGGCAAAGAACATCTGATGCAAATAGCCTTGTCGGTAAGAGGATTTTCGTCCATATCTTGCGTTCTGACTCGGAGTTGTGGTGCCAAAGCCTAGGCATCATTGCTTTCTACTACCACTTTTAGAACGAGATTGCCGTCTGCGTCGTTTGCTCTGGCTGCCATTTCGAAGGCGCGCTCGACATCATCAAGACCAAGGAAACGATGTGTGACGAGCTTTCCAAGGTCTGGCAGCAGTGGATTGTGGCCTGACACAAGCTCTATTGCTTGGGGATATGTATTTGCATAGCGAAATGTTCCAAGGATGTCGACTTCACGGTGTGCAGCGGCCGAAATGGGCAGTGTCTGGACAGGATTGCCCATGCCCACGATCACGACTTTTCCTGCGGGCCGTGTGGCATAAATGGCAGCCTGAGTACAAGCTTCGACACCTGTACATTCGAGGACCACATCGAATCCACCAGTTGAACCAGTACCATTCCGTATTTTCTCGGTTGCCGAAGCTGCAGTCTCTTTCGCAATTTGAAGCTTCTCATCGATATTATGACCTCGTTTGGAGGGTACAGTGAACCCTTCATGTGCAAAGCCATTTTGAGTAGCAAATTTGACCCTTTCTTGCTGAATATCTGCGATCACGACATGGCTTGAGCCAACCACCTTGGCCATAGCCGCGCACAGTAGCCCGACAGCTCCAGCACCGAGCACGAGAGTTGAACTCTCTTGCGCTATTTGAGCTCGCCGGGATGCCTGTATTGCTACACCCAATGGTTCGAGGATGGCTCCCACATCGTATGATACGTGGTCGGGCAGTTTGTGACACCATGATGCTGGGTGATTGATCCTGTCTTGAAGGGTTCCCTGGAAATGAGGAGATGCTTTGGCGGAGCTCCTGAACCGCAAATGTTGGCAAATATTGTATCTCCCTTCTCGACATCTTTCGCATTCTCCGCAAGGTAGCCCGACCTCCAATGCTACCCGATCTCCCACTTTGAAATCGCCCACGTGTGATCCAACGACGACAACGACTCCAGCAGACTCATGTCCCAAAGATAAAGGTTCTGTGACTTGGATGTCTCCATTCCGGTAATGTTGGTAGTAATGTAGATCGGAACCGCAAAGGCCTGTAGCTCGAATGGCGATTTGTAGCTCTGTAGAGTCAGGAGACTCGAGTTCCCTTTCTTCAAGCCTCAAGTCTTTGGGACCATATAGTACCGAAGCTCTGCAAAGCTTTCCCATGGCTGCGGGTAGACAGGAACCCCGCACCACACGCTCCAGTAGCAGTAGTTTTCATCCGTGCATTTTGCATGCACTTCGGCTATTCTTCGGCCCGGCTGCTCTGCAGATCGATCCGAGGAGTACGCAAAGCTTCCACCAAACCGTCAGGATTCAGAGATTGTATTTCCTACTAAACCTCCACTACTTTGCACTCGCTCTGGCATCGACCATGAATCACCCTCAAGCGGCTCCTCAGAGAAGCTCTCTCCCAACCCCACCCTTTCTCCCACAGCTTCGTTAACTAGCAATGAACTCTCATCTCGCATCAAGTCTCCAAACGTCGGTGAAGAGGTGGACATGCTCCTTATTCCAGAGGGAGAACCTTTCGGAGAATTAGCGGCAGTATTAGACGAACCCGTTATTGGCTTTCCCAGTGATATACGACCAGCTCGGCCAGGAGTAAAGGAGATGCTCGAGGTCACATCCATCCGAAAGACGCAGATATCCCATGCTGTGCAACAGCCGAGGCCGCCCTTATCTACTTTGGAGCGCCCAGGCTGATGGATGTGAGTACTCTCTACTGACGGGCGAAAACTGATATCTAACTTACTGATGCCCCCATCCAGGAATGGAATTCATGTGTCCCAATAGATAACGTAGTCTCAGCTACAGATACCTTGCAAGCACACAACGATAGCTTTACACTCTTCCGCCCTTCGTCGATGTACCATCTAGGATCGTTGTATCGCGATTTGCCTCGCTTCAAATCTGTCAACGCAACCCCTTTTTCTCGACAAAGTACCGGCGCAGTAATGCCATATACCTTGCAAGCCTGCCAGATTCGAGCTTGGGCAAACCGGCATACCAGTTCCCAAGCTGGATGTCTTCGCACAAAGCTTGCTGGACACCAATAACGGCGTCGACCTTGAAGATCTGGTAAATGGTTTGAACATGGAGTGGGGAGAAGAGTATCTTGAACTTGATGGAAGTACGGACGTAGCCTGGGCGAATTGGAAGGCTGAGGCACTCGAGAGAGAAGGAAAGAGTCTGCACGGGTGGGACAGCACCCCAGAAAAGAGGCGTAAGATATGGCAGAGCACGGTGTCAGCCTACAGGAAGAAGCGGGGCCAAGGTTGGAAATACAACGCTGCCCACGTCACGAGGTTTTGGAGGCGGGGTCAGAGGGATCCTCGAAGGCGCAAAGGCGGGTTCTGACCTGGGAATGATCCTGACTACATCGGCTAATGAGCCGCTGAGCGGTCGAAAACGGACCGCATTGGCAAATGACTCCGTTGAATCCCAGCACAAAACGTTGTCAGTACCTTCCGCACGACCTCCAGAAGCGGTCAGGGGAGTCTCAGAACAGCATGAGGCGTCCTGTCGCAATCGCCGCATTCGACGATTATCTAATCTTTCAGCCGACTTCCATTCCGGCGTATGTATGTCCAATACAACAGTAGCCTCTGGTCTCTTGGCTGCGGCTTGCTTGGGGCTATCTGGTGGTGGAGGCGCGGAGGCGCTGGGGAGAGAGGCTGGAACTGTATCGTGTTGTATCGTTCCCGGGAGTTTGCAGGCTTTGTCCGAATCTGTGATTGGAGGGTTTGGAGGACGGCCTGGCCGTCTGATGAGAAGTTGAAGCGGGCTACGGCTTTGTAATTTACCTTGAGCTTTGGCATCTTAGGCCTAGGCTTTCAGGGTGCGCTTTTTCAGTCTTGCTCACTACTGTCTAGACTTGCAGGTGTCTTCGGTGCAGAGGTGGCAGATGATTGGTATGTGCTTATTCAACAGCTTTCAAAGATTCTATGATGCAATGAGTCTAAATGCACGCTCGTACCCATACCTTTAGAGCGTTCAGTCGCTGCTCTAAAGTAGCTTCGACAGTATGACCCCCAAACTCCAAGCTCCTCGCTACCTGGTATCGTCTTGCGCCTTGTCATATACCCCATTCGTACAGTTATCCCTCCCAAGGCACTAGTAGTCTCAACGGCAGGTTTCCATCCTCTTTGTCTTCTGGTCTCAAGACATTTTCACTTTGCCAGTCCGGGTATGAAATCCCCGACTTCGTCCGTCTCGAACACACTCCTCAACTCCGTTCGCGGACCATACTCGCTTCTCATGGTCGAGAGGTACCCGTGCCCATCGAGCTTGGGCTTCGTCGACGTCTTCCGGCTCAGGAAGCTCCATCTCTTGCTCGACCGGTCCGCTGTAGATGGTACGGCGGTCTCGTCGTGACTATCCCGACTGACCCAGGATGTCTCGGGCGGCCCCATCGGTGGCGGCGCTGGATCCGAGTGACTTTGCTTCCTTGCGGACCTTCGAAACAACGGATAGATTGCAGGAACCGACGAGGTCATGAGACCTACACAGACCTCCATGTTTGAGAGGAATGGGACGAGAGGGTAATTCCAGGAGATGTCGATTGATCGCATCCAGATGATTAGAGAGGCCATGCGGACGATGGCACAGACAACCGAGATGAAGCTGATGGCGATGAGTACCCAAAGACCCATTTTCCGTGAGAAAGGCACTTTGAGCTTCCAGATGACAGGAATGGGAAGGATCCAGATTACAAGATCTTCCAAGGAGCTCCACGCGCTGTTGAAGCCATTGAACACTAGAATGCCGATGCATTTTGAATTCTGGAGTGGGTTTTCAGCAGCCCAGAATGCGTCGATCGGTACGCATTGAAAGATCGCGCCCTAGATAGGCATTAGCATTCACTACGTTTGGTAGATCTTCAAGGAAAGGAACGTCTTACGACCAGTGAAGAAATTTCGTGAGCGACGACGAAACCCATGATGATATAGATGGCAATCTTGTGAGACCTTTCTGGGGTCATTCGCAGATAGAGGAAGAGAACGCTGAATTTCATGGAACTATTGGCGATCAGTCAATGGAAGGTCAAGGGTCGCTCGGAAAGCAGTACCCAAAAGAGACGGTGATTAGTAGTATAAAAACGTAAACCAACTGCAAGAGGTCAGTTGGCGTTGATCAAAGCAAACATATGTAATGGTAAAGTACGAACTTTCAGAATCGCTGAAAGTTGAGCCGATGTCTCGTTGAGGGACATGTGTTTGCCCATACCGTACTCAGTACCGACAATGATATCCGCAGTAACACCGGCGGTAATAATCTGAGGCCTGGTCAGCAGTTGACATGTTGTATGTCTAGCAAAAGGCGATATGCGTACCAAGGTCATGAGCGCGAACCACTCGTCTGGACCCACTCCTCGGACAACCTGCCTTACACGCTTGGTGTAGATACGCGCGAAGAATCTGACGCAACTTAGCAATGGTAGTTTCCTGCCGCAAGCGCACTTGAGCGCACCTGAAAGCCAGGACAAGAGCTGCTACTGAGAGAAGAATGATGGACACAGCCTCGAATGCAGGTCCTCGATTCGCATTCGAAGGGTTTGCAGGTAAATTGCCCCATGTTGTTCCGTGAGTACCGGCTCCGAAGGTCTCCACGGCTGGAGACACGCTTGACGTAGAAGAGGCAGAGGCAGAGGTAGAAGAGGCAATCACGACTGGAACAGCGGACGAGGTGCTGCCAGATCTGTCGCTGGTTGTAGATGAAGGACTTGCAGACGTGGATGATGAGGTAGAAGAGGTTGAAGAAGCAGAGGCTGCGGATGCAGAAGATAGGACACTAGGGCAAAAGGTGTTGCTCCATGTTTGTATTTCTGTCGGCGAACATTATTAGCATTGACTGCGGTTAAGCAGGCCGAATTGGGTGCTTACTCTCTAGATCGCCTAAGGAGCAAGTTGACTTTGCTAAGCATGCCGTCACCGAAGACCTGATGGTAGCAGCATGCGCGGCTGTACACTGGCAAACGTAGTCTGTGTCGCCACAATTGGTTGTTGCAATAGCAGTAGAGAAGCAGGGAAGCTATACATCCATGTCAGGACAGCTGTCGCGTCATGAGTCTGGGGTAGGGAAGTGTACTGAGCAGCTTGGAAGATCAGCGACAGATTGTGCCCCAACAAGTGACGCTGCAAGTAAGGTGTGCAGCAAGAAGAGGCATTTCATTATTGACGGAATAATATTCGGCACGGCCTCGGCAGATGTTTATATAGGACAAGTGGTAGAGGTGAAGAGGTTAGATAATGATGAGATGCAGGTACATATTACGCAAGGAAGAAGCACATCATCGTGAATGGAGAAGAAGGAGGAGGGGATGTAGGTTGATGCAGGTAAGGGTTTTGCACATGAGAAAAAAGCACGAAACCCCACGAGGGCGACAGTGGATCGCACAGGCCATGGATCCCAGCAAGATCCAGGTTCAGCCGGGCATGATTTACCAACCTTCTCGGCCCTGATGGTCCGTCTTTTTCAAGGCGTGTGGGCCCTCTATAAAGATTATCCTAATCCATGCCGAAGTAGGTTATGAATTCCCCCTTCAGGACTCGGCGAATCCCTTGGACTTCTTTTGACTTCTTTGACATCTTTGACTTCTTTGACTTCCTGTGAATTTTTTTCCTTTCGAGATGACTTTTTGCTAAGAGATGCTGGTGTTGTCAATAATGGCAATGTGAGAGGAAGGGTGCTAGATGTACTAGATGTGCACCGGGAGTGCGGCTTCTAGCTCCGCGAAACCATGGCCCAATGTTTAAATCGTCTCAATCCTTGCTTTGCTCCATTAATCGTCCATTATTTACTCCCTTGTTGTTATATAATTGGGCCTTGCTACTTGCTAGTCAAGGGGGAGCCTTTCAGCTCTAGAGGTAGTGCTGCTGTATAAGTCGATGCCGAATCACCGATGAAAATAAAGACAGCATGGCCATCAATCAGTTCCTGATGTACGCTATGATGGAGGAAACTCATGACTTGCATACAAGTTGACGATGACACCATTCAGATGCAGGTCTTTTGGGACAAGATGAACTGCATTGTGCATGGAAAACCAAGGGACATAAGATGACTGACGAGCAACGAGTTCGGGATCACATCTGGAATAATAGCAGCAAGCTTTCGATGATCCATGATACCTGGTGCAGCTTCGATGTGGATTACGACTCTCGATTCGTGGTGTCAAGATAGAAGCGTGGGGGAAAAGGGAATACAGGGCGGGGATGGTGCCTGGCAGATCTGCTCTAGTGGCCCCCATTCCCCCAGCGACGGTTCCAACGCTGGCACCATGTGGCTGCGGCACGACCGACAGCCTACCTAATAATAAGAAGCGGCGATACCAGGCGCCACCAAAAAATCACAACCTGCATCCTCAAAGACATACCTACCTACAGCGAGAACGGAGATAAAAGGAACCCTCTGACCATGAGGCCACAAGACTACTCATTTAGGGCAGTGGAAATTCCTTTATCGAAACACTCTATGCCGTATGTAATAGTGCCACACACTTACGGTAACCTAACAATATACCAAACGGAAGAACTCGAGCTTCCCCGTGGTCGCCGCCATTGTCATCGTAATACCTACCGCTGTTGGAGAATGGTCTCATTATCCCAATTTCTTTGAGCAATGTCTCCTGTAGCCGAGTCTAGAGGCTCTGGCTCCCTTTCGGCCATTTTTTTTTCCAATATTCCAGTCAAGGTGCATTAGAGACAAATTTTGCTGTCTCAGTGTACGACTTCTTTGTTCGCCATTCTGCTACAAAGACATCTGCCCACCGCTTTCCATCCTTCAACATCAGACTCGAACAAAGGAATGAGAAACACAATGCGAGACAATCTTATTGTGGCTTTATCAAGCCCAGTCGCCTTGCTGCTTATAAGTCAAACTTCCTTCTCCCCCAGGTGTTGATTCCAACCCCATCACTCATCCAACCGAACACGTTCGCCCCCTCCACGAGGACATAGAACACACTCCGGACCCTAGTGTGACGGTATTGCTGACTACACCAGAGGACCAACCTCCAAATGAGTCCGACCTCTGCGCCCGTCCCTGTTGACCACCACGACTGGAACGAGTATGACCCAGAAGCACTACCATCGTTCAGAAGACCCTACCACTACAATGACATTGAGGTTCCTATCAACTGCGAACGTCTGAGTATCTCTGATCCGCCAGACATAAGTGATCCAATTAACAGCGAAGAAAACGATGCCGAGATTCGCTGGTGTCCCAGATGCTTCACAGGGTTTGGATCCACGGAAGCCCTCTTGGAACATCGCAGAACCTCGGCTCTCCACATTACGTGCGAATTTTGCGAAAGAGTCGAGGACTTCGCCAATGAGGAAGAGCTTTGGCAACACTGCTGCGGTCACCACTTTGCTTGCTGGTATCGCGAGGGCGCCACTTTCTGTGCTAATGTTTGCAAAAGCGCGGCCGACCTCGACAGACATTTTCGGATCGATCATTTCTCATGCCGCTTCTGCATCTATGTGCAACTCTTCGCGACCCTGGAGGACCTCAAAGACCATTATCGCGCTTCTCATATTACTTGCCCTCGCTGTCCCGACCCTCTAGTGTTCCGGTATAAAGAGGAACTGCGAGAGCACTGCCTTCGCGAACATTTTGGATGCCCGTGCTGTGATTCAGTAACGTGGTCCGAGGATGAAGAATCGCTAAGGACTCACATTGGCCTAGAGCACTTCCCTTGTTGCTTTTGCATCTCTCAAACGGTGTTCGCCTCACGGGAGGACCTTCTGGCTCATCGGCGTACCGCTCATGGCTGTTTTGACTGCCTTCTCTGCAAGCCACAACAGCCACGGATCATCTGGCCCGCCCCATGGCGGGAGCACATGGAGCAGTGCTATTACCCTAACCCTTGTACCGACGACTTCCACCAGGATGGGTTTGATATGATCAGCTATTGCGACTTGTGTGAAAAGACGTTCAAGCCGCAGTACCGCCTGATTCATCTGTTGTTCAATCACTTCTGCCAGGACTGCGCACGTTATGGAACCATTTTTAAAATGCACAAAGAGAAACATTTGAGCGAATGTTCTCGCCAGGACGCATCTGCTGGTCCACCATGGTGGCACCGGCAAGAACAACAGCAGCAGAATGATCCAGCACGAGAAAGCTTCCGGAGACAACACGAAGACTTCAAAACACGAGCGAACGAGCAGAGAGCACCTCCATCTGCTTCTCATCCTCATCCTCATCCTCCCCCTCCAACTCAAAAGCCACAAGAGCCAGAACCGCTGGATATCTATACCATCTTGAAGATCTCACCGCAGAGTCCTCCAGAAGTCATGAAGCAGGCGGTAAGAGTCAGACGTGTTGAAACACACCCGGACAAGCGTAAGAGACAAGGGCTGTCCCAAGGAGAAGAGGATTGGATTGACGAGGAAGCAAAATTGGTGGGATGGGCAGCTGACATTTTGCTAGACCCGGAGAAGAGGAAGAAGCACGGAGAGCAAGTGCATGCGTGGAAGATGAGGTATGAACAGTAGATACTCGAATGTCATTGACCGTAGGGTATCCAAGGAAAATGGGTTTCGATTGCTGTAGGTTAACGGTCTCGAAATTCTCTTCATTTGAGCAGTCTTTCGGTAGCATCTCTTTTCAGCCGCGCTAGTAGCAATTTTCCACCTTTGGACCTCGATTCTCCCTGGTTACACTTGTTCCAAGCTGCGACTCGAAGTGTCAGCATAATTCCAACCAATCATTCCCGTCCCCGTTCTCTGCCCGTCTTCCAAATACTCAAACGCAATCCCAGGTAACCTGTATGCCTGCTGGAAATTCAAGAGCAATCTCGCCAGCGTGACAAGATCGCTGTACTCCATGCTCTTGAGCGGCGGCTTCTGCGACGATACCATGACCGTCAGACCGTTCTCGGAGCAGCTGAACTGGTTATCGTGCAGCTGCGGGTGCTGCTCCACTACGTTCCAGATGGCGTCGAAAGCCGTGCTGAGCATATCGACCATGCAGGGAAGAAGGTTGAAGCTCGAGATGAAACGTCCGCCTTTCAATGAGGTGATCCGTAAGGTGAGACCGCCTATCTTTTCCTCGTAGGGTACCTTTGAGAGGATCTTGAGGTCGGGATCAGCGGGGCCGGAAACGCTTCTGTGATGTCAGTCTTGATACCCTCCATGCGGTCGAAAAGAGGACGGGAGGACGCACGAGGAAGCATTGAGGCTGTTGAAGCTACTCAGCGAGGGACTGTTCCCCAGGGCAGGCGTGTTCGAGCGGCGGTCTGACCTGGCGAAGCAAGGGAGCAGGGCGAGTTGAAGAAGCATGAATGCGGAAAAGGACATGAGGTTCTTCATTTCGAGAGCAAGGAATGGCCGATGGCTGAATGCGGATGCGAACGGTGATCAATTGTAGCAGTCGTCCCATTCTTTCAAGAGCTTTTCAAAGTCCGGTGTCGGTTAACATCGAGGCCATCCATTCGCGATTCGTCGTATGCGCCGCGCCTCGAGCGCGTCTCCAGCTCACGGCCATCCAGAACTGCGCTTTTGCCGGTGGCGATATCCGAGCCGTTCCGCGTGATGGCTGAGATCCCTTTTCCTTCGATCCCCATCATCCCATTGGAACTGGCAATACTAGCCTGCACAATATGATGCAGTACCCCAGACAAAAGGACATGTGGAAGATCGGCCATGCGAATGAAACCCTCGGAGCTGAGTCCCTGCATCACATCACCTGAAATCTCAGTCCGAATCCTGCACATGGCATTTCAGCATCTGCTTCCTCCGTGGTCACTGAGCGAGTCGGATGCTCTGAAGGAGATGCACGTGAAGTTTCGACCCTCGCCAATCTTGGTTGAATCTGGGGATCCTGCACATGGCATTTCAGCATCTGCTTCCTCCGTGGTCACTGAGCGAGTCGGAAGCTCTGAAGGAGATGCACGTGAAGTATCGACCCTCGCCAATCTTGGTTTGATCTGGGGTTTTGTCAAAAGGATATCTGGGCTAGCAATCAGCAACGTCGTCACCGTCGCCAAGCACAGCGCTTGAAGTTTTTGGGATGTTTAGCGAATGGAGGAGTCCTTCCGGACTTGCTTCGAGAGCTCAAAATCTTTTCAGTCCGGGTATTGGCATGGTGCTTTATTTGAGTGCCTTCGATGGATTGATTTGGCAAAGTCGGGCCGATCATGTCCTACCTGCGTCGGAAGCCACCAGGCTTGACATGTGGGCAAGGAATGTACGTGGCCCCTGAAGCCCTTCCGAGCTCAAGAATGACCTAGTGAACGGGTGCACTTGTTCATGATGAAACGGATCAAATGGAAACATCAGAGAAGTCGGGCCCGCTGGAACCTTTTTCTTTGTGCGCGTGTACATTCGCAGCCAACATCCTCGCCGAAGTCCACTCCCCCCCTAACAGAGACTCTTTCGCTCCTCCCCCCTCCTCCTCTCGCCACGTCCGGTCCCCGAGTGGCTTCCCTTCTCCAGAGGAAATGGCCATGCATGCAAGACGTCATCTTCCGATCAGATTGAACGGCCGTCATCGACTCTACACCGCTCACTTGGTCCAAAGCGCACATTGCGATAACGTGGAAAACGCGGAAGATGTTGGAAAGGAGGAGGAGGAGGAGGAGGAGGGGGATGGATAGAGGGGGCGGGAAGCCGACGTTTTGTCGCTGAGGGGGGTGGGTATGATCGGGTGGATCGTTCCCGAGGTGCGGGAAAACGGACACGAGGCGTTTGGGTTCGAGGGTGGTCTCCTGGTTGGGGGAGATGATGCCGGGGCGTTGGTGCTAGGTGGAGGAGCGGGGTGGGGTTGAGTTGCGGGTGAAGGGGTTTCTTGGAGAGGGTGGTGGCGCCGAGGTTGCGTTGGACGGGTTTTGGCGGTGGAGGTGGAGGTGGGTTGGGTAAGATAGGGAGCCATCAAATATATCCATTGAAAGGAAAATCTACATAGTCTAAGTAGATCGAGGAAAGTCATTAATATGGAATTCTAGACACGTTACCCAACGACGCCAGTGAGATTTCAAGGCCGAGGAGTTTTCATCACTCCTCAAACGCATCTACACCACCTTTGACAACCCACCTAAGCGATACCTTTCTTACCGCTCGACCTCTTTCCCCAGCTTACAAAGTCCCCGTCCCCGCCTTTCCGATCCCCTCGACTCTGAAACCCAACCTCCCCAACTTTGCCGTATCAACTACGTTCCTCCCATCAAACACATACATAGGCTTCCTCATCACCCTAGCGACATGGCTCCAATCCAGGCGGCCATTCGATTGACTCTGCTCAATAGTAGCGACATGCTCGCGGATGCTGACGAGTGGAGCGGTACCTTTGACAGCTGTTTCGTCTTCGTCGGCGACTGAGGTTCGAGAGCTCAGGTCTGCGAGGGAAGATTTGGAGCTGATGCCGTTGGGTGAGGAGGCTGTTTCGGAGTCTTGAGATGAACTTGAAGCTCGCTTGGCGATACTGTGGCCGATTGTGGTGGGGTTGCTCTGGGTGACGGTGGGAGGTTTGACGGTCTTGTTGCTGAACTCATCCCATTCCGTGGCAATGACGACGGCATCGGCGTCTTCGCAAGCCTCGTACGCGGTTTTGCAGACCGTGGTTCGTTTCTTGATCTTGTCGAATTTGTCACTGCCATATGACAGACTTTCCCAAATGGCGCTCTCTTCGACTTTGGGATCGTAGATGGTGACCTCGGCGTTCTCAACGATCAGATGATTGACGATACTGATAGCGGCACTTTCTCTCGTGTCGCCCGTGTCTTTCTTGTAAGCGTATCCAAGGATGGCAACTTTCTTATTCGTGAGTGTTTGGAACAAGCAAGCGACGATACGCTTGATGAAGCGGTCCTTCTGGTACTCGTTGATTTCGACCACCGAGTTCCAGTAAGAAGCGACTTCGGGTAGATGCATGGTCTCGGCAATGTAGACGAGATTAAGAACGTCCTTCTTAAAGCAGGACCCTCCGAAGCCGATGGATGACTTGAGCATTTTAGAGCCAATACGTTTGTCTAAGCCGACGGCGAAAGCGACTTCGTCAATGTCTGCACCTGTTGCTTCACAAACAGCACTAAGGGCGTTGATGCTGCTGATTCGCTGAGCCAGAAGAGCGTTAGCGGCGAGTTTAGCCATTTCAGCCGACCATAGGTTCATGGTAATGACCCGCTCTCGAGGCACCCATCTAGAGTAGACGTCCGCCAACGCAGCACATGCTTGGAGTCCCTGCTCAGTCTTGAGGGATCCAATCAAAATCCTGTCAGGCGCTAGCAGGTCGTTGATTGCGGTACCCTCAGCCAGAAACTCTGGATTGGACAAGATATCAAACCGGACTCCAGGCCTGCCCATAGCCGAGAAGGTCCCCCTGATGCGGTCCGCGGTTTTACAAGGCACCGTGCTTTTCTCCACCACGATCTTGTCATCCTCAGCCACCTCAGCAATCATGCGTGCGGCTTTTTCGACGAAGACTAAGTCCGCTGCTCGACCGGCGCCCGTGCCTGTAGATTTTGTAGGTGTGGGAACGCAGAGGAAGATGAGGTCTGCTGCTGCGATGGATTCTTTGACTTTGTCAGAGAAGATGAGATTCGGGGTTCGATCAATGCCATCACGGGCGGGCTTGAGGACCTCGATGAGGCCGGGCTCGTAGATGGGGAGGTGGTCAGTGTTCCAGGCTGCGATTCGCTGGCTGTTCAAGTCGGCCACTGTGACTTGAATGTCGGGACATTTGTTCGCTATGACGGCGCATGTTGGCCCTCCCTACGTACAATTAAACCCGCTCCTTGAACAATACAACTGGCCAGTAGGGTTATCAATACTGACCACGTAGCCTGCTCCTAGTGAGCAAATCTTTCTTATTTTTCTCCTCACAACGGGCGTCTGTGAATCGAAGGAGACACTGTCAGGATTGGAGGATGGTGTCTGTGTCTGGGTAGTCGCTGATCTGGTAAAGTCTTGAGGAGGCATGTCTACAATTCGACCCTCCATGATCAGTGGCATAGAGCAGATTGGTGGACTGTCAAGTCTTGAAGAAGTAGGTCACACGAGGCAGAGCGGGTTGGAGGTCGTATCGCAGCTAGCAGATACGGAGGGATAGGCTGCTCTGATTTCAATGGGTTGAGAAGGAAAAAAGCTCCCATGACCCAATGAATGGCTTGGATGTACACACCACCTTCACATGGTCTTGGGATCTTGACAGATTTCCTGAATTTCTTCTCCTAATCCTTCTCCACTTTTGGAGACCGGGGATGGTTCGGCGAGCACAATTGAGATTGTAGAAGATGCAACAAAGATGCAGATTGCGGAAGATATTCTGCAGAAGCCTGGATGCGGGTTCCTGTGCTAGCTCTTAGAAGCAACTGATCGTTCCGTGGCTGCAGTTCTAGCTTCTCTTCAATATACTCTACTGACCTGGGACGTCTAAGCTTATAAAGTGCTTAAGGTAAAAAGTGCCGCAGTGCCTTACATGGCCTTTGCCCTGAAAGCCTGGAATCCACGTAACAAGTTAGGAGCCGTTACATCTCTTACAGTACTAAAGTAACTTCTTGCGACAATAGTCGTGTGCCCATTTTTAACGGACCAACACGCGCACCTACAAAATTCCCTTACCCTACACTACAAACATTGCTCCAACAATAATAACATGAGCACGCCATCGGAGATAAGAGTCAAGCCGAACAAGTGCGAACACTTAAGTGCATGCATGCATGCAAGTACGAACAACTCGCATAATTCTCTCAACCTCGTGAGAGTTTGGAGACAACGTTGAAAGTGCCGATAGCCTTTCTTCCGTGACACTCGCTACCAGCCCAATGCTTTTTGGCCTGATCTTCTGGGAGCTCGAGACGCCTGCATAAGATTGGTATCTTAACGAATAAATTCGGCACGAGCTGTCCCATAATACGTAGTAACCAAGATCTGACAATTGCTTTCGCTGAAGCTCGGCTGAAGCCGGTGGCTGCCTATCATCGCTCTTCTCTTTCTTCCCAGCTTATCAGTTAAGACACCCTCGGGGCTGCATCAGCATCGCCGCGCAGATCCTTCGCCATTGTAGCTTCCACCTTTTTGCCCTTGGAGTCCAACTCCACTTTACTGTATATTCCTGCACCCACTAGAGTTACCAGCATACCGGCTCCATTCCACACGCCCACCGTGACATCAAAAAGTAGGATTCCGAGTAACACAGTGAGACACTGCTTCAAATTGGCGCACACTGTCATAGTCAAGGCGCCCGCGAGTTTGTTGGTCTGAAAGGAGGAAACGTTTAGAAGAAAGGCTAGAAGACCATTGCCAAGGAGTGCAGAACTGTAAGAAGGTGTGAGGTTGCCTTCTGCGACCCAGGCCAGGAATGCGCTTGCTTCACCGGTAGCAACAGCGTAGAGAAGAGATTGCAGTGCCGCTAGAGGTGACATCCGTAGAAGAATCTCGAGCGCAGGGAGCGCGAGACTCCCGGTCATGATTCGATTCGACATGACCGTCTTCAGCGCGGAGAGGACAACGCCAAAGAGTGTAAGGGTGAAACCAATTCCAGTAAAGTAGTAGTCACCGTACGTGGCCAAGCCGACGCCGAGTATGACTGGTATGAGAGATATGTAGGTCGCTTGGGAGTATGTCCGTCCGTAGAAGAAGCGATAGATGAGAATGGTGAAGATGGGGCAGGTAGATCGCATGATTTGGTGGAATGGCACGGAGACCATCGCCCTATTTCCATGAGTCAGTGCTGTTTGGGGACTGTACGGCGGACGGCACTGACAGTGATACATTCGAAATTGCTATATTAACGGTGAACAGAAATGAGAAGCTGATCAAGACCAAGTGCTCTCGGGTCGTGAGCTTTGACAACTTGAAGTGGCCGCGTAACATGAGTATGTAGCAGCCCAATGACGCTGAGGTCGTGTGCAAGGTAGTGAGCAGCCAAGGGAAAGCGAACTGCGAAAGTCGCACGTCAGTACAAGTCCGAAACGTTGTCGGAGCTCTAGGAACAGCCTTAAAAGGCATAGCGAACGCACCTTTCCGAGTACTGCCTTGTTATAGAGAGTGAGGGTGAGGTTCAACCCGAAATATAAAGCCAAATAGAGATACTTGGTGCTTGTAGGTATTTGATATTCCGGTGCGATTGTCGCTGTACTCTGTGCTCGAGTATGCCGGCTTTGAGCTTCGACGTCGCTCTTGATAATCAGAGTCTCCTTTTCCATTCTTGAGTCTTGACTGTTGGTTCTCTCATCTTCACTACCATATGAGGAGTCGTGATAAGGACTCTTTTCTGCCATGGTTGCCGCTGGATATGATGCACGACTAAGATGGTTGGGTGACTGTAAGATGGATGGAATCGCTGCTGGTCATGATTATACTGGGATACTGTGCCAAGGGTTTGAATGCGTGGGAGGCGCCAAGGCAAGTCTCCCAAATTCTCGCAAACGGAGCCTGATGGCTATTCCTTTCGGAATCTAGGTAGCGTGCTGCGACGGAGCAGGAGAGTCCTCTCTTCTGGATGGAATGCCAAACCTGTACCTCTGTACGTACTCTCCGTAATTCTGGATGCAAGGCCTAACCTTTTGCCGGTTGGGCCGAAGCTGCGAGGTAATCTTGTGGAAGGCTGGCGGGTAAAGCGGCAGAGCCAGCTGCCAAAAAAGGTACGAGTGCTGCAGAGTTAACACTAACAGACTCTGTCTGCAAGCCACTCCGCTATTCGCTGTACGATAAGGATGAGGATGCCCTCAGATTGTTCATGCACAGAAGGGAGAATTTTGAGTTGATATGAGTTTTGAGAGCAAAGAGCAGAGCCGAGCGTTAATTACTTTACATGTAATCAACCAGATTAAAGTACCTCATGTATACCTTAGTTAAGTATCGTTTGCCCGAGATTCCGAACAAGAGACTTGGCATTATTTCATCGGTTCGAAATTCTAACGCGGAAGTGCTGCGTGGCTAGCGTGCTCAGGCCCTTGAAATCCGAACAACCCCTTTCCTTTAGCGTGCGCGCAAAATACTTGCAAGTCTTTGGCGATAAGTCGGGAACCAGCTCCACCTTGAAGACCCCCCGGTACAACTTCTCTGCTGGCGCAGAACATCATTATAATGTGCGTCCAGGAGCATTTCGGCATTCGGTACCGGTCTTTTACTCTGCTTTGCTCTGCAATATACTGTATGTCTGATATCGATCCCTCGACCGGAATCTTCGCGGAGGATTGAGAAACTTGGCAGGAGCGAAGTCCCGGGTCGATGCCTTGTTACCACCGTCGCTCGAGGTACATTGCTTCAAGCAACAACTAGAGACTCATCATAGCATTCTACCTTCATAATGGTGTTCCTCCGGACCGGCGCCCGTGGCACTTTTGTACAGAAATCTTTAATCATCATCTTAGCATTCATATGTATAGCTTCTTTGTTAGCGAACCGCGAGAAAGTAAGTTCTTCTATGCCGTGTGGCACAGTGTCTCTCCAATTTGCAACTAAACCTTGATCCAAAATAGCTTTCTACCTCGATAAATAATACAGTTGGACGGCCTCAGCAATCATCGAACCCGGGTGAAGCTGCTTCACAAAATGCGCAGGCGTCCGCGACAGATGTGCAGGCTCCAACAAATGACGTCAAGTCTTCAGATGCCCATCTACACCTCCTCATACCTGCAACTAGCAGCAACCAATACCTCTGCCAGCTCCTTCTCTCAGCAGCTATCCTGAACTATCCCACACCAACTCTCATCAATTGGGCCACCAAGGAAGACAACAACGCATATGTCCAGCACATTGCAAAGGTCAGCAAGATTCTTCAATACTTGGAGAGCTTTCCCCAAGGGAAAGAGAAGGACTTGGTCCTCATTGTCGATGGATACGATGTTTGGTTCCAGCTGCGTTCAGACGTGCTGATAAAGAGATACTTTGCCATCAATACCGCAGCCAACAAGAGGATATCGAAAACCCTTGGGAATGTGGCCGCAAAACAGGACATCAGACAGACTGTGATATTTGGCCCGGACAAGCTATGCTGGCCCTCTGGGAACGATGGAGGCCGTGCTGCTTGTTGGGCATTGCCTCAATCCACCCTACCTAAAGATGCATTTGGCCCCATTAATGATACGGACATTGTTACCGCGATTTCTGACCCAGTCCACTCTCGACCACGCTGGCTGAATTCTGGAACCGTCATGGGTACTTTGGAAGACGTGCGAGCTGTATTCGAGGCCACTTTGGATTTTGTCCAAAAGAATCACACCTCGGACTCCGACCAGTGGTACCTCGCCAACCTCTTTGCCGAACAAGAGTACTCGCGCACATTACTGCAACAAAAGCCATCTTTCAACGCGCCTGCAAAGCCCGAGATCCCCGTCATTGAAAAGGGCCAGAAGACCGAATATCACATCGGACTTGACTATGAATCTGAGCTCTTCCAAACTGTTGGCTACTACCAAAAATTCATCTCTTGGCTGTGGTTTGATGCTGCCAAAGGCAAAGGGCAGCAGCTCAGCCAGTCCTTCACCAACTCGCACGGATTCGAGCTCCCGGAAGACATTCTTGCATCGCCACCACCTTTCTCCGTGGAAAGCAAGTCTCACTGGGAGACTACGAATGTGGGCGATGAAGAAATCAGGGAAGCCGCAACCAGATTACCTCTCGATCGTAAGTGGAAAGATCTGCCACTTGCTACCAATGTCGTCACGAAGCAGATTTTCACGGTTTTACATTTTACCTTTGTGAAAGAATTGCGGGATGAATGGTGGCGGAAAATGTGGTACTATCAGCAAGGCAAAGAATTGCTCTTGGCCGCTACGAGACAGCACAAAGCTCCAACTATCGACAAGCCTGTTCAAGGACAAATGTGGTGGAATGCAGAAGCGTCTCACTTGGCGGATTCTGAACAGGTCCTGAAGTCGACACAAGGCCAGAAAGGCGGTGCCTGGAGTGACAAGGGGAAATGGGTCCCATGGGATGAGGTGTGCTTGGCATATGAAGGGCTCATCTTTCCCGCGAAGAATAAAGGCGGATGACGGCTGACGCTGGAGGTGGCTTCGGCGGATTGGATACATTATTGATCTGTGAGTATTGAATATAAGTATAAACGATTTAACGATCTTTCATCGTCAAACCCGAGACGGCCAGTTCCCGATTTGTATGTCCTTGAATTCTTCATAGGAAGAACATATGGTCCGACATCTACTCAAGTGCACAAGCATCTCGCCCGCAATTGTCTCGCACTCCATGTACACTATCTTCCAACAGCAGATTTATCAACAGGTCCAGGACTGCTCCAAAAACAATGCCCACAGTGAAATGCCGCTTGACGTCATTCCGACAGCGAAAAGTGGAGCCCACAAAGTATACTTACTTTATATACAAATCTGCTGAAGGACCTTTAGTTTGACAGTGCGTACAGGAGTTACATTGGAATAGCCTGACAAATCTGCCAAGGCTTCCGAAGAATTTAATTGACTTTTGAAGAATATTCGGGGGCGAAGACTTCATTCCCTTGCCAGCCACCGGCTCTATCTGAGCTGCCGTTCGACATCTGCGCCCATGGATTTACAGGAAGAGAAAGGTGGATCTACCAAGCCGCGGCTCTGGCCCAATCATGATGATTCGAGCGTCGAGTCCTTGGAAAAGGACCTTGCTGCAGCTATTGCCTCCGATCATGCCCAGGAGTATGATCGCGCTACAGGACACCGAGTCTTGCGAAAGATCGATTTGTATCTGATCCCATGGATGTGGCTTGGCTATGGATTCGTCTACTATGACAAGGTAAGAGAAGAAGAAGTGAAGGGGGAAAGAAAAGACGTGATCTGATGCATCAAAAGGCCATCCTAGGCAGCGCTGTCCTCTTCGGCATGACCAAAGACCTCTCCCTCAGCGTTGTCGATACACGCACCAACCCCGCAACAACCGTCACAACACGCCTGAGTTGGGCAACATCAATCTTCTACTTCGGCATGCTCGCCGGTCTCTACCCTATGACTTTCATGCTCCAGCGCTTCCAGATAGGTAGGGTACTGGGCGTTCTAGTCATCCTCTGGGGAATGATCGCTATGCTTACAGCCACTGTCACGTCTTGGCGGGGGCTTTTTGCTCAGCGCTTCTTCCTTGGGTTTGTCGAGAGCGTGATACCGACTGCTTTCATGTGCATTGTCAGCGGATACTATACGCAACAAGAACAAGCTCTTCGCCAAAGTTGGTGGTTTTCTTCAACCGGTGGTTGGACGATTATCGGAGGTGCTTTGAACTACGGCTTTGCTCAGATCACGGGTGGATCGTTGGCGAGATGGCAGTATATTTATCTGTTGGCTGGCTCGCTGACCGTGCTCTTTGGATGTGTGTGTTTTGCAGTTCCTAATTCCGAGGTGTCGGCTTGGTTCCTTACGCCGGCAGAGCGCATAGTTGCTGTGGAGAGGCTGCGGAAAGGCCAGACGGGCGTACGTTGTCAGAAATTGAAGGGTTCGCAGATTCGAGAGGCAGCATTGGATGTTAAGATATGGCTCGTTGCGCTCATGATGGCGGCTGCGTATACTGTTAATGGTGCTGTCAGTGGCTTTGGACCTCTTATTGTGTCCACATTTGGGTACGTCTTAAAGACCTTGACGGGCTTAATTCTCTACTAACCAAGGTTACGACAGCTGGTCGACCCTTGACTCAATTCTTCTCCAATTTCCGCTAGGTGGGGTCTGCTTCATCTTCATTCTCCTCACCGGTTACCTTTCCAGCAAGATACCTAACATTCGCCTCGTTCTCCTGATCCTCTGCTGCTTGCCTGTAATCGCTGGGTGTGCAATGATCTGGCGAAGCAGCTGGACCCATCGAGCTGCCACACCTGTAGCTGGCTACACTATCATTGGATTCTTTGGGCCGGTGGTCAGTCTAATCATTAGTATCGGCATGGCCAACGTTGCAGGCGCCACCAAGAAGAGCTGCACAGCAGCCGCCATCTTTGTTGCGTACTGCGTGGGAAATGTAAGCAGCGGTCACACCCTGTATCTTCATAACCCTGGTCTAATATAGTATCGCAGATAATAGGACCGCAACTCATCAAAACGCCGACGATTAAACGACATTACCCCGAGTTGTGGCTCGGCCTCATTATTTGGTTAGTGCATCACATCTCTCCTTTCGGAAATAGTTGAGGCCTGCTAATGAGTCTTTTGGCTTAGCTACTGCGTTGTCATCATTCTGGCCATCGCATTATACTTTGTCCTTGATGTGGAGAACAAGCGCCGAGAGAGTCTCCGAGTGGATGAGGAAGAGCGAGATCGACTGGCGTTCATGGATCTGACTGACAAGGAGAACCCATACTTTCGATACGTGCTATAAAGATTAGATTAGCAAGCGAGGTCGTCACCGTGCGTCTTCCTGTCCAGCCTATTACTGCTGTATAGAGAACCTAAGGTACATTTAGGTAGTGGCGTGTGCGATCTGCAGTGGTCACGCTCAAGCTTATTTGAAGCTCGATCACTAGAGTGTCATTACGCCATGAAGTATCTGGGGAAGGGAAGGCCTTCCGACGAGTAAGAGACAACATCGACGCCACTAACAGGCATTTACAACGCTTAGCCTATCGACTATATGCACTTTTGATCATTTTTGGTGTTCACAGACGCAATATGATTGATTACCATCGGATGAGATCCTACAATTTGGCCGACTAGCGCTTCCTGGGGCCCCGCTCGTCAACGATTATTCGCCATTTTACCCCGCAATTTTCTATTTTATTGTTTGACCATGATGAGCCAGATTATGCAGAATCGCCGAACAAATGACCGAATTGCATTCAGTGAAACCCTTCACTCTACATCTCTCTGCACATCACCATAAGCCTCGGTACGTGGGACCATGGACGTCATGCATTGCACCTCCCGTCATGGCCATGCATACAATAAAAGTCCAGACCCGCCCCAGGCTGCCCTTCCATCGAATCCCCGTCCCTTTACACATACCATTCGAAGAGGTCGCGGATTCCTCAATTCCCTTTGCTTTGTTCTTTTCGTTATAAAATTCAACTGACATCCCTTGGACTGCTTCACAATGTCGGACAACAGCCCCCCCAACGGTTCTAACGAGAAGGAATACTCGCCCAATGACACCATGGAACGATATGTCAACGGCAAACTCGAAGTCGAGCATGTCGAGCCCGACTCCAGACGCGGCAACTCCATAGTCCCCCGCAACTTGTCCGTAGCAACAGACAATGGTCGACAATATTCCACCGGTGGACCCAGACGACAGAGCCAATGGGATGCCATGAAAATAGCCAAAGAGGGCGGTGTCGAAATCGACGAAGAGATCGAGCTGCTCGAGGAAGAGCTGCGGAACAACCCTGTCCCGCATAGCTTCTTCGCCCCTGTCATCAACTTCAAGAATCCTGCCCACTTCACCTGGCTGCTTGTTGGCTTTGCTTCTATGGGAGGCTTGCTATCGGGTATCGATCAATCCCTCATCTCTGGTGCCAATCTCTACATGCCTGCGAGTTTGCACCTCGACACCTCGCAGGTCTCGCTTGTGGCTTCTGGCGTACCGCTTGGTGCAATTGGCGGTGCCCTTCTTCTTGGGCCGTTGAACGAGGCAGTAGGCCGCAGAATGGCTATCATCATCTCCCTCATCCTCTACACCGTTGGTGCGGCTTTGGAAGCAGGTGCCATCAGCTTCGGTATGATCGTCGCTGGTCGTGTCATTCTAGGTCTTGGTGTTGGTCTGGAAGGCGGAACGGTCCCTGTCTACGTTGCAGAATCCGTGGCCAGGAAGTACCGAGGAAACTTGGTCTCCCTCTACCAATTCAACATCGCTCTCGGTGAAGTTTTCGGCTACGTCGTGGCTGCCATCTTTGTCAACGTCAAGGTAGGCCGTTCTCCCTCCTCCGAACGCTACACTCGCTAACGATCATACTAGAGCGGCAGCTGGCGTTATATGCTCGGCTCCTCCCTCATCTTCTCCACCATCATGTTGGCAGGCATGTTCTTCATGCCCGAGTCCCCCCGCTTCCTCATGCACAAAGGCCGCACCCTCGAAGCCTTCAACGTTTGGAAGCGTATTCGCGGCACAGAGCTCCAGGAAAACCGCGAAGAATTCTTCGTCATGAAGCACTCGGTGATCAACGAGCTCGAATCTAAGGAGACCCGCTCCGGCGGCTTCGCTTGGCTCGACTTTATCACCGTGCCCCGTGCTCGCCGCTCCATCGTCTACGCCAATATAATGATCTTCCTTGGTCAATTTACCGGTATCAATGCAATTATGTATTATATGGCGACTTTAATGAGCCAAGTCGGCTTCGACAGCAAGCAATCCGTCTTCATGTCGCTCGTCGGCGGTGGCTCGTTGCTTCTTGGCACCATCCCCGCCATCTTCTACATGGAGCGCTTCGGCCGTCGTTTCTGGGCTTGTGCCATGCTGCCCGGCTTTTTCCTCGGTCTGCTCATCATCGGATGTTCCTACCTCATCGACTCCAAAACCAACGTCGGTGGAGCCGAGGGCTGCTATATCACCGGCCTTATCCTCTACGAAGGCTTCTTCGGCTCCTACGCCTGCTTGACATGGGTTCTACCAGCAGAAGTCTACCCCACCTACCTCCGCTCTTACGGCATGGAGTCTTCCGACGTCACCCTCTTCTTCTGTTCCTGGCTCGTGACCTACTTCTTCTCCGACATGGAAGCCGCCATGTCGCGCATCGGTCTCACCCTCGGCTTTTACGGCGGTATAGCAGTCCTGGGATGGTTCTACCAATTGGCTTTCATGCCCGAGACGAAGAACAAGACGTTGGAGGAAATCGACATCCTATTCTCGCAGCCGACGAGCCAGCTCGTCAAGCAGAACCTGAAGGGCGTGGCGGAGAACTTGTCGGATTTGGCCCATGGCAGGTGGGGGAGAGTGTTCAGACCCAGTCCCGAGAGTCCGCTGCCGGAAATCCATGATGATACGCCGGTTGGGCCTATTTCGAACGCTGTGCAGGGTTAGTTCGGAGGTTGTGACGGAGAGAGGGGGAGTCGTTCTTTTGACGGAGAGGGATGGAGGGGGGGGGGGACGTGGAGGTTGCGGTTGAGGAGTTGGATACTACCTTGTTCATGAATTCTGTATGAGAGGCAATCGTGTATTTATGCGTGATGACTTCTTGATTTCAATGTATATATGTTCGTGGACACAGTAAATGAATTGAGTTGGACAGTTTGGATGGAATCAGTCAGGCCTGGCCCTGACATCACCTAAACTTATAGGGCTGCATGAAGCGCGATAACCACGCATTTTTATGGGCCTATGGCCTAGTGGTTAACAGTGCTTACAGAATCAGTTCCTTTTTCCGAAAGTGTGTATGTCTATAAATTGCGGCCGCCTTCACTGCTCAGCTGGTAAACGAACTCTCCAACGGATCTCCTTGCGGAATCTCTCCCACGTAGACCAGGCCTTTCGGTATCTTACACAAAGCAAACCTCAGGTCCTCAAACAACCGATACTGGAATTCTAGTAGGATCCAAAATACGTCAGCGCGCCCTACCGCTCTCAGCCCTCAACAACTCCGCAACGTCGTCATCCAAGTCAGCCATGGCATCCTCCCCGCTTCCAAAATCCGGGTAATCATCATCCACTTTCCGCTTCTTCGCCATACCGCCGCCAGCACTGCCTGGTGTGCCCGGGTAGTGACGGACTGGCGGCATGGAAAGACTGGACAGCAGATCCGCTCCTGCTGTTGGGGGTGCAATTGGTGCATGGTGGGGGGATGGAGTTGGCTGGACGTGAGTGAGCAGAGCTGCTGGAGTAGCAGTGACAGGAGAACCGGCTGGCGTGCGTGATTCCGGCGGCGGAGGGGTGAGCTCCTCGACATCTGGACGCTCTGGTTCGACGGACGCGTTGTCGTTGGGCGACATGACTCTGCCGTTCGTTCTTGGATCGGAGATCGGACTGCCATGCGCTACTACGGGCGTCGACGGCGCAGAAAGACCGCGCATAATGCCATCTTCAACATCCCGCTTCTTGGCCTCAATAACATACTTGCGAGTCATCAGCGTCTCTTTCTGAGCTTCCTCGCTGACTAAAGCGGCGTGGTTGGTCTCAATGATGCTCTCCAGTCCAGCTATGAGGCGGCGACGAGCCTTGATGCTCTCAGAGACAGCTCCCTCAGCGTTGGCGAGGTTCTTCAGTAGAGCGCTGAGCCGAGCTGCATGGACTGGGGGGGTGGGTGTGGGCTTGCTTTGGTCAGTGAGCTTGTCGTATTCAGAATCGGCTGTGGGCACAGCGCTAAGGGTTGTGGCTGCTGCTTTGGAGACGGCGATTTGTAAGGGGACGAGAGGTTCGATCTCTGAGGGCGCTGAGGGGCCAGATGAGCCAGAGAAGAGAGATCCACCGAGCAGAGGCTTCTTGCTTGAGGAGCGTGTTTTGTCGAGTTCTGCGGAGGTATTAGCAGTGTCCAGGTTTAGAGGAAGCCTGCAGCGTACCGTCTATGCGAGCTTCGATAGCTTCTTGTATGGTGGGTTCGAATATCTGTCGCTGCCTCCACACCTCAACCACTCGTCGTAGTTTCTGTTGAACTTCATTTGTAGCTCCTTTGTACGCAATGGCTGTAGCTTCGGCGATGATTGGAGAGAATGCGATGAGGAAATCATCCTTCCTCCTAGCCTTGGATTGCTGCGCGACCTCATTCGCAAGGTAGACCAAGTTGAGTCGTTTGTTGGAGCCGGAGTCCTTTAGCCGCTGAAGCCATAGAGTACCGGTGCGATCTGCGTGTCTCCTGCCATAACGAAGTCAGCCGGGAGGGTGAGTGAAAGGTTTGCTACGGGAAAACTGCCGTACCTATGGAACATGACCCATTGAGCTACAGTGACTATGCTCTCTTGGGTCTCATTCAAGGCTGACAGCTTCGCCTTGACGGCGTCGTCTGTATACGCCATCTCTACTGCTCTACAATTGTCCTGCGCCTAGTCACTGATTGGTTGTGTTGTTGTGTCGAAAGATGGTGTTGAAAACATGCTTGCGGCATAGGAGCCGGAGCCAATCTTATCCGAAGGACGTACAGGTACGGGTATAACGCTGCTGCCAGACGTGCCTTCCTGCATCGCCACTGCTCAGCACAGCAGCTTTCTCTATTGATGCGAAAGCTATCTATCTGAATAGCCAACGAAGTAGATGGTGTCTTGGAAACTAAAACGGTGTCTTGTATCCTGAAGAGCGAGCCACCACCACGGATAGCGCCAGCCACTTATACGAGCGAAAAGATTTTCGATCAAACGGAGACCAAGCTCTCAACATTACACAAAAGGCTCCGTGCATCTGCTTCATTTCATTTCTCTGGAGTATCGCAGAATTCCCTTTGCGGGACTCCTTTCGGCTCGTCGGCACAAACTTTCAAGGGTAGAGTATGCCGCTGCAGATGGAATAACTTTCCATGTCACTTCAAAAGACACAAAGCTGGGACCTTTCCATCCGGTCTCAGTCCATAGACATGATTCCGCGTCTCCTCTCGTTCCCATCATCCTCGAACTATTCCTCGGCTCAAAGTTGTTCGAAGATCTTTTTCACATATGCAGTATCACTAATTTGGGTATCTCTGTCCCCTTTTCAGGTTAGGCCGTGCGGAAATTCCATGGTCCCTCTCTTTGTGGGGTTCAGGGCTTCTTCGTCTCTCTTTACTTGCGGATGGCGCATGACTCTCGTAAATCTCACGATGGTCCGATCTCGCGGGTTGTCCTCGTGGTCCAGGTGATATTGCCTCGCACTTAGGGCATGGGTCTTCATTTGCCGAGCCCTCCGTGTAAGTGCGTCCGTTTTGTGCCTCTTCATGGCACGCTCTCGGCGGTTGAGTCCCTGCGTGTCGATGACACCGCTTCCCAAGTACTTTGTAAGTTGCCGTTATGTGCGCAGGTTGCGCGTAGCATTCACGATGTCTGAATTGGATCTTCCGAAGAACGCAATTGGCTATCTGCTAATCAGAGGCGCGCAATATATGCTTCTAAGATAACGTCAATACTTACGGTCTTTAGCTCCATCGTTTCGTGCAGTCTGTCGCAGCGCTTGCGAATCGAAATACTGCGGGTGGCTTGATTGAGAAGCAAAGTATCCAGGCGATGGCCGTTGGGAATTGGAGTAAGACTGCTGCTGAGGGGTGCTGTAAGATAAGGCTGTATATTGCTGCTTCAGGTCAATTACATCCGCTAGGATACATAAGTGTAGGAGCCGTTGCGATGACCGCTGGAGGACATTTCGATCGCAAACTCTTTCTACAACGACGAATACACGAGACAAAGTACGAAGATCTACCAAGTCGAGGATCATGATATGTTGCTAGACCGCCTCGACTTCACTGAAAGTCTGGAAGTGCCCCACACTCGTTCATTTTCCTGGCGTTATTGTCATGATGTGATTCGCTATCTCTGCATCACCTTGGCGCATGGCTTAGCCTTGCTGTGGTGTAGAACTCCTTTCCGCACTGACAACGAACATCATTGAGCCTCATGATCACGGTTGTTTAAAACGAGCCGGAGCGCAACTGCAATGCGCCGATGAGATTAGCAGCTCAAAACGGAGACTTGGGTAGAAAGTGTCTTCTACTCAGAACCACCCCAGCCTCGAAATGCTCCGGAAACGTGACAAACATCCGGTAGAAGTAGGGCTATCGTCATATTCCTCACCCGAAATCCACCAGCGCCAGCTCGAATATCGTATAGCGAGAGCGGAAAGCTCGCGACAGCTCCTAAATTGGCAGATAACATCAACAAACCTTTGCTGGACTCCACGGTATATGTTGAGAATCCGCCGACCTCCAGGATATTGGCTGACAACGAACAGCCTGCCATACCAGGTGTCACGCCCTTGGATAGGATCTAGTAAGCAAGATATCCGGCGAGCCAGCCGCGGACAAATCTAACATTGACAGCTACGAAAACAATTGGACCTTCACGCGAAGTCTGCTCTGCCGTAAATACGTCAAGGATGTCCCGCCTGAGGCCAGCGGTATTTGTTACGAGGATCCAGATCTCATGAAATTCGAGTTATTCCTCAATGCAGCCGCCGAGAGGAATGACCTGAGCTTCATCTCGATGGGCTTATCCACTTGGGATTGGGAAATTTTGGCTTCCAAAGGTGTTGCTTTACCTGATGTCCGATTGTAGTTCACTGCTGATTTTGGGCTCTAGATCGTCTTTTGTACACTTTCGGATTTGATTGGCTGGGTGTACTGCGGAATACACCGTCGGCCAATTCATCTCTCATGGACTTGAAATATAGCAAGGGTTGGGTCTGTAGCTCAAACATTCCATCACCCGTTGAAAAGGCTAGGGCGGGTTTTCCATCGTTCGTCGAACAACAGCCGTCGCTATCATTGTAAAAGTAAAAAATACGGATTGTCTGGCCACCTCCACACTGTGCCATAGACCTTGGACTTCTCATAACAAAGTCAACCATCGACGAACAGTCATACTGTTTAATGAGCTACACTCTCAGGATGATGGCTTACCATTCACGGCATGGATTTCTCCTGACGCGCCGGGATCCGATCTTTGGGACCTACCTGCCGATCACAATTGCCCTATGGATGATGAGGCTATGGCTATTCTTTTCATACAAAGATTTGTGGCTCGAATTTGGCAAGGTGTGTTCTCAAATCTCGAAAAGGTCATTGATGAATGTTCAAAACATATCATCTATTCGGTCTATCCCTCTCGATCTTGACGTCAACGCTCTCGAAAGTGTAGCACACAACACCTGGCGAGACATGGTGACATGGCACGTCCTCGAAAAGCTCATAGCAAGTGCCACTATGCGGTCACTCGTAATGACCCTGTTATATGACCGGTCTTAGCCCTTCGGCTTAGAATCTAGACGATGGCTTTGCACTCTAACAAGGGAGGCTTATACGCCATATTCATAGGTTGCCCAGCGCAAATCTGTCTCAGAGACAAGAGACCATGTGAGAGCCTTGATCCTGAAGCTCGCACTGACCAACGCAAGGAGTGAGGATCCGTTGCTCCGGATTCTCGAAGCCTTAGCATCTCTCGAAAGAGCCGTAGCGAAGGACTTTACATCGCGAGGACAGAGCATCACTGACTTGGTACGTTGGCAAGTTCGGCGAATCACTGTAAAGAACCTTTGATTGATGGCCTGACAAGGTCTACAACGCCCAGGCCGCTCAACGAGGTGCCTACGCCGCTCAACAAGAAAGTCGAGATCTAGGCCGAATTAGTTGGATCGCCTTCATCTCAGGGCCATTGATAGCTGTGTCGGTATGGCTCTGTCCTTACCGACAAATCCATCTTATCTCCTAATGATGAGATTAGGGGATCTTCGGGATGAATGTGGATGCTCATCAACAAGCCGCCTTCCATACGGTGGTACTTTGTCGCAGTCATTCCCTTCTCGGCTCTCGTACTTGCAGTAGCTTTTGTCTCCACAAGAGTAAATAAGCGTCGGCGTGCGAACAGTCAGGACAACAGGAAGGTTTTGAGGAAGAAGGAGAGATCATTTCAGCTGCCGAATTGCGAAAAAAAAGGATAGGTTTATCCAGGCTATATGTAGGATAGGCCGCGATGCTTCGGGTTCTTACCTAGTAACATAGGTACAACATTAAGAGCCAATAAATATACTTAATGCCGCGCCCATCTCAAGCTGCTGGTACCTGAATGTTTTCATCTTACACTCGCCGTTGTGGCGCCTGGTTATTTTGTCGTAGACCATCTTAAATCCAGGACCCGCTTTTGATACGTGTATCACAGCGGATTTTCCAAAGCTTCCTTTGCTTCACTTTCTCCACACCCCGATCAACATCACTTCCAGCCATTCGATCGTTACTCTCTTCTCTACCAATGATCATTTGTATCTGAGATTGATAGGCATCATGGCGGACAGGTTCCCTTCGCTGGAAGACTTCTCGGCTGGTAAGATCGCACCTCTCATCTGTGATTGCTCGTTGACTCTGTGCTGATATTGCTGCCTAGGTGATACTGGCCCAACAAGCAACGGAGCATCAGGTCACGATGGAGCTACAGCAGGGGATGACTTTTTAACACGCGAGCGAGCAGCGTTGGGAGATGATGCCGCCCAATTTACGTCTGCCGGTGATAACGCTGCCACTGTTGAAGATGGGGACGACGATTTGCTAGGAGGTGGAGGAAGCTATGGAGGGGCCCAGGCCGGGAGCGAGGAGATCACGGCGTTCGAGAGCTCCTTCCCGGCAATGGATACTCGGAATGAGGTAAGCTTGGTTGTTGGGCGTCTTTCAATAGACATTGAACTTAGCAGCTGATTAATCCATTCAGAATGTTGGACCTGGGGGCACAATCACCGGCTCAAGCCTTCCTTTCCAACCAGCCCAACCTCAGCCATCTTACGGAGGGTACGGGGCGCCAGCAGAAGAAGAGACGGAGCCCATACGGTGAGCTACCTTTTTACCGGTTTGTAGCCCAACATGGATAGTGTCACTAACTCCAGCATAGCCAATGGCGAGAACGTCGCGACCTTGCACTTGCCGAGCGAGAAAAGATTTCGGCGTCTAAGAAAGAGGATACCGTCAAAGCAGCTCGACAAGCGATTGATGACTTCTACGAAAACTACTCCCAAAAGACCGAGAAGACCGTCGCAAAGACACGCAAAGATGCCGAAGAGTTTCTGGCAAATCGAGAGGATACTTCTGCGGGGGGCACGAGCTGGGAGAGAATTGCTAAGTTGGTGGACTTGAGTGGAAAGGGCACAAAGGGTGGAGCGAGCGGAACAGGCAAAGAAAAGTTCAGGGAGATGTTGATTGACTTGAAGAAAGATGAGAAGGCTCCTGGAGCCACGGGCTACTGAGTGTGACTACTTCAGGGAGGCATTGATCATATGCGTTCTAGACTAGCTATGGCGTTCGAGGCCTGTATGATACCTGTGCATTTCTGGGTCGCAGCGATAGGAGATCAAGCTATGACAACACGTGTGAATAGAATCAATCATTTGTGTCAATTCATTAGGTGTTGGCCCAATGCTCTGCCGTTCAAGTTCTCGCATATTCTGACGAACTCGAGCCGAGCCCATCCCCCATAAATACAAGTAAAGTACTCTCCTGGATTTCCCACGCCTCGAGACATAAATCCAGTACGCCCATAATGGTAGTCAACTATAGTAAATGGGATGCCCTCGAGCTCTCCGACGACTCAGACATCGAAGTCCACCCCAACGTCGACAAACGATCCTTTATCCGGGCAAAGCAAAACCAAATACATCAGGCACGCTACCAACGACGGCACGAGATCAGTACCCTCAAATACGAGCGATTAGTCAATGATGGCATGCTCGAACGCATTGACACTCTACTGGCATCTCTCCGCAACCATGCTGCCCAAGCGCAGGGAGAGAACCCGGATGAGTTCATGATGCAAGCGTTGATGGAGTGTGCCAGGGACCCTGGGAATGACAAGCCGCCAGATCCACCGGAGGGTGTGCACTATAAGGAGGAGCAACCTCTGTACTCGCAGATGATTGCTGGCTTGGTGGATCAGGTGAAGAAAGAGGTCGGACCAGAGCCAGAAGACTGGTATAAGAGCTATGTGAAGGGCGTGGAGGGACATAAGCTGAAAGTGCAGAATCTACAGAAAGATCTGTTTGATCGGCTGGCGCAGCTGGAGAAGGAGGAGGCGAGCAAGATTACGAGTGACAGTATACACGAGGGTTTCAACACATCTTCTGTATCGAAAGAGCAAGAAAAACCGAAGCCAAAACCCAAGGCAGAGGCTGTGGAGGTGCTTAATCCAGGATCACTCAAGAAGAATCCGTTACGGCGGCTGGACAGTGAAGGCCAAACCTCAGGTGCCGATGCAGATGTGGACGAGCCTGGATCTATAGACGAAACGAAAGATGATGACCAGGACATCGAGCCTACGAAGCTTGGGAAGGAGTTCGCCAAAATCAAGATAGGCGGCTACAGGGAATGTCTAAAGTTCATATCCGAGCACCATGAAGTGGTTGCGGAACGGGAGACAGATGGGCTACTCATGGAGGCCTTCAATGCCCAAATGGATGGCAAGGCGGCCTACTCTAAACAGTGTGTTCACCAAGCACTGTTGCTGCAATACTGCAGATCACTAGGTAAAGACGGAGTGGGACTCTTCTTCAAACGGTGAGCGCCTTTGTATTCTCATTCATGCCTTCACTAATAGCTTGTAGGATCACGACACCTGGCCACAACGCCCAAAAAGTCTTCCTCGACGACGTCAACAATACCTACGCTCGTATCCGTACCCGTACTGCGGAATTGGCTAAAGAACGCGCCGCCAACCCCAAAGGCACCGAGACCGAAGTCGAGCAAATCCAACTGCACGCCGTAGAGCCTGGAACCGAAATCCACATCAACGTCCCCAAGCCCAACAGCACAGAAGACGTAGAGCAACAGGCTCGTATCATCTTTGAACGCTTCCCGCCAGGCCTGCAGAGGGCGTTGGAGAGTGGCAGTCTGGATCGGGTGAATGAGGTGCTGGGGAAGATGAGTGTGAGCGAGGCCGAGGAAGTAGTGGAGCAACTGGGTGAGGGAGGTATGCTAAGTTTGGAGGGGGGTGTTATCGATTCGACAACGGAGGAGGGGAGGGATAGGTTGAAGGAGCTAGAGAGGGAGGCGAGGGAGGGGAAGGAAATTGGGGAGCCTGGGGGTGTAGAGGAGGAGGCTGAGGCTGGCGCTGGCTTGAAGAAGTCGGAGGTGGGGGAGAGGGGAAGTGCGGATGAGGTGCCAATAGCTGATGTCGATTAGAGGTTTGCCGAGAGAAACTAGCTATGGATTGCTTTTCATTGCTATTCAGCTGTCCCATGTTTGAGGCTACGTCTTCCCACAGTGTGAACAAAACTTTGGGCCTACACCAGCAGAATGCGAATTTACATGTACATCAAATATGCATCTTGACTTGGAATGCTATACGACGGTTTGCTTTACTCAACATCGGAAGTCTTCGCCGCCCGGTTCAGTTCGTGCAGATCCATCACATCCACGGCACCATATCCTTCAATTCCGCAACCTCTCTCCTCAATCGGTCGACATTCTGCCTCAACTCGCCGATCACCGCATCCTTCTGCCGAACATTGTGCGCCTGGCTCGCTCGTTCCTCCTCAATCGTATGCCGCGCAATCTCACACCACCCAAGCGCTCGCTTCCCGTACGTAGACGTGACGAGCTCGTTGAAACGAGCCACGTCGCTCTCCCACATCTGGGCTCCCCCGGGGCCGGTGTACTGGTTTTGCCGGATGCGGAGTTGCATCTGAGCGAGGGCACAGTTCAATGAGTGTTCGTGGGGTTGGAGCGGCGTTTCGTCCAAGTTTTGTCGCTGGTTGCATCCTATGAAAGCACCAAGAGTAGAGGGGAAAGGAGCATCGGCGACAGGGATAGCAGCAGCATACCCAGAATTTGGTGGAGCGCTGGTTTTGACTCTTCTTGTATCAGACCTTTGCCTGGAGTTACAGGCACGCAAAGCACGAGCAGCTGCAGGACTTTCAGGAGCTCGGTCTTCGTCATCGAAAATATCAGGATCTGTCTTGGCAGGCTGTTGCCGCAGCCAGCCTGGAGCGGGGGCGTTGGCCATGCAAGGTGTGTCTGTAGTCAGATCCTTCAGCGCTGGCAATTACTGGAGGGCAACAAGCGGCGATACGTACAGACCTAGTGCTGAGTGGTAAATGGCAGCGGTGGGATGAGAAGGTAGCAGAGCGAGGACTGATATAGCAACGCTGGCGGAAGTCTGTATGGTCAAGAAGGCAACCAAACGCTGATTGCAATCAGGCGAACTTCTGCGAATCTTTCGGGCGGATAGTTCATGCCAATTGGGCAGTCTCTAAATCCAACGAAAACGATGAACCCACACTCCAAACATGACAGCACATTTCATTCTAGAGATGGAGACCGGAACGAAAGCAATTGATTCCATCGCTAGGCAACCTCGTCCGGTGTAATAACGTATGTGTGCCTCAGCGACTACCCACAAACTCAAGTCCCGTTGCGTGCTGAGTGTCGTCCATAAGGAACCGCAGACTATCCGAGTCCTAGGAATCTACCCTTTTCCCAGGATCTTCCTCAGACTAGTCACTGCCTCAGAAGAATTACTATCCTCAGCATCTTTGGTGTGAGCAGCGGATTCGAAATCAGCATCAGGCAAATCACGACCCTCATAAATATTCACCTCGTGCTCATCGAGAACCTGAGGTCCCTTTCCCTTCAAACTCGCCTTGCAATTTGGACATAGCGTGTCGTTCCACTCGAGGATGCGGTTGGTGAGCTCCAAAATTACGTTCTTCTTCTTTCACCCTTGAAGTAGCTCGATCTCAATGGCCTTCTCGGTTCTCTCGCACTGCCCTATTTTATTTGGTAGCATCCTGGGTCGGCCTAGATATGACGAGCATCCCTTGTTAGGTAAAGTCTCCGAAAGACTCACACAAATTGGGGATGGGCATCGAGGCTCCGTCCTTTGAAGGGGGGTCATTCAAAGCGGTAGAAGTATGGATATCTACCATGCTTTGGAATAGATTGCTATAATAGTCAGTATTAATCCTCCTTAATTCGAGGGTAGTAGACATGAGACAATGCATACACTATGGCTGCTGATAGTTCGAAAATTTGCGACAGGATGGCAGTAGACGGATGGTGTGGTGCAGGGTGTTGGTAACCAGTTCGAAGTTGTTGCAATTTCATAATCTTTTGAACCTCATACTTTTCGGAGGTCTGACCACGCTGGGCAGGTCATTGAAACGTCCGGATAGAATTCTCATTCAATTGGGTATCTTGGGGAAAATACGAAAACAATGAGCCCGGACTCCACTCATGGTGGCAGCCCGTCCGACCCCACGTTCCCGCCATTGAGCTGTACAATATCTGGCTTTGATGCCGCGATTTCTGGCTGAGGCTTGGCTTCTCCCAGTGTGCCAATAGGATCAGCAGAAGGCGGAGGTAGAGGGGCCTTCGTACGCTTAGGCTTGACGAGGAGAAGGATAAACATGCCGATGACGAGAAGAAATAGTAGAAAAAGGATCTTGCGTTTGGTATACGTCTTCTGATAGCCGGTGGCCTACAAAAACAAGATCAGCACGGCGGGCAGAATTTCGGGAAAGACAGAAACATACCACATTCAGCTCCTTGTCTGCTGCCTTGACATTGACGGACATGTTCTCAATATTGTAGTCTATCCGGTCGAGCATCGTCCCTTGGTCAATGACCATCCCTTGCAATTCCTTGAAGATATCTGCAAGTTCGATGATTCCCTGCGCGATATCCTCAATCTCTCGTTCTCGTTGGGCAATTGCAACATCATTTGTCTTTAGGCGCTTCATGGATGTCTGCTGGAGAGTCGACTGGGAAAATGATTTGTCTGTCTCGGACTCCATCATAGACGGGTCTGTGTAGGGATTCTGGGAAGGCGCAGAAGTACGGTCAAATGTGAGACCGCCGAGAGTACGCAACTCTTAAACAATATTAGCACATATGCCCGCAGAACTTCTTCACGTTGCTCACTTTTGAGATAACTGCTCTGCTTCTTTCTGAAACCTGCACTGACTTCTTGTACCCGGCTGGCCAACGAGATCTGAATATTTCTTGCCATAGTTTCATCGGCTGCGCTCACACCTCCCTGGTGCCTAGCGTCCCTGACCATCATCTCAATCCTCTGAATAGCCTTTTGACAGTCATGGAAGCCTCGCGTGATTTCCTGAGTTATCCGCTCAATTGCGATCTCCTCCTGCTTCTTCACATCCTCGTCGTCGAAGCCTGGCAGCACGTGCTTTTGATGCAACTTCTCCAAGTCCGTAGACTTCTTTGCTATCGTGCCCAGCAAATCCGTGACCTCTTCTTGGATATCGACCCACCTGGGCGGCAACAGGTCCATCTCAATGACTGCATCTCCATCATCTTCAAAGGCACCAGCGGACATGAGCCCGCGGCGTTCCTCGGACTCATATCCAGAGGTGGAGAAGCCATTGGCAGAAGGTCCAATGGTCTTGCGCTTCTTGGCCGGATGATGAGCATATGACTGTCGGTAGGAGATGTATCTACACCCTCAAATCAGCTTCAGAAGCATGATGAGCGTATTGAGAGCTCAGGGGCTGAGAATGTAGGACCTACAAATTGGTCCTGTCTCTCCATACACCAGACATGGTAGTAAAGCAGCCCCTGCAGCTTCAGGATCGTGATCTTCAACAGCCGGTTCTTGCACTATTACCTCCCATAGCTCAAGTATTTTTTAACTGATTGTCTGCTGAATGTGAGGTGAAAGTTGTCTTTCGACAGCGGAAGCCCTTCCGCATGAAAGGCTTGGCACCGAGGCACCAACCTAAGGGCTCCGTAGTTCAGCCTTGTGGGGAGAGATCAACGGCTGCCGCTGTGAACCCTCACACGGAAACCTGACACAAATTCCCAAATCCCTCGAACACCTGCTGCCTTCTCTATACCGTTTCCCCGAATATTCTCTGCAACTATCTGTGACTGTACAAAACACAGGCTACTTTTGAATTTGAAGCTCTCGTCTATCAGCTATTGCAACCAACATGGTATAGTGCACTGCTCCCCGCTCTTCCCAGACCCCGCGTTTGGTGGTGGTTCCCCCCAGACGAGGCGCAAAGATAAGCTGAACACTGACTGCTACTATGATACAGGCGGACTCACTCACCGAAGAGCAAGTCTCTGAGTTTAAGGAAGCATTCTCCCTCTTCGTGAGTACTCACTCCTGGACTTTACTACACGAGGCTGACAGGTCTTGGCGATTAGGACAAAGATGGCGATGGTGAGTTATGCCAGGGCTACTCAAGACATAACTCGGGACTGCCGAGAGGACAACAGCGCTGGGATATACGCGTCTTGTCCTGCCAGTACTGACCGTGGACCGAAACAGGCGTCATCACGAGCAAAGAATTGGGCACGGTAATGCGATCCCTGGGTCAGAACCCAAGCGAGTCTGAATTACAGGACATGATCAACGAGGTGGATGCGGACAATAATGGGACGATTGACTTCCCAGGTACGGGGTTCCCACGTTTGGCCGTTGCCCTGGCTGACCTGCTGCCAATGCAGAGTTCCTGACGATGATGGCTCGCAAGATGAAGGATACGGACTCAGAGGAAGAGATCCGAGAAGCTTTCAAGGTGTTCGATCGCGACAACAACGGCTTCATCTCCGCCGCTGAGCTGCGCCATGTCATGACATCGATCGGGGAGAAGTTGACTGATGATGAGGTTGACGAGATGATTCGGGAGGCAGATCAAGATGGAGACGGAAGGATTGACTGTAAGTTACCTGCTCTAAGGTGCCAGCGGCTCAGATACTCATCATGACTAGACAACGAGTTCGTCCAGCTTATGATGCAGAAGTAGGCGGAACGAGGCGTGGGACCAGGCTTGGCGATTCTTGGCCGAAACGACCTTCTAACCTGTACGACATTTTCTGACTCGGCAATGGGGAGGAAGGCTTGCATGACGAATTTGAAGGTGACCTGTAGCTCCAATTTTGATGAGTGCTGCCATCTTGCTGGTTCTTATGGAGCATCATCCGCATCTACAATTTCCTCCAGCAGACTCGTCTCAATAATCCTCTTCTATTTTCTTTACATTTCACTCTCTCGAACTAGCGGCCGATTTGCTCACGGCCGATAACCGTGCCCAGTCCCGAAGTCATTGCTACCTCAATAGCCTCTCTCATTCTTTGAGTACACTATTGATGCCAGCCGTCTATGTCCTCGGCCGTCCAGAGCTTGCGCTTGTAGTCTACGAAGGGGTGCTTCGGAGATTTATTGCTACTCACCAACCTGGAACGTCTCCAAGTCCTATGTTGATAGGCTTTCATAATGCTACCGTTGTCTCTGTGTAGCGTGGGGACAATTAGGATATGGGTCTGGGCACGGCCGTACTCTAATGCACCAGATATACGTGTCGAAGAAACAATGCATATAGCATAGTGATCTGTTGTTTTTCTTGGCCAGTATCCGAAAGTATCCTGATAGGGCTGGGCCTTTTCCATTTGCTCTGTATTTTTCGTAAAATACGCTTTCCGTGGTGCACGTCATGTCGTATTGCGTATTATTGACAATTTGGCCGACTATTCTGGTCGCTGTTGAACATATACCTTCTGTCCACAGAGCAACAAAATCTTGACAAATTACGATGTACGAGTGCGGCTGATGGAAGTCAGGCTTATACATGATGCGCAGCTCTAAGCTGCTTCTCCAGCGACTCAGCAGAGCCCCGGCAGCGAGCAGCGCCCAAGCCCATACCTTCACTTTTCGCGCCAATGCTCTGCCTCTCCCACTTCAATGGAAATGTTACACGACTTCCGCAGTAGGAAAACCCAGCGTTACAAAGCACGTTGAGTCATTCATTTCTGGCCATCCTAGCCTGCTCGCCGCTCACAATCGTCGCACAACCACACATAATGTCCGATCATTCACTACTACGCAAGCATATTCAAGAGAGGGGAGGCATGCGGAGCGGAAGCCTGAACCGAACCCTCTTGTCCATCAGGTGGAGGACACACCAACGAAGGCAGTAAGCGAGGAAGCTACAAAAACGGTAGAGGAGGAGGAGCTGGACCATGAACAAGTAGAGCGTGGATTCGGGCGGTCAGAGAAGGCGAGTCAAGCATCCCAGGTCAACCTCAGTGCACGCCTCTCGAAAGACCCCAAAGACCAAGGCAAAGGGGCGGGACTTAAAGAAACTTGGAGGTTGATCAAGATCGCACGGCCAGAAGCTGGAGTTCTCGGATGGGCATTCCTCTTCCTTATAGTATCGTCTTCAATTTCCATGACTATACCATTCTCAATTGGCAAATTTCTGGACGTTGCAACGAAGGCAGAGGATGGAGGCAATACGCTGTACGGCTTCGACCTGTCAACCCTCTACTTAGCCTTGGGTGGTATCCTGATTGTTGGCGCTGGAGCGAACTACGGCCGTATCATAATCCTTCGGATAGTGGGAGAACGTATTGTGTCCCGATTACGGTCTCAGCTTTTCCGAAGAACTTTCGCACAGAACGCGGAGTTTTTCGATGCCAATCGGGTGGGAGATCTTATATCGCGTCTCAGCTCTGACACCGTCATTGTTGGAAAGAGCATTACTCAAAACCTGTCGGATGGACTACGGTCTCTGGTCAGCGGAGTCGCCGGATTAACACTCATGGCCTATGTCAGTCTCAAGCTTACGAGTGTCCTGGCCATCTGCTTTCCACCCGTAGCTATTGGGACGTTCTTCTATGGCCGAGCTATAAGGAATCTCAGCCGCAAGATACAGAAGAATCTGGGGACCCTGACCAAGATCGCCGAAGAAAGACTAGGAAACGTAAGGACAAGTCAAGCGTTCGCTGGTGAGATCTTGGAGGTTGCAAGGTACAATAAACAGGTGAAGAGGATATTCAATTTGGGGATAACAGAAGCTTTCATTTCAGCTACATACTTCAGCGCGACAGGTCTCGCTGGCAATATGACTATACTTGCTTTACTCTATATCGGAGGCGGAATGGTGCAATCCGGTGCCATCAGTATAGGGGAGCTGACATCCTTCCTCATGTACACCGCATATGCTGGATCGAGTCTTTTCGGGCTGTCGGGCTTTTGGTCTGAGCTCATGAAAGGAGTTGGAGCCGCAAGCAGGTTGTTTGAGCTGCAGGACAGAAAGCCAACCATTTCGCCAACCGTGGGTTTACCCGTTTACACTGCCCGGGGAGCCATCCGGTTCGAAAACCTGTCCTTCAGCTACCCCACCCGGCCGGCAGTCGACATATTCAAGAATCTAGACTTCGAGATCCCACAAGGCTCCAATGTCGCAGTCGTTGGACCATCCGGTGGCGGAAAGTCAACAATAGCCTCACTCCTCCTCCGATTCTATACGCCTACTCAGGGCTCCATCAAAATCGATGGCGTCGATCTGTCTACCATGAACGTCAAAGCTTTAAGACGGAAAATTGGAGTCGTGTCTCAAGAGCCTGTGCTTTTCTCTGGAACGATTGCGGATAATATCTCTTATGCAAAACCTAACGCCACTCGCAAAGAGATAATTGAAGCTGCTCGAAAGGCCAATTGCCGATTCATTGAAGACTTTCCCGATGGCCTTGACACTTCTGTGGGTCCGAGAGGGGCAATGTTGTCAGGTGGACAAAAACAGCGAATAGCAATTGCAAGAGCTCTGGTAAAGAACCCGGACATCCTGATCCTAGACGAAGGTAAATTTCAATCTTGACCCCAAAAATGCCCCTTATGCTGACCTCCCTCAGCAACATCCGCCCTAGACGCAGAATCCGAGACCCTAGTCAACCAAGCCCTCGCTGCCCTCCTCAAAGGCAACAACACCACCATCTCCATCGCCCATCGCCTGTCAACCATTAAGCGCTCCGACAGCATCATCGTGCTTTCTTCCGACGGCAAAGTAGCACAGCAAGGTTCTTATGCTGAGCTCAGCCAGGATCGTCATGGGGCCTTTACCAAGCTGATGGAGTGGCAGATGAGCGGCGGAGAGACAAAGGGGGAGCCGGAAGTTACGAAAGAGGTGGAACCAGAGGCGAAGGAGACGATGAGCGAATACGATGATGTTGTCGAGGGGCTGTCAGAGGAGAGCGAAGTAGAAGAGGACGAGGCGGCTTTGAAGCCGAAGAGAGGCGACGAGGCGGGGCCGGAGACGGTCTTGGACAAGTCTCGTAAGGGGGAGATGTGATTGCATGTACAGCTGGCAGCTGAGCTGCTTTCGGATATTGTAGGCATAATCCCGCGGAGTCGATCGCATTGCCGTCGGCGTTGATCATCCCGGGGTCAGGGAGCAAGGAATGAAGACTTGCGGAGAGATATCACCCCCCTCGCGGTGTTTTTGGGATGGTCATAGATAGACGGGAAAGCATATCTTATCAAATCCCCTCAATAGGAGTATTCCATTCATCTACACCCGTCAGATAGCTTGGACGCCGTGCAAATGCTGACGCCACCAAATGCCATGCTCGCTGCCAGCTGTGTCTCCGACGAAGCTCCCTACGCCACTAGATGAGAGTAGATCATATCACGCCACCAGAAAACTCAGCAAGCTCCCCACTGTCAATCCGCCTACGAGCATCAATCCCATGAAGCCGCCCGCAGCCTCCCTCTCGTCCACGTCCACCCACTCGCCTGCACCCATCATACACGTAGAGCCGAGATACCCGTTACTTAACCCAAACAAAAACTGCACAACGACTAGATAAAACGCATCACTCGCTAGAGCCGCACCCTCGCCCTGGATATTGCAGAGCAGATACAGTGGTATGAACACAAACCTCGCCACGCTCATCAACAAAAGCGTTCGCGGCCAGAGCACGAGGCTTAAGCGCGGGATGGCCGTGATGAGGCGACCCAGCAGGTCGCCCGTGTTCCAGAAGAGGAAGGCGAGCGGTATGAAGCACGCCGGTTGGAGTATCCGGGGTGCGGTGTCGGCGGGGCGCACGCTGACGATCTGCTGCGTGAAGACGGGGAAGAACATGGTGATGGCGAACGTGAGGAACACGGCGCTGGAAAGGTAGCGCAGCTTTTTGAAGAGGGTCCACAGGCCCACGACTTTGCGGGAGGCGTGCTCCGGCGCCTCGGCGCCTCGATCGGGCGTGCTGGCGTCCATGGCGTCATCGGGGTGCCTCCGCAACAGCAGCATGAATGCGAGGAGCGCAGCTACCGAGACGGCGGTGGCCGTGAGGAAGTACGCGAAGGCTGATTTGCCGCTCTCCTGAGGTACCGTCGCGCCGTCCCGTCCGTCGTCGTACGTGGGCGCGGAGACCGATAGCACGGAGACTATCTGCGCTATACAAGGCAGCACGCCCGCGACCGCTTGCCCGGTCATGATGGCCTGCGTGTATTCCGCCATGCCGAACCCGGCGACGTAAGCGAAGACGCCGTTTTGGCAGAACCCGGTGGCTAAGCTGGCTGTGAAGACGATGGCCATGAGGAAGCCGAAGTATGCGCCCGGTGACACACCTCTGAACAGGACGGTTGAAAGAGCGAGGAGCGTGAAGCTGACGATGTTGAGGACGAGGGAAAGGATGATACGGTTCGGGTAGTTGGCGCCTTTTTGTAGCTTGGTCAGGAGGAGCATGGAGACGAGGTTCGTGACCGTAGAGACGGAGATCAGGGCGGGAGAGAAGGTGGAGAGGAGGGCGTGGGAGGAGCGGAAGCGATGCTGGAAGTAGGGGGAGGCGGCGAGGAACATGTTCCTGCGTGCTCCTGGTCAGACTAGGTGGGCCGGGGTTGGCAAGTGGAAATTACTCACCATGCCCATAGCATAGAGACTCCGAGCAGGAGGAAGATGCCGTATTCAAGCCACGAGAAGCGTGGCTTACGCGCTCTTCGGGGCTCGTTGCTATCGGAATCATCGTCGAGAGGCTCGTAGGCGGGCGAACGCCGCTGCTTGAGGGCGTTGCGGATACGCTCCATTATGGACGGGATGTGCTAGAAGCTTGGACGAGGTCTGATTATCATGGCGGATCTGAGGATATCTTGACCTGGATAGATGAGAGCTGCTGACTATTTTATTGTTGGATCGTGACGCTGCAACGGCGCGAATGATGCCAGTTTGGCGCTACTTTCTTTTAGCTGGAGACAGTATAATGCCGTCGGAGAACGTAAGACGGACACTCCTTTGCATCACTGGTTCTGATCCTTAGTCACGGTTCTCATATTCAGTGATACGGTCACACTCCAACGCAGCCTTAGCACGCTGGATACACGCTTGAATTATTTTGAATAGACAAGTATCGGAGGTGACTACTCTCCTGGTCAGCCAGCCAGGAAGCCGCATACCACCTCTCGAGCACTATGGTATTCCCAACGCTCCGCAATTCCTGGCCAGAGCTTGGTTCCTAAGCTAAGTAGAGCCATGATCATATCCAAATCTTCCTGACTTTCCGATGTCTTCCGGGTCACAGCCATTAACTCCCTCAACATGTGGTGCAGCCACAGGACATTGGTCATTGGCACATACTCCTTCCACATTTGACTTATAGTGACCCCCGGCTTCTTCTCCTTTTTCACTATGTCTCGCATGATGCGATACACATCGTACTGCCTCTGAGCGTCGGGGTCATCATCGATCTGCCGGAAGATAGACTCATCTATAGCGGTTGCCAGCACGTCGCCGGATTCGAGGGTAAGGCGGGATTGAGTATAGTCGATCAATGTTACCTCGCGCTTGGACAATCTGGGGATGCCGTTCTCGGTGGTCAGATCCAATGGTTCATCGCGTATCTTGATGCATACATTTCCCGGATGCAAGTCACGATGCTCGAATTCTGCCTGCGCTTCGCCGCGCATCAACGCCTCTGCAATTCCCCAGAACATATCCGATGTTTCTTGAACCGAGTAGAGCTTTTTTTCCAAACGTGCGGTGCACAGCATGGAATCAACGTCCTGTCCGGCGTCCGTCATCTCCATCAGAAGCCATAGTTGGTTTTTTGACGGATATTCATCGCTCATGTGCGTTCCGTACCATGTATCGTTAGGATGCAGGTTCTTTGCCCATGACTCATGAGCCTTCCCAATCTGATCTGGCACATAGCCTTTAACAACGTGGGCGCTTCGAAACTGAACAAATCCGTGAATGTCGCTCATAGCAAACAGCATTTTGACTTCCGTCGCTGCGTCTTTGATCAGAGTCTGATTGTGGTACGGACGAGATCCACTTCCTTTGCTGGGCTTAAGTGGCATGAGCTTCCAGACGCTATATTGGCCCGGCTCATCGTTCAGCTCCATCTTCAGCACCGTAGCGAAGCTTCCTTGGCCAATTTTGCTAAGCTTGACCCCTTTCTCCCATCCTTTGCAGAACTTTCGGAAGTCTACGACCTCGTTTTTCACAAAGTCAATGGACGTAAGTTCTGAGATCTCCGTCGGCTGATGGCTCTTTACCGTCCGTTCTATACACTCGTCAGCATTGTTCCCCATGCTCACTGGTCGATTCAATAGCTCACCCGTTGGCTTTGTGCCAAACCAGGCCTTCCTTCTCGGTCTGTTCTCCTTGTCTACTCTCGAAGTCAGTGATCCCTTACTCTAGCAAACAGCCACGTCTAAGACTTACTGTCATCCTGATCTGCAGTCTCAGCGGCCTGCTCTCCTTCAGGTGCGGCATTCGGTTCAAGTAACGGCTCATTATGGCTGTTGGGTGTAGGGGCAAGGACCCGCGCAATTGCATTCGTATCTACTCCTGTCAGCCAACCCATAGGTCCAATAGAGAGGTAAGAGGTCTTTTGTACCTGGCTTAGACGGACTGATGGACAGGTCGAGGAAGATGGAAGCAAGGTCGCGACCCTTCTTCTTTCCATACGTCTTGCCTTTTGCTACCATCTTCTTTGCCGCATCGCGGTACTCTATGCCCCGAGTCAGTTTTTTATGTATAGATATATATTCGGTGTGCTCAGTGTCGAAGCACTCACTCTTGAACCCGGCGCCGGCCATTCTTTCTTCCAGTTGATGGGGCAATCGGTGATAAGGTAGACGGACTTATGTCCGGACTCTTACTCAAGAGATGCATGGTGGAGGGAGCTATAGACTAGCTTCCGTGCTAAGCGAGGCAGTGAAGTCTTGGCGTTTCATAGGTGTCTGATTGTATCTATTGGGGTATTTTGGAACTATCTACCTTATACTTAAGGGGTTTAATTTTTTTTTTTTTTTTTTTTTTTTTTTTTTTTTTTTTTTTGGGTTTTATTTTTTTTTTTTTTTAGGGGGGGGGGGGGTTTTTTTTCCCAATCCTTCCCCCTTCTTTTTCCCCCTCCTAGCGGTTACTCCCGGCCACAAGGAAAGGTATACAGTTCCAAGGTCATCAGTCCTCGTCCTACACTCTGCTCTCTTTATACGCCATTTATCCCGGGGCTTTCGTCCTATCCGTTCCTCCACATTTCTTCCAACATGGCGCCATACTCGGAAGAACCCTTTTCCCCAAATCTCTTCCATCTTTTGGATATACACGCTCTCAGTGTAGGACACCAGAGTCCTCTGTTCTGATCTGGCTCGTCTGTTGATCTTCCGCTTCGAAAGCCCGGTGCCGAATAAAGTGTTGAGTCGATGTCTGCAGATTCGGGCAATTTCATTTTTCCCAATGGGCACCCCACGCTTTCTCAGTTTGTATAGCAGGTGCAAACCCCATGTCCACCGGAACCGAGGAACATCTTCTACCGTTGAAGCCTCCCTGGACCTTCTCGATTTTCTACGAGATTTCATGATATGTTGAAAGCCCCAAGCAACGATTGCATGCCGTGCCGCGGTTGTGAATAGGGTGTTGAATAAGCGTTGAGGATCGCGGTTCGCAGACTTCTCTGGCGACACAGCCCCCTCGATTAATGTCTGACCACCATGACCAGAAAACAGTAGCCGTTTTGGAAGGGCAGCCTTAGCTGCGGGGCTTGAATACCAATCCACCAGCCAAAGCGCCAGATTCTCAAACTCCGTCAAGCGCCCGGCCATGCCCAGGCGTCGCAGGATCTCTCTCCAAGCTATGATAGGCACGAAGTTGCCGGATTGCATAGTCATCCGTGACGCTTGGATTAGGATTGCCAACTCCTGTGTTCCGTCCGCACCACGCCCAACCTGTCTCCTCGAAAGCCAGCATACACGCAGGTGCCTGCTAGATCTGGCGCTGACCGGTATGCCCAATCGCTTCAATTCCTCTAGCGTCGCCAGCACCTTCTTTCGCCTCCCAAGCGTGATTTGACAGCGAAGAATCAAGTTCATCCGTACCATTTGCAGTTCTTTCACCTCACAGCCGGCGGTGAGCACAGCAAGTGTTCGCTCAATCTTCATCAGGTCGTTCTCCTCGCAGTACTGGGCGAGTAATCGTTCCTGAAGGTCGACATCTCCAAATGTATCCGGGTGAAGGTCACAGTCCACGACGGACTTCAAGATTCCTCGCTTGTTCTCCATGGCTAAACTACGGACAAGAGTGCAAAACACAGTACTGTCAAGAGATATTCCAGCACTTTTAAGACGATCAGTATGATGACAGATGGCGCCAGGATCGCAGTTATCTCTGACAGCGATCTCCCTCAAAGAAAGAGGTCCAATTGTTTCTGCGGCCACGATTTGCAAACCACTGATGACGGTGTCAACGGAGAAAAGCCGCGTAGCGAAAAGCCTAGCGCAGAAGCTGTCGCTCAAATGTTTTGGACCAACTCCATGAACTTCACCAAGCTGTCGATTCAAGATTTCACGACTGATGGCCGTGTCCCTTCGGACAAAGTTTTCGGCCACACTCGAGATCCCGACTTTGGCTTCACTCAGCGCTCTGACGATTTTTTCAAGCCGAGGTCCGTCACCAATGTAAGCGAGATGGTCGAGCAAGGGTTTGATGTCAGTGAATATCGTAGGAAAGTCCCTGGCGTCATAAAGAAGGTCATTCCACTTGAGAACTTCGTCGTACATTTGCGACTTGCATAGATGCCAAATAACGGTCCTGTACATCCCGGGTATGGGATGATCCCTGTACAAGCCTTGAAAGTGCCCGGAGCTACCCCAGTCAAGGGACAGCTTGAATATCCTTTTGTAATCTCCAAGCGAAGGGGGGAAATCATTTCTGAGCTTCAAATGCCAACGGTATGCTGAATCCGGGTCCTTTTTCAGTACAACGGAGACAATGCCATAGTACATCCCCGGCCAAGATCTCCCCGTAGACCGCTTTAGACTTACAGCATAGGTGACAATATCTTCGAGTAACCTAGAATCGTAAAAGCCTGCCCGAATAAAAAGGTCCCAAAGCTGGTTTGCTACATTTCCCAGTGTCGGTAGTCGCAGGTCCCGTCGAAAGATCTCCATGTATACCGCTACCGTACCTTCGGCGCCATGATGTCGTTTCCGAAAGACAATCAGCTCCAGCCATAGTTCCCAATCCCGAGCGTGTGACGGGTCGTCGACCAGGCGCGGACCGTGGACAGCCGGCGCTTCAAGATTCGACTCGTACTGATACTGCTCCAATGTCACCAAGCGACTCCTCCAGCTCTCGGTGTCCCTTTTGGCCTCGATGGGCAGACGCGATTGGATGCTCGAGCTGAGATTGCCGCTGCGAAGATCGTGTTGGGTCCCCGGGAGTATCGGGAGATCCGGCTGGACTGTCGATCGGGAAAGCCCCGCCCCCTCGACGCCGTCGAATATTTGAGCTTCGGGCAAGCGTGCGCACGCTTTTGGTACATCGGGCCAATTGCGTTCAATGGCTCCCTCGGCGTGTCTATCGGCCTTGGTCACGGATGGGAGCCTCCGGATCTGGATAGTCCTGGATTCGGATCCTGGAGGCTGCCCTCTTCCGTTCTTTTTGGTTGCATATCTCCTCGACTGTCCCTGAGTGGGAGTCGGGGGGGAGTAGCGCTGGCAAAAGCCGTCGCCATTTGAGTGCACGGCACTACGTGTTACAGACCCGGCAGGAGGGCTTGCCAGAAGTCTCTGCAGCGCCAGACGCATTAATCTGTTCTGGCGTTAATATTATGTAGGGGCATTGGAAAGCTGATCCAGGACGAAGTCGCGAAACATTAAGGTAGCTTTAGTGCTAAGCTAACAAAAATGAGACACGGCAAGGCGGCTCCGCTAGTCCTCAATTGAGTAAGGCGTCATCTAGCAAACTCTCGAGAGAATGATTGAAACACCTTGACATCCCCCGCTATTTTTCACCATCTTCCCCCTCGATTCACATAGTTCGAAGTGATTCAACTCTCTCTATCTCTTTCCAAATCCCACGTCATATATACCTTATCTCCCACACGTCTGAGGATGGGATTCCCGATATCTAAATATTCAGGGACGAGATTGCAAGACGAGTAGTAGCATAAGGGCCGCAGCCAGGAAACTTTCACCTTCTTGGACAGGCACGGATCTAGCACGTCTATGTACAGATGAATTAATGTGAATTATGGCAAGTAGACATTCGATGTTCTAAGGGTATAGTCGTGTTAAACAACCATGACTCCAACGCTGTCCCTTTCTATAATACCCCCAATGAATACGCCTCATAGCCCCCACTCGAGAAGCCAATCCGGTCTCACGTCCGGCGCAGGCTGCGTGACCTCGCATTTGTTCTTAGTAGTCAAGTATGCTCCAGCGTTGCTGTATTGTAGGTAGCGACCGTATTTAATAGTCTGCTTGATGACGTCTTCTGAGATGCCCGCGGGATCCTGCGGGATCCATATGACGGGCGCTGGCTCTCTGGTCACTGGATCCTGAAAGGCAGCTTTGAGCTCCGCGTCTCGCTCATCAGGGGACAAGTCCGTCAATTCATCAGGGTAGCCGGCGAGTGCTGCTGCTAGCTGGTCAGCAACTTCCTGTCGCCTCGACCTGACGATCGGCTCGGCGACATAAGCATGCATCTCTGTGACCCTTGCTGCAGTCTCCTTTTTCAACCTTGACAGTGCTTTCCTCGCGTTGGCTGCTGTTGCAGACATGCTTTTCATTTGGACACGACTCGCTCTCTTCTTCGTCGGATCGTCCACACTGCCGTCTAGTGTACCTACTAGATTCAATTCCGATAATTCAATACCGTCGCTATCACCGCTTTCCTGACGCGAGGGTTCGTTGTCATCATGTATGAGAAATCGCTCTCTTTCGGCGTCGACAGCCGAATCTTCCAGAGCGACTGGTAGGAATTCGTAAAGAGGCCGCAGGTGCTGTTCCATTAAAAAGTGAAATACAGCGGTCAAGACCAAGACGACTATCATGATGATGGCTTGAGACGAACATGCGTATTTGTTCTCCGTGTCTCTGACCAACAAGAACAAGCCGATGAGGGCAATCTCCAGTACATAGATACCGGTGAACAGCTGCGAAACCGCATTGTTGAAAAGTAACCCATGCGTATCAACTTTGTTCCTTTGAACGTAGTAGTAGTTGTGTCGGTAAGCCACCCAGAATAGCGAGAACGTGATTGACACGAAGACGAGCATGAGAGGAGATATAATGCAGTATATCAAGCCTGTAAGGTTTGTCAGCTCACCATATTGATGACGTCTGATCCAGAATGAGATTTGAACGGGTAATTATCTCGAGGACATACCAATGACGGCAAAGTTCGTAGTCAGCGAGTACACGTTACCCCACATCTGCGTTCAGGTTAGCGGCGGAGATTCGAGAGCGTTTTGAGGCTCGGACCCTACCTGATGTGGGATGGTCGTTTGGAGCCACGCTTCCTCCCGGGGAGTCTGCGTGAACCACGGCCAGATAACCGTGATGTACAGGATGCGCAAGTACTGGAACAGAACACTCCCGCTGAAGCCTAGGGATTGAACGATAAGGTAATTGAAAAAGTAATTTGCCGATTTGGGAAGGTCGTTGGCCAGAATTGTGGGAATGTTACGGGGATCCTTGACGATCTGGGGAATGACATTGGCGATGCCGGAAGAGATTGCGGTGACTAGCACAAGCTCGATGAAGAGGAAGGTGAAATAGAAGTCTTGCGTGACAACCTCACGCTTACTACGCGTAGGTGTGCCTACCAAAACTGCCAATTTTCGTAACAATGCCGGTACGACAAGTTGAACCAACAAAGCAAGTAGGATAGACGTAAGAGGGCCTAGCGCAAGTCAGCTACCTGGTATTGAGCGGGCTTGGACCGCGAGGGCTAGTGCAAAAAGGGTTCTCGCTTCGTCCAAACCTTTGGCGGTGGGTATCTCTTGAGATTGAACGATTTTACACTCAATCCTGGATCGACTAGATGAGCCGACCCATGAGGAAAATGTGTATCCTGGATTGAGATGAAAAAAAGCCCCTTTAACGAGGATATCCACCGCGAAAGACATGAATGCAACGGTAACAAGCTGTTACGCCAGGCCCTGGGGTTCAGTTGCTGAGCGACTTACCTGATATCAGACTTATAACCCAGGATGGCCATGATTGGAGCCAGTAGAGCCAGGAAACGGTAGACCGGAGAGTATCAAGCTGAGATATGGACGCAAGGACAGTGGTCGGTATACCCCACAGAAACAACATTGCTGCAAATAAGACGAGGGCAATGCCAGTCCTGACGAAACGTCCAAGAGAAGTCACGCCCATATTACGCCAAATGATTTCGTGTGGGGCGACTTCAAGGAAACGAGGAGACATCCGACCGGCCCTGTTGTGACTGACCAGACTGCAAGCCATATGTGCAGACATTTGTCTGTCGAACTGTATGAACGCAGAGTTCTGTTTCTTGAATTGCTCCTCGTCATCCAGCTTCAGCAGGAGTTCTTCGATTAGAACAGTCAAGCGAGCAATCTCTGCGCGCAGCCAGGCAATTTTCGGTACCACCAACTTCTCGCCAGAGGCCCAGATTTGAAAGGACGAGGCGGGCTTCCAGTTACCGTCTTTTCCCCGGATAAGAGAGATTTTGGAGGCAGTCGAAGGCTTCAAGTACTTGCGCCATAGCTGTGCTTTCTCGTGGCAATCCGTCTCGTAGGCGGTGGAGATACTTTGCCCGTCATGCTCAGTGTGTGCTTCATTTTCGTCATCAGGCGCGAGCGATTCTTGGGAAGTGTTTTCTGCGTTTCTCTTCGAAGCCGTAACATCTCCACTCTTTCGATGCTTCTTGTTGACATGTCGTAGAATTTTCAGCTCTTCTTTCTCCAGAGCGTGACGAAGACTTCGACGACGAGCTACCAAGGTTCTCAGAGACCCGTAGTCTCGATTAACCCAGGCAGTCAACCTGCTATGGTCGTCGTTGTCCACAAAGACATCGTAGAGTGCTTCCAATGCCTCTTTGCTTCGATACTCGTTTGGTATGTTTGTGATGAGAACCGTTCTGGCTGAGGCCTTGAGTCTGTGCTCCGGAGATGTGAGGAATCGCTGCCGGACGTCGATGAAATTCAGCTTTTCACGGTAGATTCGATAAAGTGTCCAGGAGATGGCCAGAGCTGCGCAGACAAGGTGTGCCCAGTATCTATTTGTCTGGGTTGGAGCAACGTTCTGCCAGGACAGTGTGTCAAGGCCAGTGACGTTGGCTGCCACGGACTCTCCACCCACTTCGAAGATACCGTTGTCTTTCCCTCCGTGGTAGTTGATCGGGAGCAGTACCGTCACAATTATGACCATCAACGGCACAAATATGATGATCATCGCCCGGAGCAGTCGAATAAAGAAGTAGCCATCCAATCCGCACTTCGCCTTGAGCTCTTCGTCCCCTATGTTGAAGATCCTGCGGATCCACTTGATCGGATTCGCGGGTACGGCTTCTACTCGTAGTCTGCCTTGTACGAGATATGTCTTTGGTTGACTGCAAGCGCCTCAGCCAAGGTGGCTCGGGACAATGGGAATGATACTCACTATATCCTACGCCCTATGGCCGAACTCTTGAGCAAGAAGAATCCCGAAATTTCGAATGCGAAGAGACCCAGACTGACTGCAATATTGAGCACAAAAGCCTTGACTGCGATCCCTTGCTTATTCTGGCCCACTCCTGCTTGGCCGCTGAGGAAGTCCAAGAAAGGTTCATCGCCGCTCGAATTGCTGCTATTGGCCATGATTATTGTTGTCCCTTGTCCCTTAGGGGGGAAATTTACCGCCGCATGAACGGCATTCACAGTCGCAACGGCAGACACTCGATATGCAAGCCCTACGCGACAATATGTCCGATGTCTTAAGAATGAGTGATAAATTGTTACTTTAGGAATTACTGAGCTAAGAAATCAAGCAGGTTTGAGCTAAATCAAGGCTTTTTTTTTTTTTTTTTTTTTTTTTTTTTTTTCTTTTTTTCTTCCTCCCCCCCCCCCTGTGGGGGGGTTTTTGTTAGGATCCCCCCCCTTTTTTTTTTTTTTTTTTTTTTTTTTTTTTTTTTTTTTTTTTTCTCTTTTTTTTTTTTTTTTTTAATTATTATAATTTTTTTTTTTTTTTTTTTTTTTTTTTTTTTTTTAATTAGGTTTATTAATTAATTAATTATTTTTTTTTTGGGGGGTGGTTTTTTTTTTTAAAATTGTTTTTTTTTTTTTTTTTTTAAAAAAACTTCTCCTACCTCAGCTATCCGATAACCGCCCAACTGTAATAAATCCAATTTTTTCTACCACAATATACTATAACACTCTACCACCCTATTATAATATATTAAAAAAGCGCTATATCTACTCTTTAGACTCCACTATAGTCCCTCTACTATAAAATCGTTTCACATAGTTCCCTTTACGATATAGAAAGATGTTATATATAGTATAGCCACCTCTAATTCTAGAAGAACTTTCTCTATTTCTACTTATTTCTTTATTAAAACCTCTATCCTTAATATCTATACGACACTATATATACGTTCTACTATCTTTTATATCTTATTAGTTATAATTATCTTATAATAACTTAAGAAGAGTAATAATTATGGGCGAAGATGGAATTTTTTAATTAGATACTCTATCCTTTATTAAATCTATTATTACTTATTTTAGAAAACTCTAATACTTCTAACGCTTCTTTTCTATAAATTTATAGAGTTTAAAAGTATTAGAGAGACTCTC